GCACCTCCAAAGAAACAGTGACCAAAATACAAAGACAGTCTACAGAATGGGAAAGGATATTCGCCGAATACACATCTGACAAGGGGTTGATATCCAGGATATACAAAATACTGGTTAAACTCCACAAGAAGAAAACATCCAACCCCATCAAAAAATGGGGCAATGAAATGAACAGAAACTTTCTCAAAGAAGAAATCCGAATGGCAAAAAAGCACATGAGAAAATGCTCTACATCATTAATCATCAGGGAGATGCAGATCAAAACCACAATGAGATACCATCTCACAACTCAGAGACTGGCCCACATTCAAAAGAACAAAAGCAACCAATGCTGGCGTGGATGTGGCGAGAAAGGGACACTCCTTCACTGTTGGTGGGAATGTCCACTGGTTCAGCCCTTCTGGACAACAGTATGGACGATTCTCAAAAAATTAGAAATTGAGCTCCCATTTGACCCAGCAATACCACTCCTGGGAATATATCCCAGAGAAGCAAAAATGTATAGTCGAAGTGACATCTGCACTTGTTTGTTCATTGCAGCACTCTTTACAATAGCCAGAAACTGGAAGAAACCTGAATGCCCAAGAACAGATGACTGGTTAAAGAAACTTTGGTACATCTACACAATGGAGTACTATGTAGCTGTTAGAAAAGATGAAGTCATGAAATTTACATACAAGTGGTACAATATGGAAAGTATCATGCTAAGCGAAATGAGTCAGAAAGAGAGGGATAGACATAGAAAGATTGCATTCATCTGGGGGATATAAAGTAACAAAGTATGAGATTAATACCCAAGAATAGCTGAGATCAGCACCAGGAGGATTACTCCATAACTTAGAGGCCAGCCGGGTATCCTAGAGGAAAGGGCAGTTCAGATAGAGAAGGGAGCACCAAATAAAGGATGTTTGGAGGATCCTCCCAGGAGGGGAGATGCATGTTGAAAGTAGACTATGGACTGAACATGTTTGCCACTCAATGCCTCTTTTGTAGACCACAACACCCAAACGGAGAGAGAGAACACAGGGGATTGTCCTGCCACAGAGGCAGGGGGGGATGGGGGGATGGGGGTGGGAGGGATAATTATCCATGGTGGTGAAAAACGGGCACTGGTGGAGGGATGGGTATCTGATCATTGTATAATTGAAACCGAAGCACAAAAAAAATTGTAAATCTACAACTGTAAAAAAATAAATAAATAAATAAATAAATAAATAAAAGTTGGGAAGGAAAGCACAAAGAAAGGTTACAGATAAACAAAGGAATGGGAGTGACTCAGGAGCACTGTGATGGGTATAACTCGATAAACCTAAGCTCCCTGTGGCAAGGGAGAAAGGACAAACCAATGTTATCCTACAGATATTCAATTTAAAAATTTTTTTAAAAAGTGAAAGAAAAAAAGAAATAAATAGGCTTGGAAAACTAGATAGCCTCATGCAGAAGAGAAAGAAAGTGACTGGACCCTTATCTTATAGTAGGTTAATTCAAAATGGATTAAAGACTCAATTATAGAAATTGAGATTTACCCAAATACATCATACTTCAAGGAAAAATAGGCAGAATTCTCCATGATAAAAACCTCAACTGAGTCTTCAGTGATTCAACCTCATTGACAAAGAAAATAATAATAGGGCTACATAACAAATGACACTACATAAAACAAACACACAGAGTCTTCTCAACAAAGGAAAACCTAAAATCAAAAGACACCTTACTGAAGAGCAAGTATTCACATGCCATACATCTGAGAAAAGGATAACTTGGACATACAAAGTACTCACAAAACTTAATTAAAGAACAACCCCATTGATAAATGGGAGAGGTGCTGAACAGATACTTCCTAAAAGAAGATGTACAGATGTCCAATAAGCATATGAAAAATTGTTCGTCCTTCATTGTCATGGAAATGCAAACCAAAATAATGAGATAATTATTATTTGTTATTTTCTAATAAGAGAAAAAACAGTGTTGATGGGTATACAATGAGAAAGGAACCCCAATTCACTGTTAGTAGGAATGTTGTTTGGTTCACTTTCAGTGGAAAAGAGTATGGAGACTTCAAGAAATTAAAATAGGAGCTGAGTTTCTTAGCTCAGATTAAATTCAGGACAACCTGAATGACCACCTTCATCCTAACCAAACCCTCACGAGTGATGCTGGCAGTGGACCTGGGCGCTTCTCCACAAACTTCTTGCCTGGTTATTTCTCAGGAGAACTCATTCCTCAAGGACCAGAAAGACCACCTATGGATGCCAAGTAACTCTTGTGATTTTCTGTTTTTTTCAGTCATCTCCAGGGTTTCTTCCTCCATTCAGCTCCTTATTGCCTGGTCTGGACCAGCTAGGTTGTGAAAGGTTGTAGTGTCTCCTTACCTGTCTAATGCAGGTATCACCTATGGCTTATCATAATCCTCTTCCCTTAATTCACTTGCTCAGGGGTCTCATCCCTGGGGGCATGGTGCCACGAGCAGATCAATCTGTACCTGTGAAGAGAGTGTATCAGCAGCCTGATGTCGCCTTCAGACTTTCAGGTATCCCAAAATTACTGCTGTGCCTTTGGCCAGACCCCAAAAACTTGGGGCAAAGTTTACCAAGAAAATAAATGGCCAAACGTTAGGTATGTGGGAGACACATCCACAAACCACCTCCGGCTCAGCTATATAATTGGAGGCATGGCCACTCTAGTTCCTGATCAGACTGCTTAATGGCCATGATCCCAGAGACTCAGAAACAAATCTCGAAACCCAGAAACTCAGCGGCTTTTGGTAGAAATGCGTCCAGAACACACAGTAGGTTACTGTCGCCGGGCCAACCCAGGGGGTAAAGGGTGCTGTCCCTCCGCCTGCTGCCCCTTGGTGGCTCAGTGGCCACGATCCGCCAGAGGCCATTGGACAGTCAGGTTTGGGCCCACAGTGACAAAAGACTCGGGGCCTTGTGGGATGGGGTGGAGCCGGCCCTTTCCTCCCTGTCCCAACAAGACCCAAAGTCGCTGCCCATGAGCAACGTCTCTGGCTCCTGATCAAGCTGCTTAACGGCCATGATCCCAGAGACTCAGAAACAAATCTCAGAACCCAGCAAGTTGTGGCAGAAATCCCTCCAGATTTAATTGTTAAATTTTTGGAATTTCAAAAACTGCAGCCGCGCGACATCATATGTTATTCATAAGCAGCAATAGAAAACAAATTGTCTCCTGGTGACTTTTTGGCAGATCTGAGTGTTGGGGTAAAATCCCAAATAATACAGGTAGGTCTGTTGTCAAAATATTGAATGTAATCAAAGTAGAGAGAAGGTAATGTGAAAATCATCTGCCCCACAGGTAGGGGGATGATTCAATTTTTTAAAAAATTTTTAAATAGTGCAGGGTTGTGGTTGAGACAAATAGGACTAAGATAACTCCCATGTCTACTATTTTTCCCTCTCTTTTGCTTAAAATTGTGGAGGAAAAAAATATCTATAATTATTTCAGTTTTAGGAAGCATGAAATGTTTGTGGTCTATTTAAGTGATGCTAGTACTGATAAAGTAAAAAATTTGCCCAAGAATATTTTGAGTTACAATTCTCTGTATCTAGCAATGTACCTTCTTAGTGCTAATGTGAGTTCATGCATACGACTGAGTCCAAAATAAGAGATACAGTGTCCCCTTGTGGTCAGAAGTTTGAAGCCATTCTGAGTACATTTGACATCCTGGCAAGTTTTGGTTTTCCCTTAAAATTGCTTCAATTATTGAGACAGTCTATCCAAAGATAAAATACATCAATAGTCACTCTCACCAGAGTGACTTCAGACACTGTTGGTGTGAAATTTTTCTGGAGTAGATTGATACCAGGGAAATCAATTGTACTAGCTGCAAATTAAGGGGTATTAGATCCAACCAATGCCAGTCCTCTGGGAACTTAAAGTCTAGAGAACAATACAGACAAATGAAGAGGCAATTACAAAAATCATCGGCCTAATCATCAGCCATCTCACCTGCACCTAAAGACATGTTATTCAGAATGGATCTATACACTCAATAGTTAAGGCAACTACAGAGCTTCCTTTCCCGTGTCCCAGTTATTGATGCGACATTTTCAGTGCTAGAATTTCTAGGTATACCACAGTATTTGAGACACTGCTTTGGAACTTTAGATCTATTCTAAAGGACTGATGGGTTCAAATTCAAACTACATCTGTGCCAGGGGACATTTCAGAATGTCTCCACATTGAGATGAGATGGGCATGATAGCCTCCTCCCATATTCTTTTATTTTAGAAGCTGAAGCTAAGGCAGATATTCTTTTGCAATTGGTTTATAGTGAGACTTCTCTCAAAAGAAATCTGGAAGCAGTGAAAGAAGTAGAACAATGCAGAAAAGATGCAAAGATGCAAAGGAAAGTGGGAATTCAACTGAGATCTTTACTTAGTGTGATCTGGGGTGCAGAAGTATGAATAATACACAAGGTTCTAATACTGAATTTGGGTAACTAGTTGTAGCCCCTGAATCATTCAGTTGTTGACATTGGACACCAATCCTAGCAAAAAGATGTGACTCCCAAGTATTTTCTGGACAAACTTTCCCTGTGGGTAAGATTAATTACCTAGAAAAGAAGAGCAGTTAGACAATTTTAGCTACCAATACCACAACACCAGTAGGATAGATGCACCAGACTCAGTGAATAGAATAGTTCAAGAATCTGTCTCACCTGCTATCCTCAGAAAATAGAAGTTCAGAGCTGCTGTCAGGTACTTTATATCTGTGTCTACCTATGAAACATTTTTTTGCAAGAGGTTTTCATGTGGATATTTCACTTTATTTGTCAAAATCAACTTTCTTTGCTTCAAATTTCAATTTTTTCCTGTGACAATAAAAGGTTATCATTTAAATTATTGGATTTCCTTCTCATAGAACCTATTATCGGCCATTAATAATTAATCCAAAGACATATTTAAACAAGCATTCTAAGCAATACTTGCGAAAAGGAAAACAGTTTCAGCAACAGTTTGACGCAGCCGACCCCAGCCATGGACATCTTAAGCATAGTTTGTATTTTTTTCTACTTGGGAAGAATTTGGGGACAGGAGCAAGCGTAAGTGAAGGATTAGATATTTATTTGCAGTGTGTCTTGGTGATCGTTATAAAGGAAAAGAAATTTAGTCCATACCCTATGAAATTAACTTGCTTTTTCTGAAAACACCAGTGAATTTTCTCTTTTCTCTGTTGTTCAATGTCATTTCCAGCCATGCATGGTTTGTATTCTAATATAGGCTATTACCTACATTTTGCCCCCATGAAAAAGTAACTAGTATTTTGTAATTAGTATTTTGATTCAAACTGATTCTTCAAAAGACAGAGCATAATCCATATTTGTACTTCTTTTAGGGGACTCTGTTAAATTTCACCTGATGGAACTAATAAATTCTCTTTTATCTGTCTCCATAAATTTGCACCCTTAGGATGCTTTTAGAGACATATTCAAACTAACTAACTAACATTTTATATGTCAGATCCAACCAATACCAGTCCTCTCGGAACTTAAAGTCTAGAGAACAATACAGGCAAATGAAGAGGCAATTAGAAAAATCTGGGTAATGCTTGTTTAGAAATTCTATTTCATTACCTATGAAATGGAATCATCATACTATTATAGTGGAAGTTAATGACACAGGCACCTCTATAGGTGCATGTAAGAGATGATCTATTTGGTTTTTATCTGGGTGAACTGATTGTTTTGTGTTACAGATGGTCAGCATGCTATTCTTTCTTGGAATCCCCCAAAACCCAGAAGCTAGTCATTTCAGGAATTTGTGCTGTAACAATAGCTACTTCCTCAGGGTTGACTAATAGTTATACATATCAATGCATGTGACTTATTCAGTCACTTATTTTTGTCTTAATCATATTTAATGAAATTTTGAAAAATTAAAAATCTACTTCCAAGTGTTAAACCCAAATGAATTTCCTTGATTCTCCTATGTGAAAAATATTTAAATATTGTGTTTTATTAAGATTATTTCTATAATTTCACTTTTCAACAGGTATGTTGTCTTAGCACCTAAAGTATTCTACGTTGGTGCCTCTGAAAATGTAGTGATTCAAGTTCATGGATATACAGAACCATTTGCTGTGTCCGTTGCTATTAAAAGTTATCCTGACAAAAGTTTCACATATTCTCTTGGCCAACTGTATTTATCTCCAGAAAATAAATTTCAAGGCTCTGCAAGCTTAACTGTATGTATTCATTTCTTTCACATGTCAAATTTTTTTTGTAAAGCACAACACACAGAGATGATACATTGATCCCTTATACCTATGTAGATAAATATGTGATACTTCATACTTAAGTTAGATCACTGATAGATGATAGGTGCTATATATTTATACATGCTTGTGTGTGTAAATGTTAAAGAATTTTCCATAGATTTGGGAGCCATGTAAGGATATATGAGTTTTAATTAGTTAGTTAAAAGTTATAAAAATGAAAACTAAATCAGTCAACACATAAATAAATTTCAAAATTACATGATGAAACTTAGAAAAATATATTTTGTGTATCTAAATTTTATATAATATTGGGGTAAAATTATATTTATATAGAGACATACAGGTTTCACATTTTTCTTAAAATTTTAATGAATGGTGAAAAATAGTAAATGGAGAGCATTCTGAACATTTCTTAAATTATTATAATCATTTAGGAAATATTCTGATTTAAATAAAAAATGTTTATTTCTTAATTCTGTATCAATTATAGGCTTTTTGTCCTTTATGTTAGAACTTAAAAAAATTTCTTTCAAACTGTGAAATACGTACAAGGAAATTTTAAAAAGTGTCCACAATTCTACAACTACATACTAACCAGAAGAAATATAACTGAAAAGTAACCCGACTAAGCTATTTTTGTTTGTTTTTCAAAAAAACAGATAAAACCAAAAGACTTGCCTGAAGGGCCAAATGCAGTTTCGTATGTGTATTTAGAAGTTACATGTGCTCATTTTTCAAAAACAACAGAAATTCCACTACACTATGATAACGGATTCATCTTCATACAGACAGATAAATTTACCTACTCTCCAGATGAGCCAGGTATGAAGACAGAAGTTTTTTGTGGTAATTGTGGTGTTATGGTTTCAATAGTGTTAATACCTGTGCTTTTTGGAGAATGAAGTTGCAGCACCTCCACCAGTCAGAGGTCACCCACCACCACTTTTCCTTAATCTGCATCTGGTTCCTTTCTTCCTTTTCCCTCACAATCACTCTCTTTACGCCACTTTATCAACTCAAGTTTATACTCAAAGACCAATGGTTTATTATCATAAGATTCTGTCTATGCCCTTGATTTTTTTCTTTATATTCCACATATGAATTAGATCATTTAGTACTTAACCTCCCTCTGGCTTAACTCCATCAATGTTGAAGCGTAAGGCAAGATTTGATCTTTTCTTATAAATGTTTAATATCCGATTGTTCATATGTAGCACAACTTCTTTATTAACTTACCTGCTGTTGGACACTTGGGTTATTACTATATCTTGCTATTGTAAGTTGAACTGCAATTAAAATAGATAGATAGATGATAGATAGATAGATAGATAGATAGATAGATAGATATGTTTTGGAGTCACACTTAGCAGCTCTCAGAGCTTACTTCTGGTTCTGTACTCAGGTATTCTATACCCTGACAAAGTCAAGGGACCATATGGTGTGCTGGGGATCAAACCTAGGTGGACTTCATGCAAGAAAAGCACCCTACCTGCTATTTATCAATCTGATCCCTGCATATATCTTTTTGATCACAGTTTTTCTGTTCTTGGCATGGGTGCCAAGGAGAGGAATCTCTGAGTCATATAAGATTTCTACTTTTTCTTGTTCTATATGTTTTTTTTAATTCTCTTAGAAATTTGGTGATACCCAATTGTTCTTTGGATTTGTATTTCCCTGATGATAAGTGATAATGAATACATTTTCATCTGCTTGCTGGTCATCCATATGTCTTCTTCAAGGAGTGCCAGTTCATCTTCTCTCCCCAGTATTTTTAAGATTGTTGGAGACTTTTGTTTGTTTTTAAGTCTTGTGGGTAACTTAAGTATCTTGGATATCAGCCCGTTATCAGATGTATGGTGTGCAAATACTTTCTCCAGTTCAATACAGTTCTACTTTAGCTTGAGTTTCTTTTGCTGGGGAAAATCTTTTTTGTTTATGAACTCCTATTTGTTTGTTTTTTCTTTGCCAATAAAGTAGAATCATTGAAGTCATCACTGAGGCCCATTTTTAAGGTGTATTGCCTATGTTTTCCTCAATGCATTTTATGGAATCTTCTTGCCCTTCAAATGTGTATTTATTTTTATTCTCTTAAGTTTACTCTAAACTTCATGGTATAAAACCATAGATATATTAATAATATTATCAGCAATTTAGAGTTAAACAGAGTTTCTAAAATGACATTTTTTACAGTGAAAGTTAGAGTTTATGCACTGGATGAAGACTTAAAGCCATCACAAAGAGAAGTTACCTTAACCTTTATAGTGAGTATGACATTGATTAAATTCAAAATTTAACCTTTGTGTTTTATTATATTAATAAAGTTTTTGTTATTTTAATATTGGACAAATGTGCAATTAACTTTCAAAATATTAAATAATAGTTTTATTTAGCCTCTATTGTGTATACCACTAGGTCATGGTCCTCCCGTTGTTCACCGATTTGCTCGAATGAGCCCAGTAACGTCTCCATAATGAGACTTGTTGTTACTGTGTTTGGCATATCGAGTACATCACGGGTAGCTTGCCAGGCTCTGCCATGCGTGCGGGCGCGATACTCTCGGTAGCTTGCTGGGCTCTCTGAGAGTGGCAGAGAACCGAACTTGGGTCGGCCATGTTGGCTGCTTGTAAGGCAAACACCCTACCGCTGTGCTATTGCTTAATTTCATTATACAAAATTATTATATAAACACAAAGTTTTGTGGGCAAAAGTTAGTTGAAATATACTGTGATGTCTCATTAAAGTATACCCTTCAAGAACTGTCTTTAAAATGATTTTGTTAAATACTTGTATTTTCTTGCTACCTGAGAAATGTGGATAGAGTAATGAGGGTTACAGAGGTATACTTTGTAGTCTGTATCACTGTAGCTCTGTCCTCCCATTGTTCATCAATTTGTTCGAGCGGTAACATTGTGAGACTTGTTACTGTACTTTGTAGTACCTGTAAGAAATCCATGGCATGCATTGTATCATCATGACAACTTTATGGGGTTACTAAAAGCAATACCTCTTTTCGTAGATGAGAGATTGAGGTTTACAGAAATTAAGTCATCATTAAAATGATACACTACGGAAACATACGGGGCTGGAGCGATAGCACAGCGGTAGGGCGTTTGCCTTGCTCGCAGCCAACATGGCCGACCCGAGTTCGATTCCTCCGCCCCTCTCGGAGAGCCCGGCAAGCTACCGAGAGTATCTCGCCCGCACGGCAGAGCCTGGCAAGCTTCCCGTGACGTATTCGATATGCCAGACACAGTAACAACAAAGTCTCCAATGGAGACGTTACTGGGCCCGCTCGAGCAAATCGATGATCAACGGGAGGGCCTAAAATGATACAGATAATGATCAACTTGTTATACCAGTTTAATGGAGTAAAACAGATTAAGGGAAATACAAAACCTGTAGCAGAAAAGCTCTAAGGGAGGCAAAAAACAAATATGATTACTAAATTATACTGAGAACATTAAGGCATGTCTTAATTTTGATCATTTAGAAAATTACTGAGAAATATTTAAGATTTTTAAAAAGACTTTGTCTTGTAACTGCAGAAGGAATAGACATCTGGAGCCATGAAGAAGCAAGATAGAAAACTGAACATGACAATGGCTTGACCACAGCAGAATGTGCTGGAAATATTTAGGGAAAGACAGTGTCTGCTCCTGTATACTATCTTACATTGGGGCAATTATCGGGGGATAGGCAGGGTCAGATGAACTTAGTGTAAATGTGAAAGACACTGCAGTTTCTGGTTTCCTTGGAATTCCTTAGAATTTCCCATGAAGAGAAGACACTGAAGAGGTTAGAGGTCATTACCCTGGTATGTCCTAATATATTGAGGACATTATATATGTCCTCACATATATTGGTCTTGAAATTGACAAGGATCCAAGGAAACCTTTTGGGAAAGATATTATGAAAATTAAGTATGAATTATATTTTACAAGTCCAATTCTGGAACAAGAAAGAGAGAGTCTACTAAAGTATGCTTAATGTATTCTAAACATCCACTATTCTATTTATACCTGATATAAATACGAATCATATTAAGTGCCTTAGTCTTGTTATCAAAGCTGACAGTTGAGAATCATGGTACTCAAAGCCTGGTGATGTTCCATGAGCTTAAATTTAACAGAGTTTCTAAGAACTTAATGAATTATAAGAATAATCAATCAGGGCTGGAGAGAGAGTTCAGGGAGTAAGGTGCTTTCCCTGTATATAACTGTTCCCTGGTTCTATCCCTGGCATCACATAAGATTCCCTGAGCACCACTAAGAGTGATCCCTGAGCACAAAGCCAATCACATATCATTTTATGTGTGTGACCTTCTATTTATAAGTTGTTTAAAAATAAAACTTGGCATTTCTTTTCACTCGTAGGATCCAGAAGGATCAGAAACTGTCATGGTAGGACAGAGTGAATATGTTGGGATTACCACTTTTCCTGATTTCCAGATGCGACCTTATCCTAAGTATTTTAAATTATTATTAAAATTGTTTTTATTTCAAAGCTTTAAGGTGCCTGGTATTTCATGCACAGTCTGACGGAGCCATTTGCATATGACATAAAGGAGCTGCTGTAAAGAAAGTTCTGTTTTATTTTCTCAGGCTCAGTGAGTGTCCCTTCTAGCTGTAAAAGGATATATCGCTTGGGTTATTGCAATGCAAGGCAGAGGCCTGATATAATATGCCCTGTTGTAACAGCCAGATAGTCTGGTCTACTCGATTCAGAGAGCAACTTTCACAATAGTTCAAGCAGTAGACACTGTGGGAGAAAGAAACTTAACAGATATTGAGAGATAAGTAGACAGAAGAAAAATGAAAATGCCCACTAGCCTGTGCCTCAAATATTCTCTGATATTCATTATTAGGACATGGAAGACTTTTTTTTGGAATAGGATTTGGGATTTCCCTTTTGCATCATGCCTTGAAAGTGTGATGCATCAAATGAAGGAAAAATGTATATTTATGGATACCAGCTTATATACCTAGTACTCAGGTCCTTTATCATGCTCATCTTCAAGATGAGAATATTAATGATCAGGGAAACGAATAGGTCTCTTCAAATTGATCGACCAGGTCATACAGCCTTTAAGTGGTGGAGCCTAATTGGGAAATCACTTCACTCTGATCACCATTCTTGCTATTCTGTCCTCCTCCCACTAGGCCCCACCCAAAATAATACCTGAGGCCAGAGATAAGGCTTGATGGTAGAATACCATGCATGTATAAAGGCCTGAGTTCATTCCTAACACTGCAAAAATAAATTAATTAATAAGTAGTCATAAGTAGGTCATCTCCCACTGGCTTGAGTTACAAATCATCAACATTAAACTTGATTATTTTAATAAGTTTTTCCAATCTAATGATGCTAAACTATATTCCATATTTTCCAGCAGGCTGAACAGTATATCTAGTAATATGATTAAACTTCAAGAGTGATTGAGTAAGCAATGCCTTGATATTTAAATATTTTTAGCTAATTTTCATACTATGATACATTAAATAATGAATGAGTAGAACGAAAATTATAATTTCAGTATTTACTTTTGTTTTATAGTCTTAGCTTAAGTTTTTTTTTGTTTTTGGCACCATGATTTATGATAATGTTCATATAAATGTTCCAGAAATACAATGTTACTACAACACACCAACAACAAGAGTGCCAGGATCCTTCTACCACATTCTCTAGGTTCCCCTCTTTTCACTTACCATCTTCATTTAGCAAACTCAGTTCTATAGGCAGCCTGTCAGGGTCTAGTATCGATAGCCTTGTTTACTGCCTTAATATTTTCTTTATATTTAACATATCTGTAGAATGTTTTGGTATTTCTCCTTCTCTCTTTGACTCACTTTGTTCAGCATGATACCCTCCAAATCTATCCAAGTTGCAGTAACCTCCAAGATTTTATCTTTTCTTGAAAATTATTTCATTATACATGCATTTCTTATCCACTCCTGTGTTATTAGACATTTGAGCTATTTCTATATCTTGCAAAACAAGATATTGGAAATATATTAAAAATAGTTCTGAACTAAAAAAGAAGTGCAAATATCTTATTGAATTGATATCTTTGTTTTGTTTTGTGTGGGGATGTTCATTGTGGCAGGTATTGCTGTTGTGGGAGTTTTTTGGTTCTGTGTTCCCATCTGGCAGGACTCTGGGGCAACTCCAGGCTCTCTGCTTGTGGCTCATTCCCAGTCGTGCTCACTGCATCAGTGATGCAGTGCTCTGGATTGATCTTGGGTCTTCTGCATGCAGAGCATGAGCTCAATCCATTGAATCATTTCTGTCCCTGATTTTGTGGGGTGGGGGTAGATATCAAGAAGTGGAATTGTGGGGCTGGAGCAATAACACAGCGGGTAGGGCATTTGCCTCGCATGTGGCTGACCCAAGTTCGAATCCCAGCATCCCATATGGTCCCCTGAGCACCGCCAGGAGTAATTCCTGAGTGCAGAGCCAGGAGTAACCCCTGTACCCCTGTGCATCGCTGGGTGTTTTATACCTTTTCTTAATTCAATATTGTGAGTTTTTGTGATTCTAAAAATTGATCCATTTCTTCTAGGTTCTCCAGCTTAGTGGCACATATTGGGCACAGTAACCCCTTTTGAGCTTTCTAAGAAGTCTGTGGAAATTTCTTCTCTTTCATATCTGATCTTATCAATTTGTTTTCTCTATTTTTAACCTTGTGAGTCAAGGTAAGGGTTTTAAAATCTTATTCTTATGAAAAATCAACTCCTGGTATCATCTACCATTTTATTATTTTCTTGATTTCTATATCATTGATATAGAAATAATTTCCTAATTTTAATAATTTCCTTCCTTCTACTTACTTTGTGATTCAGTGCTGTTCTTTAATTAGCTTCTCATGATGTGAGATTATGTTATTTATCTGAGCCTGTTTCCATTTCATGATGTAAAAATACTGAGTACTCTCTCTCTTTATATATATATATATATATACATATATATATATAGCACCCTTAGGTACTATATTCATCTAAATGTATTTTTTGTTCCTTCTTTAATTTTCTCTTTGTATCAGTGTCATTTAGCAATATGTTCTCCATTTTCCAACTAATAGACAGTTTCTCAGCTTTCCTTTTTTGCTTAATTTTTACCTTAATGTCACTGTGTTCTAAATAGATACTTGTATAATTTCTATTTCTGTGATTTTGTCACATATTATTTCAATTAATAAATCCAATAAAAATAATTTGGATATGAGACATGATCATTTCATTATTTTAATTAAATATATGTTATTTGATGATATAAAACTTTTCTTTTTGTTCCGGGGGTTACATACAGTAGTACTCAGGACTTATTCCTGGCTTGGCACTCCGGGATCAATCCTGGTAAATCTCTGGGGACCATTTGGGATACCAGAGATCAAGCCCTGGCCAGCCACATACAAGGTAAACACTTTACTTACTTTGTTATTTCTCTGATCCCAATACCAAAACTTTTTAATATGTTCCTTCACAGATATGGCTTATGGACAATTAAAACTAAATTCAAAAAGGACTTCACAACAACAGGAACTGCGTATTTTGAAATTAAAGCTGGTAATTTCTGTGAATAATTGAGATTTACAATGCCTATTTTTATTCTTTTTTAATTTTTATTAGTGAAACACCATGAGGTACAGTTGTAGACTTACAAATTTTTGTGCTTGGGTTTCAGTAATACATCCCTCCACCGGTGCCCATTCCCCACCTCCAATGCTCCCAGCATCCCTCCCACCCCTCTACCCCCTCCCATTCCACACCACCCCTGTGGCAGGGCATTCCCTTTTGTTTTCTCTCTCCTTTCGGGTGCTGTGGTTTGCAAAAGAGGCATTGAGTGACTATCATGTTCGGTCTATAGTCTATTTTCAGCATGCATCTCTCATCCTGGGAGGGCCCTCCCAACAGCCTTTACTTGGTGCTCTCCTCTCTATCTGAGCTGCCTTCTCCCTCAGCATGTGCGGCTGCCCTCCAAGCCATGGAGTGAACCTCCTGGTACTTATCTCGGCTATTCTTGGGTGTTAGTCTCCCAATTTGTTGCTTTATATTCCCCAGATGAACGCAATCTTTCTATGTCTGTCCCTCTCTTTCTGACTCATTTCGCTTAGCATGATACTTTCCATGTAGTACCACTTGTATGTAAATTTCATAACTTCATCTTTTCTAACAGCTGCAAAGTACTCCATTGCGTAGATGTACCAAAATTTCTTTAACCAGTCATCTGTTCTAGGGCTCTCGGGTTTTATCCAGATTTTAGCTATTGTGAATAGTGCAGCAATGAACATAGAAGTGCAGATGTCATTTTGACTATACCTTTTTGCCTTTCTGGGGTATATTCCCAGGTGTGGTATTGCTGGGTCAAATGGGAGCTCAATTTCTAATTTTTGGAGAATCGTCCATACTGTTTTCCAAAAGGGCTGAACCATTTGGCATTCCCACCAGCAGTGAAGGAGAGTCCCTTTCTTGCCACATCCATGCCAACACCAGTTGCTTTTGACCTTTTGGATGTGGGCCAGTCTCTGTGGTGTGAGATGATATCTCAGTGTTGTTTTGATCTGCATCTGCCTATTTTTAAATATGAATAGGAACTTCGTGCCAGGCTGTGTGGCGGGTGAGAGCCCTCCCTACCCCAAGGGACCCAGCCCCGGCAGCTGACCTCCACTACCCAAGCACCGTCACACTCCAGGCTGTTTTCTGGACCTCGCGTCACATTAGAAGACACTTCCTACCCATTTATGCCTCACAGAGAGCCCAGCAAGCTACCGAGAGTATCCCGCCCACATGGGCAGAGCCTGACAAGCTCCCCAGGGCGTATTCAATATGCAAGTAACGACAATAGGTCTCATTCCCCTGACCCTGAAAGAGCCTCCGGTGGTTGGGAAAAGACAAGAAGAGGCTGCTAAAATATCAAGACTGGGAGGAATAGATATGTTACTGGCACCCACTCGAGTAATTCAACCATCAATGGGATGACAGTGATACAGTGATACAGTGATACAGTGATTTTTAAATAGCTTACAGTAATTTTATTACCTCAAAACAAATTAATAATAGAAGAGGGTCGATGAAGAGTGATAGAACAGAGGTACAATGGGAAATGGGAGACCAAGGATTTTTGGTCTGACTCACCATAATTCAATCACTAAATTCTGAAGTGGGTCAAAGGGTCAAATTCTTTAGGAAGCTAGGATTAGATAGTGTCTTAGCAAAATTCAGTGTTTGTCTGACACTCTCAGGATTCATCTGATCCAGTTCCTCTCATCTAAAGATAGGTTAAGAGAGTTAGGCTGAAAGAAATGGGTTGATATCAAGTTTTCACCACTATGTTGTCCACGCAAAATAGAGAGTGAGCATGGACCTCTAAAAATACCAGCAAAAACTTCTTCCCATCAGCCCTAAATATTCAATGAAGTACTTTAACAAATTACTATGGTTAAAATAAAACCTTATTAGTTCAACTTCCATATATTCTATTTCAGGATAAAATATTACTTCTCTCTATTATTTCTAATAAAAATTAATGACTAGATCTTTTCATTCATACTAAATAATTAACTTGAATGATTATATGTAAATTTGTTCCTAAACCATTTAAGCGATGTTTTCTGTCCCTCAGGTTGATGAGAGAGCTGAAGCATTCATTAGAGAATATCAAGTGCATGAAAAATTGGAAACATTCAATATATTAAAGCACGGCAGAAGAGTATCTACTAGAGCAATTAGACTCGGGGTTTGGTAGCAACATATTAACTCCCGTGGCTGAACTCTGTTCTAGTCACAAAGTCCTTGCTCTGCCTCTTTGCCAGTCCATTGAAGGGCACGCTCCTCTGACATGAGAAGAAGCAGTCACAACAGTGAGATTTTGTTATTCTAATCACCACCATCCCTGCTCACCCTGCACCCAAGTGTCCCTTCATGTTCTTGATTCTAGTTCCGTTTTAAAAATAGTTATATTCTACAGATAATAACTAGGATATATATTTCCTAAATGAAAGTTTAAGATTCATGCTCTTATATATTGGACACTAACTGGAAGAAAATGATTGAACATCGACATCTTAAAGAAGCAAGTAATTTTCCAATTTAATAAACATCTGTCAAACACTTTACTATACGGGAGTCAAGTTTACACAGAGAAGCAAGATTAAATCTTATTCTCCAAGAGCTCAAATAGTAGCTTAAATAGTAGCACATATGATTTAATAGCGACAGGAATGCAGCAGGAAAAGATGTAATTGGCTCCTAACAGAAGGATCAGATGTGGTATGAATAGTGGATAGAAAACAAGGTTATACATGTTTCTGATGTATATCATTATATACATCATGTATATGTATTCCATCCCCTCTGTATTCAGACATTTCTTTCTTGAAATATAATTACATTTGAACCCGTGTTATTCTTTTTGTTCAGCTTCAGATGCAATGAGACCCCAATTCACTGTATTAATAGAACCAGAAGACTACTTTATTAGTCATAAACACTTTGAGGACTTCAAAATTACTATAAAAGCTAGGTAAGAAAATTATTTGCCAAATGCAAACAGATTCTATTTCAAGGGTCAATATAATTGAATGCTAGTACTTGGCTGGTGTTCTTATGCTGAAAAAGACTCTGAGATTAAGTGTGAAAAACAGTGTGATTGAAAATCATAGCTATATTTGTCATTACCGATTCCATTCTTTTTCTGTTTAGTTACTGTTCTTAACTTTCTTTCTTGTGCTATACTGGTTTTTAAAGTTTATGATTGGCATTTAACACCAGTTTTAGACCTCATCTTTTTCTAACATTTCACTTAAGACCTTACATTTTCTCCTAAGTATCTCTCAAGTACATTTCACAAGTAGGTAAAATTATAGTGGTTTTAACTATTAGTTTTAATTTTGTTTGTTATTTTATCCATAGGAAATTTAGATATAAATTACAATTATAAAGTATTGTTTATGAGATTAAAAATTTATATTGAATTACTTCTAACAATTTACAAAGGAATGTATGTGTGTGTGAGTCAAAAATGGTCATAATTGTTGGCATAAGTATATTTGCTGATGGGATTCTTGCCTTTGTTTTATAATATTAAAGCAAAAAATAATTCTAAAGATTGAACATTATGTTGACTATTCAAGTGACTACTACTACTCGGAAATAAAGTATTTTGTGACTTTTATTTGTGACATATCTTAATCAATATTAATTGATTATAATCATTATCCAAAAAGCCTTTATAAAATATTCTTAAGAACACTGGCTTGCTGTTTTATATTTAAGAAGAGAAAAAATCATATTTTCCATAGATTCAAAGGGTAAATATGGGATTGACTTACAAACAGCTTGCCTCCCATAACTGTGGCGCAAATGGGATGTTCTCCATAATAAAAGGTGCCATAAAGAACCAATTGTCACATCATGCTACAATGATAGATAAAATACAGACACAAACACATAGATCTTGAGTTCTGTTCTCCACCATGTTACTATGGACTTAACGTTTAAGGGAAGATATGCAAGTTCTTTTCACCACACCGGGACTCAAATTCCTCATTTGTCAAAATGAATAAAAATATGTACTTAATAATATAAGAGCAGGATCAGAGGCCTTGGACATATCTGTGATTTAGAGTTGAGGTAAATATAGAGCTGTGTTTATATAAACCTTTATGGCAAACACTACTGTAAGCATAATACCCAAACTACAATAAGTGTGCCTGAGAAGGAGGTAGACTGGGGTCAGAAGGGAACCTAAAAACATTGATGGAGGGATGCTGACAGTGGTGACAGGACTGTATACTTGAAACGTATTTGAAATGCTGTTACTGACATCTTTAGAAACTACAGTAACTAAATTAACAACAGCAACAACAAAACCTTTTTAAAAATTCCAATTAAAAAAATCTCCCTTAGGGAGAAGCATGCTGAAAGTAGACTATAGATCAAACATGATTGCTACTACTCAATGCCTCTTTTGCAAACCACAACACCCAAAAGGAGAGAGAGAACAAAAGGGTATGCCCTGCCACAGAGGCAGGGTGAGATGGGGTGGATGGGGGGTGGGAGGGATACTGGGATTCTTGGTGGTGGGAAATGGGCACTGGTGGAGGGATGGGTATTTGATCATTGTACAATTGAAACCAAAGCACAAAAATTTGTAAGTCTACAACTGTACCTCATAGTGTACCTCACTGTACCTCAATAAAAATAAAAAAATAAAAGAAAAAACATTGAAGTATAAAGGAAAATAATCTGTAAAAAATCTCCCTTAGCACAGCACCTGTTGGTTCTACGAATGAAATGCATTAGCAGATATAAACACTCTTTTCAGAGCAGAAAGAAAATTTTACCTGATTAAATTTTATTTCATTACTGTAATTGCTTTGTTTAAAAAGTAGTTAACTGTATTCTCTTTTACCAGATATTCTCCTAATGAAAATGTTTCTGAGGCTGATGTTTTTGTATTTTTTGGAATAAAAGAAAAATTAGATGATAATAGAAAGGAAATGATGCTTGCAGGAACACAAACCACGAAGGTAAGAAAGGCTCAAGCAACCTTTACAGAAATGAACAGGAGGCAATTCACTAGAGTATATATAATAAAAGTGAGCTTTAACTTCTAAGAGTTTATAGAATTAAACTTAACCAATAATGCTTTAGACTTTGGAAAGTTTCACTTAAAGTTGAGTTTTTAATATTGCTTTCTAAAGCAATTTAAAATCTATATGAACATAGTTGTATTTTTATATTAAGTTCCAACAGATACACATTGATATCCAATTACAGCCTCAAATTCTAGACAGGATGAGACATAATTTTTTATACATCAGAGATTTTCAGTTTCCCCCCAAAAATTCTGTCCTTATTATCTTACAATATAACCTGAACCTTAGGGCTTACAAGGAATGACCTAAATATTAAGGACTAGAGTGCCTTACAGATTTGTGCTTGTGATTGTGTAGTTTCTACCTATCACTAAATATCATTGTCAACTGGAGATTTTTCAAACTGATGAAAGCAGAATCTGTTGTTCCCTTAGTGAATCCTTCTCTAATATAGCTTCTACTTTTTTGTCTCCTCTTGAAACAGCTTATTGATGGAATAGCAAAAGTTAATTTTAACACTTCAAAGGCAATTTCATTATCGAATAAAAACATAGAAGAATTAAATAACAAGTACCTTTATATTTTTGTGGAAGTAAAAAAGGGTGAGTTTTTAAAGTAATGTGGACATTATTTCTTACAGCTCATCTTTCTATTTTTTTCCATGTTCTCTTCTCTTTGCTACTTTTGTTGCAGCTCATGCTTGGTTATGGCGTTCACCGGAAATCACATTCTGTTTGTAGTTCACACATTTGGCCTTGGCGTTGACATTGCACACTTAATTGTTTACATTATGGTTATAGTACTCCACTGAGGTTATCTTAAAGATATTTCTTATTTTAAAGTTTGGATATCAATTGGTAACTTATATTCAGTTCACAAGTATAGTTGCTTTTCCAAATATGGTACAGGAACTCCAAGCAGATGGTATACTCATGAAAGGCATCACTATATAATGGTGACTCCCAACTCATAATGTAAAGAATAGCACTTTACGTTATCAGAAAGAGCAGGCAATGCTGATACCTGGAATTTTTACTTGCAACAAACAAGTGAGAGCAAAATTATTCAAATTATGAAAACATTACTGAGTCACTTTCTTACATATTATTAAAGAGTTAACATATGTCTTCTACCATAGCACCCATTATTTGGATGATACCTTTGAAATAAATACCAGATAGAAGTGTCTCTTCCAACAGGATTATCAACTCCTAGAGTATATGAGTATTTTTCACTACCTGAAAGTAAAGTGGAATGAATTATTTAAAAAATTGTTCAGACAATATATCTGAAACCAATGAATGGAAATCTTACCTATGTTCTGATAACCACAAGTTACTTGTTCATGGAAGGGTCAAAATCTTCCAAGATTACTACAGAAATGAACCAGATTTAGGTTATAATTTTTAAAGTCCAGGAAATAAATGAACAACATGTCCTTATCCAACTAAAGAGAGAGACAGAGTAGATATACAGGCAGATGTTTATGCTCCATTGTACTTACCAGTTTCTTACCTACTATCCTATCAGGTGACTCTATCCACGAAAACAAAGTAGCTGATGTTGAGTACATCCTCTCTCCCTACACACTGGATTTGGTTGCCACTCCTCTATTCCTGAAGCCTGGGATTCCATTTTCCATCAAGGTGGGATGACTAGAAAATCAAATATGGTGCACCTTTAGTCTAATATGGTATGGTAGAGGAAGGGCATAGATTTCTGAGATACCTTGCTCTGGTGTGTAGCTACTTCAATGGAGAATAGATTAAGGGAAATTAAAAATAAACAAGGAAATCACAAGAGCTCTGAGGAAAAGCTATAGATTCAATCCAGTCATGACAATAATTTAACTAAACTCTTAACAAGCATTTATTAAATAATTCAGTAATTATGCCTTGAATTAAATGTAATTGTATGTCTTAAAAATTTAAAACAAAACCCTAGTAGAATTGCATTTGACCTCTGAGTTAAATTCTAGCAATTTGTACTTGGGAGTGAAAGAAGAAACTATTTTAGGGTTTTCTTATTTTTTAAAAAATCCATGTTAACAATTATTAGTTTACTGTACTGTTACAGATGACAATGCTAATTAATTATTTAAATAAATTTGGTCCAACAGGTACAAGTGAAGAACGTCATTGGCCATTTGATAAGAGGAATTGCTGTGACCTTGAAAGCAAAAGTAGTTCACAAAACAATGAAGACAAACCTGGATATAAGACAAAGTAAAACAAATTCTGATGGAGTAGCCTCATTTGTCATTAATATTCCCACTGATGTGACAACACTGGAGTTCCATGTAAGCAGAATTCTCATATGCTGAATTTCAAATAGTGTTTCAATCTGTGTAGTAACTAGTATGCAAGAAACATGGAAGATATTTTGTACATAAGTCTAATGAACTTCTCAGAAAATTTTGACTTGTGGCTATAGGAAATACAATTAAATTTACTAAATAGCCCATGAGTGTAAAATCTTAGCACGCTGAAGGTTGTGTGTTTGCGGGCTCTCTGACGGGTCTATCTTACCACCTGCATTCGGTGCTCTTGAGCCGCTGAGTGTGGCCTGGATCAGGACAGCTGTTGGCCAAGGATAGACAAAGGAAGAAACGAGGGCCAGGCTGGTAGATATCAATTCTAGTTTATTCCAATCCTCTAGACTCCTGTCTCTCCTCTGCCTCCTTCTCTCCTGGGCCCCAATCTGGAACTCCTTCTCCTTCTGGCTCTGACTCTGGATCTCTGGAGCCCGAGCTCTCTCACTTCTGACTCTGCTCTCTCCGAGCTTACATTTTTACTTTATATAGCAATCACTTAGGGTGGTAACACAAAGGTGGGTTGAACATTAACAAATCAACAAAGAGAGGTAAGACCGCTCCTCCAGGAGATTGACTCAAGGATAAAATCTCATCTAAAGAGATTTCTCCAGATTGCTAGGATATCCGCTCAAGGGTGGGATCCTAACAAGGGTGTGTTCTTTCCTCAGGTAGTAATCTACTTAAATAGTTGTAGTAAATCTACTTCTAATATTTCTAGCAATGTCATTCTGTGTGAGCACAGTAAGAGATATAAACATCTCACTATACATTCTGCGGTCCTCAGGCCAGGTTAGTCTTCCTAGCCCCAGCAGGGAACTAATCTCGTCGTTAGTTACTTTTGGATTATGACAGCATTTGTCCATGATCATACCCTCAACTTATAGTTGAGTATTATGGCGCTTTGGCCTGGCCCATTTCAATGCTACGGTAGCTCACAGCTTGTCCTGGGTCCATTCAGTCCCTTGTTGGGACCCTGCTTTGGGGGTGCTAGGAACTAATGGCAACTGAGTCAAGAAAACAGATGCCCAGGAGTAAATATTATTTGGAGTCAATCAACTCCTAAGTTAATCACTTAATCACTTAACCTCCCGTTAGTGGTCGATTTGCTCGAGCGAGAGCCAGTAACATCTCCATTTGGCCCTGTCACGTGCTACTGTAGCCCAATGGCATCTGTTCACTCTGGGAACATGAAGAGCCTCAAACCGATCGTTCATGATCTTGATGAAGAAGTCTGACCATCTGCTAGGTGTGCGGCCATGCGGTCTTTTGACATCCCGTGGAATCCAGTCGGTAACAGCTCTAGTCCAGCGGTCATCTTTAAATCTCATTACGTGACCAGCCCATCTGATTTTTGACACCTTGGCAAATGAGACAGCGTCCCTGATTCTCGATGGATGTCGGAACTCCGGATTCTTTCTCTCATTTGAGTGAAACGTGATATTCCAAGCATAGCTCTTTCAATTCCTCTTTGGGAGACCTGAATAGCGTTCTCATCCTGTTTGCGTAGGGCCCAGGTCTCTGAGGCATATGTTAATGCAGGAAGAACAGTGGAATCAAAGAGATGTGCCCGGAGCCGGAAGTTCTTCGTCCTCTTAGCTATTTCTTCGACGTTCTTGAAGGCGTTCCAAGCTGCTCTCTTCCTCCTGCACAGCTCGGGTGCCAGGTCATTTGTCATGTTGACTTCTCGACCTAGGTACACATAGCTGTTGCATTTGGAGATGGTCGTTCCGTTGAGAGCGAATGGGGCATCAGGAACAAGGTTGTTTCTCATAAACATTGTCTTCGTAAGATTCAGCTGTAGTCCTACCTTTCCACACTCACGGTCAAAGTCGGCCAGCATTTGTGCCACTTGGCTGGTGTTTGGTGTTATTAAAACAATGTCATCAGCAAAGCGGAGGTGGTGTAGTTGCCGACCATCTATCTTCACTCCCATTCCTTCCCATTCTGGTCATCGCATGATGTTCTCGAGGGTGGCACTGAAGAGTTTCAGTGAAATGGTATCACCCTGCCGCACCCTTCTCTTGACATCAAGGATCACTTCTTTGTAGAATGGTGAGATCCTGGTAGTGAATCCGCAATACAGCTCACGGAGGATCCTGATGTATTGGACTTGAATGCCCTGATTGGCTAGGGCTTCAATGACCACTTCCATCTCAACAGAATCAAAGGCCTTCTTTAAATCAATGAACGTTAAACAGAGCGGCATCTTGAACTCCCGAGAAACCTCAATGAGCTTGGTTATAGTGTGGATATGGTCGATGGTGCTGAATCCTTTGCGGAACCTGGCTTGCTCGCATGGTTGTCCTTCATCTAGTGTTCTGCCAATCCTATTAAGGATGACTCGAGTGAACAACTTGTAGATGACAGACAATAGGCAGATCAGGCGATAGTTGCCAATGTCATGGATGTCTCCCTTCTTGAACAGTAGTAGGGTCCTGCTGGTTTTCCATTAGGACGGAACCTTGCATTCAGACAGGTAGCGAGTGAAGAGCCGAGCCAGTGTATTGATGAGTACTGATGGCAGGTTCTTCAGGTGTTCAGGTCTGACCTTGTCTGGGCCGGGTGCTGTTCGTGTCTTTACCGATGAAATGGCGTGTCGGATTTCAGAAGGGAGAACGTTGGGAACGACATATCCATCCTGTGGAATTTGGTATGTCGGCAAGTGGACATGGCTATCAAAGAGATTTGAGTAGAAGTCATGGATAATCTTCTCCATTGCCGTTCTGGAGGATGTGATGGATCCATCAGGATGTCGGAGGGCAGTCATCTTGGTCTTGTAGTTGGCAAAGGACAGGCGGGCGTTATGAATACTTTTCCCGGCTTCTGCCACATCTACCAGCACTTCTGCTCTTCTCTCTTTGAGAAGAACATTGATGAGGAATACGATTGACTGGTACAGCACCTCCATGAATGTGCGAGGAACGCCAAGAGAGAGATAGCCACAAAAAAAGCCTGTCTTCGAAAACTCTTGAGCTTATTCGCCAGCGTGGCTTGGTGCATGCCTCAGGCAACCGCAAGCTAATGTCCGAGCTCGCAAAGCAGTGCAGAGATGCGGTCAAGGAAGACCTCAAAGAGAGAAGAGCAGAACTCCCAAGTTACAAAACATAATATTAACTGTTTTCCTGTGTCCATACAGAAAGGACATTGCTTTAAGGTAAACTATTCAAAAGACATAAGGAGAGGACAGAGGCGCAGCTCTGGGCAACAAAGCTGAACGGCTCCAATTCCAAGCAGGTACAGCCTGCCCCCAAGGGCCTGGGACCCTCTTTGGGCATGCGCAGCTAGATCCAGCCCCTAGAAAGACGGTTTTCACCCCCTGATCTGCGTGGGACGGGCACAGAGGCGCAGCTCTGGGCAACAAAGCTGAACGGCTCCAATTCCAAACAGGTACAGCCCGCCCCCAAGGGCCTGGGACCCTCTTTGGGCTTGCGCAGCTAGATCCAGCCCCTAGAAAGCCGGTTTTCAACCCCTGATCTGCGTGGGACGGGCACAGAGGCGCAGCTCTGGGCAACAAAGCTGAACGGCTCCAATTCCAAACAGGAGACGTTCCCAACTCCTCGCCCAGTGCCAGGGACTCTTTCCGGAGCCGCAGCTGCTAATGCGGCCGCGAAATATTTTCTCACTACATATGCCATAGGAACCATAAGCTACCTTCTTAGATGGAAATTTCTCTATTTTAGCTCAGCCACTAGAAACACAGTAGCCAATAACTCATAAGCCTATCTTAACTCACACTGCATATCAAGCAGAATAGCAACAGTGAACGTAAAGGACCAAACCACACCTCTCACAATGGTAAAGCAACGCAAAAGCCCACCAAACTTTCATATTGAAGAGTCTAGCCCAGATGACACCAACAGTACTGTAGTGTTAGACAACCTCTCTGACAAGGAATTCAGAAGGGAGCTACTTAGGATGCTTAGGGAATTAAAAGAAACAATGGAAACCAATGCCAATAGAAGACAAGAGGATCTGAAGGCAGAAATGAGGAAAATGCAATCAGAAATGTCAGACCTGAAAAATCTCATAGGCGAATTGAAAAGCTCAGTGGAAGGCCTCAGCAACAGAGTAAGAGATGCTGAGAACAGAATCAGTGAGCTCGAAGATGAAGTTCATAGACTCTCCAGAAAAGAGCAGAAAATGGAAAAGAGACTCACAATTCGGGAACAGAGGGCAAGAGAAGATCGTGATGAAGCCAAGAGGGGTAACATAAGAATTATTGGAGTCCCAGAGGGACAGGAAGAAAACCTTGATGAAGAAGAAACTGTCAAAGACATCATTGCTACAACGTTTCCAGAGCTGAAGAAAACTTGTGACCACATTCAGGAGGCCCGAAGGGTACCAGCTAGAAGAAATACGAATAAAAATACCCCAAGACACATTCTGATCAAAATGACCAAAACCTTAGACAGAGACAAAATTCTGAAAGCAGCAAGATCAAAGAAAGAAATCTCTTACAAAGGAGCATCCTTAAAATTCACAGCTGATTTTTCTGATGAAACCCTCATGGCCCGAAAACAGTGGTGGGACATAGTGAAAAAACTCAATGAAATAAATGCCTCCCCAAAAATACTTTTCCCAGCAAGACTCTAATTCTTAATAGAAGGAACAACACAGTTTCACAGACAAACAACAGCTCAGGAACTTCATAGACTCAAAACGATGGTTACAAGAACAACTAAATGGGCTACTTTAAGGCAAGAAAGGCCCCTCAAATACACCAAATTTTAACAGAACAATGGGAAGAAATCCCATAACAATAATCTCTCTCAATGTCAATGGGCTAAACGCACCAATTAAAAGACTCAGAGTGGCAGGATGGATTAGAAAATTGAACCCAACATTCTGCTGCCTGCAAGAAACGCATCTCAATAGTCAAAGCAAACACAGACTCGGAGTCAAAGGCTGGACAACAATCTACAGGCAAACAGCTCCCATAAAAAAGCTGGGGTAGCCATCCTTATATCAGACCACATCGATTTCAGAGTGAGGAAGGTCATAAGAGACAGTGAAGGCCATTTCTTATTGATCAAAGGATCTGTACAACAGGAAGAACTTACAATAATAAAGGTATATGCACCTAATGAGAGACCAGCAAATTACTTAAAACAACTACTCATAGATTTGGAAAAAGACATCAATAGCAACACAATATTAGTGGGAGACTTCAACACTGCTTTGTCACCTCTCGATAGATCAACCAGACTCAAGCTTAGCAAGGACATACTTCATTTGAGGGAAACAATGGAAGAAAGGGACTTAGTAGATATATACAGGACACTTCATCCACAAAAAGCTGAATACACATTCTTCTCAAGCATACATGGAACATTCTCCAAGATAGACCACATGCTGAGCCACAAAACATGCCTCCATAAAATTAAGAAGGTAGAGATTGTATCAACAATCTTCACAGACCATAATGCGCTGAAATTAGAAGTAAATCACACACAAAAACAGAAAACTAAGTCAAACACCTGGAAATTAAACAGTGCACTATTGACCAACGAGTGGATTAGACAGGAAATCAAAGAGGAAATCAAAAGATTCCTAGAAACGAATGAAAATGAGAACACGAGTTACCAAAACTTATGGGACACAGCAAAGGCTGTGTTAAGAGGAAAGTTTATAGCTCTACAAGCATTCCTCAGGAAGGAGGAGCGAGCACACATAAGTAACCTAACCTCACAGCTTAAGAGCTTGGAGAAGGACCAGAAAAAGGAGCACAACCCGAACAGGAGTAAGGAAATAATAAAACTCAGAGCAGAGATTAACGAGATGGAAACCCAAAAAACAATCCGAAAGATCAATGAAACCAAGAGCTGGTTCTTCCAGAAAACTAACAAGAATGATAAGCCTCTAGCAAAACTCACAAAGAAAGGGAGAGAGAAAACCCTAATAAACCGAATCAGAAATGAAAAGGGGGTCATTACAACAGAAACCACAGAAATTCAGAAGATCCTCAGGGAGTACTTTGAGAAGCTTTATGCCACGGAACATCAAAACCTCGAGGAAATGGATAAATTCCTACACTCCTACAGACTCCCAAGGCTGAACCAAGAAGACCTGGAATACCTGAACAGACCTATCACCATCAAGGAAATCGAAATGGTAATAAAAAGTCTCCCCAAGCACAAAAGTCCTGGCCTGGATGGATTCACTAGTGAATTCTTCCAAATCTTTAAAGAGGACTTACTCCCAATGCTCTTTAAGCTTTTCCACGAAATTGAAATATCAAAAACACTTCCGAACAGTTTCTACGAAGCAAATATCACACTGATACCAAAAGCAGACAGAGATACCACAAAGAAAGAGAATTACAGGCCGATATCCCTGATGAACACAGATGCAAAGATCCTCAACAAACTACTAGCAAATAGAACCCAACTACTCATCAAAAAGATCATACACCATGACCAAGTAGGATTCATCCCAGGGATGCAAGGATGGTTTAACATTCGGAAATCAATCAACATAATCCACCATATCAACAAAAGAAAAGATAAAAAGCATATGATCATATCAATAGATGCAGAGAAAGCATTTGATAAGATCCAGCACCCCTTTATGATGAAAACCCTAGCCAAAATGGGTATAGAGGGGACCTTCCTCAACATAATTAAAGCCATCTACCACAAGCCTACAGCAAGCATCATCCTCAATGGGGAAAAACTGAGAGCCTTCCCTCTAAAATCAGGGACGAGACAGGGATGCCCACTCTCTCCACTGCTGTTCAATATAGTACTGGAAGTACTTGCAATAGCGATTAGGCAGGAAAAAGATATTAAGGGCATTCAGGTAGGAAAGGAAGAAATCAAGATCTCACTATTCGCAGATGATATGATACTCTACTTAGAGAACCCAATAACCTCCACCAAAAAACTCCTAGAAACAATAGACTCGTATAGTAAACTTGCAGGTTATAAAATCAATACCCAAAAGTCCATGGCTTTCCTATACGCAAACAGTGAGAGAGAAGAAAGCAACATGAAAAAAACAATCCCGTTCACAATTGTGCCCCAGAAAATCAAGTACCTAGGAATCAGCTTAACTAAGGAAGTAAAGGACCTGTACAAAGAAAACTACAAAACGCTACTTCAGGAAATAAAAGAGGACATGAGGAAATGGAAAGATATCCCCTGCTCATGGGTCGGGAGACTTAACATTGTCAAAATGGCAATACTACCGAAAGCATTGTATAAATTCAATGCAATCCCTATAAGGATACCCATGACATTCTTCAAAGAAATGGAGCAAACACTCCTGAAATTTATATGGAACAATAAGCCCCCACGAATAGCTAAAGCAATTCTTGGGAAAAAGAAAATGGGAGGAATCAACCTCCCGAATTTCAAACTGTACTACAAAGCAGTAATAATTAAAACAGCATGGTACTGGAACAAAGGCAGAACTGCAGACCAATGGAACAGGGTTGAATACACTGACATCTCCCCTCAATCATATGATCATCTAATCTTTGATAAAGGTGCAAGTAATGTGAAGTGGAGTAAGGAAAGCCTCTTTAATAAATTGTGTTGGCATCACTGGACGGCTACATGCAAAAAAATAGGCTCAGAACTCTGCCTAACACCATGTACAAAAGTAAGATCAAAATGGACTAAAGACCTCAACATCAGACCAGAAACCATAAGGTACATTGAAGATAAAGTTGGCAAAACCCTCCATGACATTGAAGCTAATGCTATCTTCAAAGATGCCACGCCACTGGCCGAGCAAGTGAAAACAGAGATAGATAAATGGGACTATCTTAAACTAAGAAGCTTCTGCACCTCCAAAGAAACAGTGACCAAAATACAAAGACAGTCTACAGAATGGGAAAGGATATTCACCAAATACACATCTGACAAGGAGTTGATATCCAGGATATACAAAATACTGGTTAAACTCCACAAGAAGAAAACATCCAACCCCATCCAAAAATGGGGCAATGAAATGAACAGAAACTTTCTCAAAGAAGAAATCCGAATGGCAAAAAAGCACATGAGAAAATGCTCTACATCATTAATCATCAGGGAGATGCAGATCAAAACCACAATGAGATACCATCTCACACCTCAGAGACTGGCCCACATTCAAAAGAACAAAAGCAACCGATGCTGGCGTGGATGTGGCGAGAAAGGGACCCTCCTTCACTGTTGGTGGGAATGTCCACTGGTTCAGCCCTTCTGGAAAACAGTATGGACGATTCTCAAAAAATTAGAAATTGAGCTCCCATTTGACCCAGCAATACCACTCCTGGGAATATATCCCAGAGAGGCAAAAATGTATAGTCGAAGTGACATCTGCACTTGTTTGTTCATTGCAGCACTCTTTACAATAGCCAGAAACTGGAAGAAACCTGAATGCCCAAGAACAGATGACTGGTTAAAGAAACTTTGGTACATTTACACAATGGAGTACTATGTAGCTGTTAGAAAAGATGAAGTCATGAAATTTACATACAAGTGGTACAATGTGGAAAGTATCATGCTAAGCGAAATGAGTCAGAAAGAGAGGGATAGACATAGAAAGATTGCATTCATCTGGGGGATATAAAGTAACAAAGTATGAGATTAATACCCAAGAATAGCTGAGATCAGCACCAGGAGGATTACTCCATAACTTAGAGGCCAGTCGGGTATCCTAGAGGAAAGGGCAGCTCAGATAGAAAAGGGAGCACCAAATAAAGGATGTTTGGAGGATCCTCCCAGGAGGGGAGATGCATGTCGAAAGTAGACTATGGACTGAACATGTTTGCCACTCAATGCCTCTTTTGCAGACCACAACACCCAAACGGAGAGAGAGAACACAGGGGATTGCCCTGCCACAGAGACAGGGGGGATGGGAGGATGGGGGTGGGAGGGATATTATCCATGGTGGTGGAAAATGGGCACTGGTGGAGGGATGGGTATCTGATCATTGTATAATTGAAACCAAAGCACAAAAAATTGTAAATCTACAACTGTAAAAAAAATAAAATAAAATAAAGGGGAAAAAAAGACATAAGGAGAGGAGAAATGCAATATTAACTTATAATACAATTTCAATGCCCTGGGATGGATGTGACCCGATAAACCTAAGCTACCTGAGGAAGGACAAAACAGTGTTATCCTACACATGAGTCTATCATTTTTATATATTTAAGAGCTAAGCACTTGATGTTCACAGTTAACTTTATTATTTTTAATCAATAAACTTTCTGTCATCACTTAGCAGTATAGCTTAGTACAGTGGTAAATCAATGAGCTGAGAATTTGCCTTTTGATAAGATATTGTGAAGCCAAAGTCATATAAAGCACATAAATGCATTCATATCTATCAATCACTTAGAACCAAGTCTTATTAAGTAAAGACGGAAAGCCCTGAGCACTAATACCCCACACCATGGTCATCTTTGATTGAGAGTTTTTTCAGTACTTGACATTTTTTTGTCATTATCTTCTTTAGGTCAGAACGAATGACCCAGATCTTCCAGAACAATACCAGGCCAGTAATGACTATAAAGCAGTGGCTTACTCATCAAATAGCGAGAGTTTTCTTTCTCTCACTTGGCCAGACAGTTACAAGAATTTGCTTGTTGGAGAACATCTGAGAGTAACTATCACTCCTAAAAGTCCTTATGTTGAGAAGATCACACACTACAATTACCTGGTAAGTAATTGCATCTATTTCCCTAATTGCCACATTCCTTTACTTATGCAAATAATCCTTTTTCTTGTGGTTAATAATGTTCATTAATATTTTAACAGAAAAATGCAAAGCAAAATGTCTTCATAATCCTGTTTTCTTTAAGAGTAACACAAAAATAAAGAACAATATATAAATTCAGGGACAGATGGACATAATAGCCAGAAGTCAAACCCAGAAATGTATCATTTCTTTATATAGAAATGTATCTATATCTAGATTTCCTATTAATTTGTTTTGTTTTGTTTTTATTTTTTTACTATGCCAGGTAGTGTTCAGGGCTTACTCCTGGCTCCTACTCAGGGATCACTCCTGGCAAGCTCAGGGACCAAACAGGGTAGTCGGGATCAAATCAGGTTGGCAGCATGCATGGCAAGTTTCCAGTTCTCTAAAGTATCACAAATAATCCTTGAAATTATTCCTTTGTCACCTGAGACAAAGCAACTCAAAATGATATTCAATGAGGGAATAGATACACTTGCACAGCACTTTGCAAATCTAAAAAGCACATTCAGAGTTGGTTCACAGAACTGAGTTTAGCAGAGCCCAAGGCAGGACATCAAAAAGGCAGAGTGGGGGACATCAAAAAAGGCATCAGAGGGGATCTTGGGACAGTGGTGGAAGGAAGCAGACACTCTGGCTGCAATGTTGGAACGTTGGATACACGAAACTCCATCATTAGCAGTGTTATAAATCATTGTGCTTCAACAAAGATTGAAAATAAATAAATAGCACACTCACAATGTCTTGTTAAAAAGCCTCATAACAGCTTCTGGAATTCATTAAGCAAGTGGAACAAAGTGGAGAGGGTCAGTGACCTGCCATGGTCGAAAGAACTTGGGGTAAGATTTTGTTTTGGGCCTTTTGACTTCTAAACTGATAGCCTGCAGCACGATGCTACGGGTTTGATGAGAGCCTTCACTCATTCCTTAGACTAATTATGGACAAGAAAAAAGCGATAGAAGGAGTTAGACTGCAAGGCCTGCCAATATCCCTTTAAAGCATGCCTTACTTACAAAAGGAAGAATTTAATCCTGGGCTGGAGCGATAGCACAGCGGGTAGGGCATTTGCCTTACACGCGGCCAACATGGCCGACCCGAGTTCGATTCCTCCGTCCCTCTCGGAGAGCCCGGCAAGCTACCGAGAGTATTCGATATGCCAGACACAGTAACAACAAAGTCTCCAATGGAGACGTTACTGGGCCCGCTCGAGCAAATCGACGATCAACGGGAGGGCCTTTACCTTTACCTTTACCTTAATCCTGTACTCAGGGGGTGGATATATCAATTCCTGGTGTTGCTCATGACTGTTTGAAATACAAACTAGAGGGACCAAGGGATGACTTATACGTAGAGCACATGCCTTGCAGGCATGAGTTTGAGGATCCCATCTCAATTCAATTATGGAGTGATACTGGTGGTACTATTGATCGGGATCCCTGGCGTCCTAGTAAAACGTCACACTTACATCTGGTGCAACACACCCTAGTGAGTGCAAACACTAAAACTTAGGTATCACCAACAAGCACTACAATCTAATGGGTTTAAATCTAGAATCACAGTTTATAAAAAAAAAAAAGGTAGACATTATTTCAACCTTTTTTAAGTACTAACTAGCAAGACCAAGAACATGATTTATCGAAAAAGACCTGGACTTTAAATCAGCATGCTTAAGTCTCACCCCAATGGATTTTCCTGCTCAGAAAAAACCTTTGAGGACACAATTCTAAATACTTTCCTTGTTGTGATAGATAACATCTAAGCCAGTTTCTGATATAATCAATACCTTTGTTGATACTAAGAGAAGCACCTTTTACATTAATGAAGACTTTGTATCTATGAGTCTCAATTCCTGAATTACTAAAAGGGGTTTAAATAAAACCATAATATGATCACAATGAACATGTTCATGTATGTGTGACAAATGCAAAATCTATGTTTAGCGGACAATAATTGTCTTCCTCTTTAGCATCAATTCAGTTTTCAACCCACTTTGGTGTTTCTTGCTGTGCATTTTTTTAGATTTCATCTAAGGGCAAAATTGTTTACTTTGGAGCAGAGAAGAAACTCCCAGGTTCATCCTCCCAACTTTTGAACCTTCCCCTGACTCAGCACATGGCTCCTACAGCCTGTCTCCTGGTCTATTACTTTGTCACAGGAGGTCAGACGACAGAATTAGTGTCTGACTCAGTCTGCCTAAAGATTCAAGAAAAATGTGGCTATCAGCTCCAGGTAAGCTACACAACTCTTACCAGCCTGAATTTATCCTATTTAAGCTGACATTAAGACTACTTAATCTGAATTTAAGGTTATTTCTTTCTCAACTTATTTTAGATTCATCTGTCTCCAAATAAGGATATCCATTCTCCAGACATAGGTGTTACTCTTACTATGGAAACACAGTCCAATTTGTGGGTAGCTTTATCATCAGTGGACATGGCTTCATATCACTTTGAAGAAAGAAGCAAAAATCCCAAGGAAAGAGTTAAGTAAAGTCAATGATTACTGATACTGGCATGACATAGGGCCACATAGGGCCAAGTGACCTCCATGGTTCTCTCAAGGGTCTGTGGCCTCCTCATAGGAGAAACACAAAGGATAAAAGATGCAATTACACCAATGTCTGTCTCCTGAACTGGATTTAAGGATAGTAATACCAACAGCCAGTATTTACTAAACACTTAACTATTCTTGAGTATAGTTTTAAAATGTTTACATCTATATTCTTTTGTTTGTTTGGGAATCAAGTAATGCTTAGGACAACTCCCAGCTAGGTGTTTGGGGAGTGCTCCAGGTAGTGCTTAGGGAACAATACAGTGCTGGGATGGACCCAAGGAGTCTTGATGCAAAGCTTGTACTCCAGGCCTTTGAACCATCTCCCTAACCCAACATCTATAAGTTTGTTAAAGATTCACAACAACCCTGTGAGAAGGATATAGTAAAGTAAGTAAGTAAGTAAAGGCCCTCCCGTTGATCATCGATTTGCTCGAGTGGGCCCAGTAACGTCTCCATTGGAGATTTTGTTGTTACTGTGTTTGGCATATGGAATACGTCACGGGGAGCTTGCCAGGCTCTGCCGTGCGGGCGAGATACTCTCGGTAGCTTGCTGGGCTCTCCGAGAGGGGCAGAGGAATCGAACTCGAGTCGGCCATGTTGGCTGCATGCAAGGCAAACGCCCTACTGCTGTGCTATCGCAATATAAATAATAATTTTTTAAATGTTTTGAATATAAATGGAGTTCTCATGTTGATGAAGAAAACTGTAATAGTCATATTGGTGACTTAGTGGATTCCCAGTAAGGGTAGAATTAAGTGAACTCAATCAGTTGAGTTACCCCTTTTACTTATGTGCCTGTCATCTAGATATCTCTATCAAGTATATATAGATATAGATATCTTGGGCTAATTTATTCTCCAATTTATTTTGTTTTACATTTACTTGTTTTATTTGGGAAAACAAATCAAATTCTTTAGTCTTGTTTTCTCAGGGAACAAACTAAAATGTAATTTATTGCATGTTCAGGAACTGACCCTCGAAGGCAACCAGTTTCAAATCATCTTCCTTCCTTCAAATCATCACCTTATTTAAAAGTCATTTATAAGAATAACCTCTAATATTATTGACTCAGAGAAAACACTTCCTACACTCACATATAAAATTGGAATTCTTGCATGTTCCAAGGAAGGTATATTACTGAAAATTCTGCTGTTCCGGTTGGTTGAGTTTATTAAATAAATGGAACTGTGATGAAAGCAGAAAACAGAGCCATAGTAGCAGACTACACAGATAAACATGGAAGTGAATGCAGCTGGGTGTAACCATTTCCCTTCTGGGGCCTCCTCCTACCACCAAATAACCCATCATTCATTTCATGTGTCACTCAACACTCAATTTTTTTTTCTTTTTGAGTCACACCCGGCGATGCACATGGGTTACTCCTGGCTCTGCACTCAGGAATTACTCCTGGAGGTGCTCAGGGGACCATATGGGATGCTGGGAATCAAACCCGGGTTGGCCGCGTGCAAGGCAAACTCCCTACCCACTGTGCTATCGCTCCAGCCCCTGGTTCACTCAATCTTGGTCACTATTTTTTTCTTATAACTATTTTCCTTATTTAAATAGAAAAAGAATCTGTTGAACATCTCCCTCCCCATTTTTCTTCTCTACTGAGAAGTACTGAAACACAGGGTCTCTCTGGGAAAACCATAGGGTTACCAGAGAAAAAAAGAAGAGATGGGAGAAATTTTATTTTTTCTTTCTTTTAAAAAATTGGCTTAATGTCCCCATGTGAGATATAACAACTTTCACAAATTTTCTTTTACTGAAGTATTTTTTGATCATTGCATTAGTCATTTAGCTGTACCAAGCAATATAAAATAAATTATTTTGTGCCTGCTAAGGGGGAGGTTTGGAGGGTGGATGGGAAAATGGGAACAAAGATGGAGGTCACACTGGTAGTGGGATTGGTATTGGAATATTGAATGCCTGTAACATATGCATTATGAACAACTTTGTAAACCACAGTGTTTAAATAAAGGGAACAAATTAAAATTTAAAAATAAATTAAAAAGAGAAAAAAATTGGCGGGGGGGGTGTCTTTGGACCTCAGCTGGCAGTAATTAGGGAATATTTTGGGTGGTTCTCGGGGTCATTCCCAGTGGTTCTGGAAACCTACATCATGCTGGAAATTAAGCCTGGGGACTCCTGCATACAATGGGGTCCTTTCTTGTGGCAGTGACACAGAGATGAAGAGACACAGGGCCAGGTCCTTGCTGCACTTTGGCTTTTGTCTTTGTCAGATAAAAAAAATCAAGAACAAGACAATATAGTAATGAAGATTTTCATTAAACAGCGCACACCCCAGGCATGATTGCAGTAACTCTCAAGAGTCACACACTGGACTTGGGGGTAAAGGGTTCTTAAGAAGTCTGATAACTAAGGAGAGGAACATGCATAAGGGGTTGAGCATGAGAAGCATGATTGAGGTGGTGTTAAAGTTGTGCAAACATATATGGACTAGATGCTTGCTCATACACTTTTTTTTCTTTTTTTTTTATTAGTGAAACACCATGAGGTACAGTTGTAGATTTACAATTTTTTGTGCTTGGGTTTCGATTATACAATGATCAGATACCCATCCCTCCACCAGTGCCCATTTTCCACCACCATGGATAATATCCCCCCACCCCCATCCCCCCGGTCATACACTTTACGTATCCTTAATCTAAGTATGCATCTAGGGGGCATGGGCAGTAATCAGTAATTCTCAGTTTAATAAGGAGAAAAGTAAAATAAGGCCAGGATACTCTTCACTGATCTTGCTCTTCCCGCTGGCTTGAACTCATTTTCCAAAGTTCTCTCTTTATCAGGAAATTGGTAATCACAAACCTACAATAAACTTTTAGAGAGTTTCTTTTTTTTTCTTATTGTAGCTACCCCACACACCCTCACCTGTAACAATAGAACTGAAACTGTGATGGTGGATATTGTGAGTCTTATATATTTGATAGCACCATGGGTAGGGCGTTTGCCTTGCACGCGGTCAACTCAGCCAACCTAGGTTCGATTCTTCTGCCCCACTCGGAGAGCCAGGCAAGCTCCCAACAGTATCTCGCCCACACGGCAAAGCCTAGATAGCTACCCATGATGTATTCGATATGCCAAACACAGTAACAAGTCTCACAATGGAGACGTTACTGGGCCCTCCTGAGCAAATCGATGAACAATGGGAGGACAGTGACAGTGACAGTGATGTATTTGTAGAGGGGTGGAGCTGTATTTGCAAAATTTTATACTACTGTAGGCCAATAAGAAATCAATATAATTTAATATTAAAAATATCATCTCTGTCAGAAATTAGAGTCTAGACGTGGAGGAGGATGGGGAGAGATAGTATTTTGTTTACTCATTCATTTGTCAATGTTGATATATAATTCTATGTAGATTGTTTTAAGAGATTATACATTGCTTTCTAAATACTTTCATATGTCGTATTCTTAAGACTTTTCAAGTGAATCTGAATAGAAGTTCTCTGTAAATTGTTGAGATAAAAATAGGGGATGGGGAAGGTTTGGAAAAGCTGGAGAATTTCATGGTAACATTTAGTATGCTAGTCACTAGCATACAATCCAGATCATCCCCATAGCGGCCACTGACTGTTGTTTCTTTGGGATTGGGGATGGTTTCTTCGAACAGATACTTCAGACTTCACCCAAACGTGGCCAGGACTGTGGAACAGGAGGGGGCAGGAATAATGCTGAGGTGCTCTACTCCACGGGACTGACTGTCCTTACCAACGTGGACGCAGGTCACTCCCAACGAGAGGGTAATTCATTTGGCTTTCTACTAACCTGAAGATTCTCATTGTATGGGGAGGCTCTCCCAAATGGTGCTGAAGAGGCCCAGGAGCCACTCTTAGTACCCCTTACCCAGCTGGGCGGGATGGTTCGAGGCTAGGATTTAGAGATGCTAGTAGTACTCAAGGGTCAGCTGGACCATCTCAGGCAGTGCTGGGAGAAGGGGCGGGGGGCTTCTGGGATGTGGTCCAGTAGTCCTGCGGAATACTACAGAATATGCATTGCTGGGGATTGGATTTGAACTTTGGGCTTTGTGTATACAAGGCACACTCTCCTGACTCCTAAACTCTCTCTGAGCCCCTATTCTGATAATTATTTCAAAGTAATACAATGATCTTCCTGACACTACACTCATTATTACTCCAAATGTTGATTTGAGGACAATGTTTTTTCACTAATTTTTTTTACTATTGTAAAGGCTCTCCCAACACAGTGGTTAGGGAGTTTGCCTTGAACGCGGCCCACGCGGCTGACCCGAGTTCGATTCCTTTGCCCCTCTCAGAGAGCCTGGCAAGCTACTGAGAGTATCTCCCCACACGGCAAAAGCCTGGCAAGCTACTCATTATGTATTCGATATGCCAAACACAGTAACAAGTCTCACGATGGAGACGTTACTGGGCCCGCTTGAGCAAATCGATGAACAACGGGGGGACAGTGACTCAGTGACAGTGTAAAGGCTATTTTTTGACATTTTTTTAATTCTCATAAGCAAAAAAATTAATATCCAGGGGCCAAGGATATAGTTTGAAAATCTGTCACATATGCTTGTTATGCATGACACAGATCTGGAAAAAAATGAGTTTGATTGGAGCCCTACAGGGATAGACCTGGAGGTATTAAGGAGTCAGCAAATGCTGGGGGTCAAACTCAGGACCTTGCACAGAAGACCCTTTAAGCATCCTCCCAGCCACAAATCTACAACCATTTTCAGTGCTTATTTTATTTTACTGAAGTATTTATTCTAAGTGATAATCTGATTTTTTAAATAGATGGATCATTTACAAAACTTCTCAGATCAAAAAGAGAATTGCAAAAGAAAATAAAAGAAACAGGTACTCAATGTTTTGTTTTCTTTTCCTAAGTTCTGATGTGTATTAGCTCAGCATCTGTGACATTTTCTCTTTCTGGCTAATTGATGTAGAGCAGGTGGGAAATATTTGTGGGCTCTGTTGTTTTATAATTTTTTAACTTTCCATGACTCAAGCACCTTGGGAAAATAAAGCCGCACTTATTTACATAGTCATAATGTAAAGATAAGAGGGCTTCATCAAGTGCATTGTCTGTAGTTATATATGAATCTGTTTTTAATTGTCTCTTAAATGGTACTAAACCAAAATATATGACTTTTGTGATAACGTTATATGTTTAATAAAATGATAGTAATAAATACACCATTTACTTATAACAGGGATTGTGAAAACCTCATCATAACTCTCATAAGTTTCTCTTTGAATCCTCATATTAATTACATTCTACAGCTGCTTTTATTATCTGTATTTTCCGAATGAAGACATCGAAAGCAGAGATAAATTAATGATAATTAAATAACATACAATGAAGCAACAAACCCAGTGAAATCAGGTAGTGGATGTTATAGAAAGTTGTGCACTGGGGTCACTAGTCTAACTGAGCACTGTTTTTCTTTGTATATTATGAGTTCATTCCTATCCAGAACACCTATCCATACTACAAAATAGGCATATTTTTTATTAAAGCACTATGATTTACAAAGTTATTCATAGCTGAGTTTTAATCATACAATATTGCAACACAAATCCCCCCACCAGTGCCACTTTCCCTCCATCTGTCTTCTCAGGTTCCCTCCCATATCGCCTTTATAGAAAAGATGTATCTTAGTGAACCAAATTTATATATGCCACTTGAATTATAGGTACAATACTTAAAAAGTTCATTACTAGCTGAGTTACAGATTCTATGTTTTAATAATGATGATGATGATGCTATTGATATGGTCTTCCCCCACCATTCCAGAAGGTTCTTGCCAAAAAGATAGCCGTATCTTTAGAAGGCATCACATAGGAACAAAATTTGTGTTCCTTATAATTAACTTATTTGAGTGTTGGCTTCTATATATAGCTATATGGTTTTTGCCATATTATTTAACCTTGCTACACCTCAGTTTTTCTGCAAAATTGAAATAATTTCTCTCTTCCTTGCAGAATTAGAAGACTTAAATGAGATTATGCAAGTAGAGCACTAACTCCAGGAGGAATACAAAAACCATAACATACTACTTTGTTCTTTTTTTTTATAATTTATTTATTTATTGAATCACTGTGGGAAAAGTTACAGAGCTTTCAGGTTTAGGTCTCAGTCATGTAAATATCAAACACATTTCCCTTTACCAATACTTATTTTTAACCGCGAACCCCAATAGAACCCCACCTCCCACCCCTCCCAATTCCTGTGAGGCAGATGAGTTCTAGTTAACACTCTATATACTTTGACTAGATTCATTGTTTCGATAAAAGTTGCACCATTATTATTTAGAGTTTACGACCCCCCCCCAAATCAGACACGCTGAAAAAGCGTTGTGAAATGATTAGCTTTTTACAGCTGGGTTCAAGAATTAAATGTTGTCACGTGGCCGCTATTGCGGCTGCATGGTTTTGGATTTCTGCTATTTTACTTATTAGCCCTGGAAGTATTTCTATTAAAAGTTAGATAGTTAAGAGATTGGTTTCTGTGCTCTGGAGTCGTGGCCGTGCCAGAGAGCCGCTCGTGGGGGGCAACTGGTGACCTCGGTAGAGCGTGAAGGACGGACCGGAACGCCCCCCTTCCCATGAGGTCCCTGCCGCCCCGACCCCCGGCTCAAACCTGCTGTCCACAAGGCTCCTGTGCGGCCGCCATCTTTCTTACTTTGTTCTTTTTAAGCCTCTTTCCAAAGCCACACTCTGACTTTAGCTAGACAGAATTTTAATAAAATTATTTTTTGTTTGTTTTGGAGTACACCCAGTGGTACTCCAAACTTATTCCTGGATCTGCTTTCACATATCCTCCTGAAAGACTTGGGGGACCATATGAAATGTCAGGGATGGAATCAGTTTGACTGTATGCAAGGCAAATATCCTACCCTCTGTACTATCTCAGCCTCTATAATCAACTTAGGATAGGGAAGTGAATTTTGAAAAAATGACTCCATCCCGTTAGTACAAATGATGGAGAGCACTGGAGCAGCCACACATGTCAGAGTTTTTGTTCTGTGATGCAGAGGCCCTTCACAGTATCATGCTGCCTCATGGCTCCAACCCTCACTCAGAAGGGCAACCTCAGTGAATGTTTTTACTCTCTAAGGAAACTCTCAAGCCTGACTGTAGCTTGACTGTCTTTGCCAAGAGTGTCCAGTGGACATCACTCTCTGAAGGTTTAGACACTAGTCATATCCCTTGCAAACAAGTTCAATGTTTTTAAATAGAAGAAAACCACTAAATTGGGCTTGAGCGATAGCACAGCAGGTAGGGTGTTTGCTTTGCATGTGTCCAACCCAGGTTCTATTTCCAGCATCCCATATGGTGCCCTGAGCACTGCCAGGAATAATTCCTGAATGCATGAGTCATAAGTAACCCCTGTGCAATGCTGGGTGTGACCCAAAAAGCAAAAAAAAAGAAGAGAAGAAGAAGAAGAAGAAGAAGAAGAAGAAGAAGAAGAAGAAGAAGAAGAAGAAGAAGAAGAAGAAGAAGAAGAAGAAGAAAAGAAAGAAAGAAAGAAAGAAAGAAAGAAAGAAAGAAAGAAAGAAAGAAAACCATTCAAGTTTACCAGAGAAACAATGAGACTTAGAACTTAGATGGTCAGAGCGTCTTCAAATACCCAGCTGATGGGTCTAGTACTTTCTTGCACAAAGGAATAAACTCCAGATGTACTAGTAATCTTAATTAAATTTTGGTTCAGAAGTCAGGAAGAATATTACAGCAATTGGAGATGTGTGAAATAGAACAGCTACCTGGGAAGGAAATAATTCCATCAAGAAGCTATTCAAAAAAGGGATGCCACAAGGGGGTACAAAAAAGGAGGCTCGACCCAAATCTCTAAGTCCAACCCTGGTCCTTTGAATCTGTACTTCACTAAGACTAATTGTATTTTCATCTTAGCATCCACATTCAAACACCCTGTAATCCAGAAGTGCTGCTATGATGGAGCCCATGTACAAGAGGAGACCTGCGAGCAAAGAGTTGCCCGGATTAAGATCGGCCCCATTTGTTCACAAGCTTTTTTAAAGTGTTGTGACATAGCAAACTTATGGCGAAGACACAATGGTCACATCGAGAAACTATTAGGAGGACATCATGTTGCAGGTAAAAAACTACGGGGCAGTAAGATGTTGCCTAGTGGGGTGTGTACTGTATAGGAAGTACTTTCTAAATTGGTTTAAGACAGAAAAGATGGAGTATTAACTCTTGAAATTTGTCTTTAAAAAGCAGAGTATGCAAAATAAAATAAAGCAGATTATGCAGTGTCCATAAATAGTAGTTTGCACATTATTAGTCCCAGTTTACCATTAACTTACTATGTAGTGATTTCAGGTCATATTTACTCTTTAAAAGTTTATTATGCATGCATTTATTGTTTTAAAAATATACTTGACCAAATGATATGTGATATTTGTGCATGTGTCATTGACCATGCATGATATAAAATTTTTCATAAAATTATTGTAAATTTAAAGGAGTCAAAACTCTAGGTTCTACCAAAAATCATAATCAACAAGAGTATTAGAAATAAGGGGCTCAAGTGATAGGATAGTGGGTAAAGCACTTGCCTTGCACGAGGCCAACCTGGGTTCAATCCCCGGGTTCAATATGGTTCCCTGAGCACCACCAGGAGTAATTCCTGAGTGCAGAGACAGGAGTAACCCTTGTGCATCTCTGGGTGTGACCCAAAAAGGAGAAAGAAAGAAAGAAAGAAAGAAAGAAAGAAAGAAAGAAAGAAAGAAAGAATTCTAATAGTACATACAAGAAACAAACTCCATTTGATTTTACATACTTTGAATGCAAACTAATAATGACTACAATTTATTCAAATTTTTAACTATTTTCTCTAATTCCCTCTGAATTTTAAGGCAAAGAATGGCTAAGAAAATTAATGCAACTTTAGTTCAAATTTGTACTTTAAAAGACTTAAAATTTAAATATAACCTTTAATCTTTTAAATGTGTCTAGTTTATATATGGGCTGGAGCGATAGCACAGCAGGTAGGGTGTTTGCTTTGCACACGGCCAACTGGGCCAACCCGGGTTCGATTCTTCTGCCCCTCTCAGAGAGCCTGGCAAGCTACCGACAGTATCTTGTCCACACAGCAAAGCCTGGCAAGCTACCCATGACGTATTCAATATGCCAAACACAGTAACAACAAGTCTCACAATGGAGACGTCACTGGGCCTGCTTGAACAAATCGATGAACAACGGGAGGATGGTGCTACAGTTCATATATGACATTGTCTAAGTACAAGATATAGATCAAAATGAGTGAATTATGCATACATATTGCAAAATAGTTACCACAAATAATCTTGTTAACATCTATAATCTACAGAAAAATTCTTTGCAGGCCACATTTTTCCATAAACTCTCCGGATGAATCCTTCCTCATCTTGTTAAACTCCTAGTTCTCCTTTGCTTGTTGATTTATTACTACAGTTTCTACCTCCATCTTCACATGGCTGCAATTCCTCATTTCTGTCTTGTCCTCTTTCTCTTAGAAGGACTTATTATACCTGTATGTTATAAGGGCACCTTGAAAGTATTTAAGGTCTACCCTTGTGCATCTTTTTTAATCTTATTTCTCAACATCTGCTAAGGCCTTATTGCTACATAAGAGCATATTCATAGGTACCAGGAACAAGGATTTTTAGCTGTATGTTTACACACACAGTCTATAGTAGTAGAATGTGTTTATGTGTAGAGCTCCATTGTCACCACACCATATCTACTCCGAAGTGCTAATATACCTCCTCCACATTGTATCTTCTCCACCCTTTCAGTTCTGACAAACTTCCCAATTGATAATCTTATTTCTTTAGTCTGGATTGTAACATTTGTTTTTGTCAAACATTATTTGTTTTCTTTATTTGTTGTTTTCATATGATAAATCAGTGAAATGATCTGGAATTTGTCTTTCTAATTCTAATTTCTTAGCCAGTCCACACCAATTTCATCCCAATTATTGAGAAAAGTTCATCTTATCTCATAGTTGAGTAATATCTCATTGTATATATGTGAGACCGTATCTTTATGTTTGTACCTTGAGTTGGTTCCAAATCTTAGCTACTGTGATTGGTATTGTAGTGAACATAGGTATGCATATATTTTTATCTGATTACTGTTCATGTTCTTTGGATAGGTTTATGTGGATTATACAGTATATAGTTTGTTTTGTTTTGTTTAGAAATCAACTGTTTTCCTTAGGGTATATAATATATTTATATTCGATATGCCAAACACAGTAACAACAAGTCTCACAATGGAGACGTTACTGGGCCCACTTGAGCAAATCGATGTACAATGGGAGGACAGTGCTACAGTGATGTAATTAATGTAATTGTTTCTGCAATGACTAGGGCTTGGCAGCAGAGATACATTCTTTGAGTACTAGAATAAATTTCAGCTGGCCATGGCATATGAACCCCTTATTGAACTGAAATTGGTTAGCTCAGGTTTTGTTTAGGATCTTTGCATCTATGATATGCATGAATCTGTGGCTCTGTGTGTGTGTGCGTGAGAGAGAGAGAGAGTGAGTGAGAGAGAGAGAGAGAGAACCGAGAACCCCCCATCTTCTTTTGGTATTAATAATGTTGGCTTCGTTTAAAGTTTTTGAGGAGTGAGAGTGATAGAAGTGAATAAGGTGCTTGCCTTATATGCTGCCAACCTGGAATCAATCCCCAGCTCCGCATGTGGTCCCCTGAGTGCTTCAGAAGTGATCCCTTAGCAAAGATCCAGAAGTAAACCCTGAGCATTGGTGGGTATAGCTCAAAAACAAAGCAAGAGTTTTGAAAGAATTTCTTCCCCCCAACCTCGTAGTTTTTGGAAGAGTATGAGGATAAGTAATAGATCATCCTTAACCATTTAGTAGAGATCACTAGTAAAGCTGTCTGCATTTTTGTTTGACAGAATTTTTTTACTATTATTTCAGTTAGTTTTATTGTAATTAATATGTTCAGGGTTTTTTTTTCTGATCCAGTCTTGAGAAGTTATATGATTCTAAGGCTAATTCATTTCTACTAGGTTCTACAAATTAGTGATGTAAACTTTTTTTAAGTAGTATCAAGATCCTCTGTATTTCTATGCACTCTAGTTTATGGTATCCCCTTTCATTTCTGATTCTATTTATTAGGGTTTTTTCTCCTTTTTTCTTCAATAGTCTAGCTAAGGGCTTGTCAATTTTATTTATCTTTTTAAAAACAAGCTGAATATTTCACTGACCATTTGTATTTTGGGAATCATTTTAGTCAACGTAAGTGGTTATTTTAATCATATTTCTTATTATTTCTTATGTCTATCCTTGTATTTTGTTAATTTCATTTACACATTGTTATTTACTCTTTTATTAAAAATATACAACTAATACTGGTGAAGGGATGGATGTTGGAACATAGTATGACTGAAACCCAATCATGGACAACTTTGTAACTATTCATCTCATGATGATTTAATTAAGAAAAAATTTAACATATGACCATTTTCATTAAAGCCATTTTCATTATAAAATAGTGTAGAAAAATATAAAAATAGAATAAAATATCTGAACCATTTTCATCTTCTTTGTAAGGTTGCTTATAAAGTTAATTTTCTTACAAAGTTGCTTATAAAGTTAATATTCTTCCAAAATTTTCTCTACCTACATAAAATTTCTATATGTTCTTGAATTTATATTTTTACATATTTTTGTTCCTATGGGATATTGCCATTCTGAATCTTGATTTTTATATAGATTAAATTTCAAACATAAATTAAGAGTTTTACTTTTCTATTTTCTATAACATAATTTAAATGTATAACCAGAAGTCTTAAATTTTATTTAAGTTATTTAAACATCTTTAATAAAGCATAACTATTTCCTGCATGTATCACATGTCATTAGCATTTCAGCTTAAATAAAGTTAATAATGTTAAAGAGAAATATAAAAATATACAAGAATATTTGTGTATGTCACACCTTTTAGTAATAAATTTAAGAAGAAACTTCTTAGAAAATCTGAAATTTTTACTTACTTGAAAAATTGAACTTTATAGCTTATTTTGCCAAACAACAGAAGAACATATATTTTTCCAAGTGCATATGATATATTAGCCAAGACAAATTTTATTCTGTTATAAAATAAACGTAAATGAAATATAATAAGTAAAATCATGTCAGGTATGTTATTTTTACTACTAAAACTAAATTAAACTCAGAAATATAAACAATAAGATTTTATCATGTTTTATAAACTGTAGATATACATAAAGGTGCATTATTAAATACCTATATTAATATTTATAGTGATCTATTATATAAGTAATACAATAAAATGCTTTCCAAATTTCACTTGTTTATTATCATAATGTGTCCTGTTGACTTTTTTAGTTCAATATTATTGTGTTGTACTTTTATACTTTACCAAATATTTTGTACTCCATTATTAACTTCGAATAACAATAGAAACAATTCTATAATAGATTTCACCCAGATGTCTTAAATTTTTTATTTAATTTAATTTTTAAGTTCTTGATAACATATTAATTTATCATATGCTTTACTTATATTATATTTTTATATTTCTATTTGAATGTTAGCAGCACGTTTCAGAGCACTTAAAATAGAACCTTTTTCAGAAAACTGGTTATGGAAAGTGTATCATGTTCCCAAAAGGTATTGTAAGACTCTTACTTTATTTATCTTAAAAAATATTAAAATGATAATAACTGTTTCCCTACTCTCCTAAGAGTTTCCTTGATAATTAAGAATAGCACTAACATTTGATCCAGATTAATTTAGTTGGTGGATGTGTTATTTTTTCATGAGTATCAGGATTAACTGATAAATTAATTATTATTATTATTATTATTAGAGAATAATGCTATTTCAATTATTATGAAGTTTTACCCAGTAGTAATCTCAGTTTGGTTTGGGTTTTGCACTTCTCCATAATTATTTCCACCTTTCTATACAGTTTCTTAACAAAGTATCTACCAACTACATAATCCCTTTAGGTGTTTGTTTGCAATACTATTTATCTATATAACAAATAAAAGGGATAATGTTATCCTCATACTAAACACACATTGTAAAATACTCATTATCTGTATTCATTATCTGTGAGATTGAAAAATGATCCTTTTTTGTTCAGTGAAACACTTGCCCAAGGTTCAACAAAATGTATTCTATTCCCTGACTTCAGACTTAAATTTAATTTTTCTTCTCTGATTCTTCAGGCCCCTATGTGAGTATATTAAAACCCAAGCCCAAAGAAAGTAAGAAAATAGCTCAAAGGGTTGGAGCACATGCTTTGCATGGGAAAGCTCCACTGGATTCCCTTTATTGTGTGGTTCTCTGAGCAGCACCGAGATATACCTTGAGCACCAAGTCACTAATAGACCCTAAATGCTGCCAGTGTGGCACAGAAACAAACAAAACTGTCCAACCTCAAATGTGTCTTCATGATCTATTAAACAAAACCTATGTCTTTGAAGATGACCATGGAGATTTGAGTTTCATTCTGAGCTTGGGTTAGGACACTAATGTTTAGTCTATGGTAAAACATAAGTCTATAATTCAAACATTCTTCATCTATGCAAATAGTAGTCTTATATGATTCAAATTAATGAACTTATATGCAATTAATCCCAATGCCAGAGATATTCTGTTGTTTGTTTCTCTGGTCTTAAACTTATCCTTGTGGGCACTATTTTAAATTTATTTGCTTGTCACTTGTCTTAGGACCATTGGATAATGTAAACTTATTAAGGAGATAGTGCTTATCTATCTCCTTATCTATCAAGTTAATTAAGGCTCATGTGTATTTGACAGCTGTGAAATATTTTTTTGTTCTAGGCATCAGGTAGATTTGATATTGCCTGACTTTTCAACTACCTGGGAAATCCAAGGTGTTAGCATTTCAGATAAAGGTAAGTAGCTTATATGATTTACCAAATTAGATATTAGTATCTTTATAGAAATATGTTTATCATTTCATTGACCATAATGTTTATGACTCTCATTATAACTTAAGATTTAAAAAATAAATATATCTTTGAAATACTTATTTAATATTTTTTTACTTTGGGACCACAGCCTGGGGTGCTCAAGGGTTATTCCTGGCTCTGTGCTCAGAGGTCACTACTGTGGGTACCCTGGGGACTATATGTGATGCCAGTGATGGAGGCCAGGGAGGCTATATGAAGGATTGCCGCCCTATCCACTGTGCTCTCTTTTCACCCCAATGATTTTATTTTTTCTATTTTTTAATATTTTTGGTTTCTGAGCCACATACAACTGTGCTCAAGGCTTATTCTTGTCTCTGAGCTCAGGGATCCATCACGAACCAAATGTCTTACTTCCTGTACTATCACTCTGGCACTAATAATATTTTTCTAAGATGTAACTTTATGAGTAATAGTTTCAAGTCCCCATTTTCCTAAACCCTTTTTTATTTTAAGAGGTATTCATATGATGGATAAAAATGAGATACAGAGCAGGAGAAATAGCAGGTAGGGTACTTTCCTTGAGCATTGTCAATCCTGGTTCTATCCCTGATATCACATGTAGTCTCCCAAACCCCACCAGGAGTGATCCCTGAACACAGCCAGGTGTGACCCCAAAACAAAAGACTTAATAGTGCATACTTTCCTATATAAATATGGGTAAGTGCAACTTAATATATATGTAAATAATTTTAAAAGTGTTTATTTGATTTTTTTTTACAGCTCAGTATCGTAATTCATTTTGGGTTCATAATAATCAATGAGCATTTCCAACAATAAAAAATAGGGCAGGAACAGACTGGAAAAAATATATGTAATTTTGTAACTAGAGCACTAACAACAACCATGACAAAAAGCAACAGCCATGAAAAAGTTTATAAAGACAGTGAGTTCTATTCCATCCTTGGTACCAAAAGAGTAAAAAATCTTTCTTTCTTAGAGGATTACAGTCTGACCAAAAAAATTACAGTAAATACAGTACTTTGCTTTAAAAAATGTATGGCGAGGGCCTGGAGAGATAGTACAATGGGTAGGGCACTTGCTTTGCAGGCAGCCAACCTGGGTTTGATCTCTGGCACTTCAAATGGTCCCCCAGCACTGCCAGGACTAATTCCTGGATGCAGAGCCAGGACTAAGCCCTGAGCACCACTGGGCCTGGCTCCAAAACAAACAAACACCAAAAAATGGATGGTGAGATGACAGAAGGTAGTGCGAGGAAAGATTGAAGAGGCTGAGTCATGGAGATAGCAAAGCGCATGGACACCTGGGTAAGCCAATGCCAAAGAGAGTCAAGGATCAATAGTCCATGTAGGATCAATAGTCCATATCATATGAATATTGATATTGATTATTGAATTATTGAACATCAATATTCCCATATAGGATCAATGAACATCCTGTGATTTCACTTTCTTGTTTGTTGGTTGCATTCAGTTGCTTGGTATACTTCGCGTTCCACTGATATTACATGGCAGCAAAAAAAAAAAATATTAAAGTGCCAGGTTCTGTGCCTTGGGGAAAGTGTTGTGATTCCATCAGATACCTTGCTATCATTCCTTTGATTTTTCAATCATCAAAAAAAAGTGATAGCACAGCGGTAGGGCGTTTGCCTTGCGCACAGTCAGCCCGGCCGAGCCAGCACATACCTATAGCAGAATAAACTAACTTGAAGACAAGTTGTGTATATGTAGTTAATACTTTTACCAGAAAGTTTTAAAGGACGTTCCTCTACCACTAAATGAAGTTACTTAATCCATTTCTGTGTAAAACTCACAAACTCTGGAGTGAAATCTGAATACTGGATAGCTGAGAATATTAAGAAACATTCTCATAGACTATTGTTCTATGGCAGACTCTCCAAGTTTTAGTTGATTAGGAAATAAGGAGCATTAACCAGAGAGATAGAGGAGGAGGGGAAAGGAAACTTGATATGAGATTCTTCTTTTTCCTTAAATCAAATCCAAGCTGTTTAGAGAAGTTAATGGACCCTGGGAACCCCAATACACCTCATGAACTGTCATGTCTTCTAGGTCTCTGTGTTACTGATGCATTGCAGCTGAAGGTGTTTGAAGATCACTTCCTGGTCATAAACAACAATGCTACAGAAACCAATGAAGAGGGACATTTCCAGCACCCAGACTCCAGGACTTAAGTATGTGTGTGGCACCATAGCACCTAAATAGCTGGTAAAGCAGTGAACACAATGCACTTCAGTGCTAAGTGAACTGAGCACTTAGTGTAGTGTTCAAAAGACTTCTGAGGCAGTGAGAGTCAAAATATGGCAATGCGTGTATCAAACAGGGAAATTGAATGGAGGTTTCAGTGAAATAAATCTCATATTTTGGGTTTGGTTTGTTTGTTGTTTGTTTGGGGGACACACCTAGTAATTCTCGGGCCTTTTTCTTAGCTCTATGTTCAGGAATCACTCCTGATGGGGCTGTTGAACCATATGTGATGCTAGAGATTGAACCCTGGTCTGATGCCTTCGTCTCCATACTATCTCTCAGACCACAAAAACTTGGGGCAAAGTTTAGCAAGAAAGTAAACGGCCAAAAGATAGGTATGTGGGAGACACATCCACAAACCACCTCCAGCTCAGCTATATAATTGGAGACATGGCCTCTCTGGTTCCTGATTGAACTGCTTGACGGCCATGATCCCAGAGACCCAGAAACAAATCTCGGAACCCAATGGCTTTTGGCAGAAATGTGTCTGGTCCCTGCAGTAGGTCACCAGCCCTGGGCCACCAAAGGTTGGAATAGGTTTCATGCCTTGGCCTGTTCCCTCTGGCAGCCCGGTGGCCGTCATCCTCCAGAGGCCACTGGACAGTCAGGTTTGGGCCTGCAGTGATGAGACACACGGGGCCTCACCAGATGGGGGTGGAACCAGCCCTTTCCTCCCCATCACAACAAGACCCCAAGATGCCGCCTATAAATGGCCTCTCTGGCTCCTGATCAAGCTGTTTAATGGTCATGATCCCAGAGACTCAGAAACAAATCTCAAAACGCAGCAGCTTTTGGCAGAAATGCATCTGGACCATATACAAGATGGCCACCGGCTCAGAGCTTATAGGAAAGCCAGGTATAAGCCGGCGGTGACGGGGCATCTGCAGTCTCATGGGAAGGGGGACAGTACCAGCTCATCCTTCATGCCTTACCGAGGTCACGAGTTGCCCCCCACAGGTGGCTTTCCAGATACGGCCATGGCTCCAGAGGCAAAAGGACTTAATTCAGAGCCCAGCAGCTTGCGGCAGAAAAGTGAATGGACCATGCGTTAAACTAAGGCGCCATGCCTCCCCAGGAAAGAAAGGGTGTTGCTCCCTTCCGCCTCCCCCCCCCCCCGCCCAGCAGCAAGATGGCTGCTGCCTCAGAGCTTATAGGAAAGCCAGGTAGGAACCGGCGGTGACGGAGCAACTGCAGTCTCATGGGAAGGGGGACGGTACCAGCTCATCCTTCACGCCCTACCGAGGTCACGAGTTGCCTCCCATGAGCAGCTCTCTGGCATGGCCATAACACCAGATGCACAGAAACCAATCCGTAATTATTTGGCTCTTTGCAGAAATCCAAAATTGTGGTCACGTGACATTATATGATTCTCATAACCAGTTATAGAAAACAAGTATTTCACAATTCCTTTTCAGCAATTCTGATTGTTGGTTGGGAAATTCTAAACAATAATGGTGCATTTTTTGTCAAAATAATGAATGTAATCAATGTAGAGAAGAGTTAAGTAGAAATCATCTGCCTCACAGGTATTGGGAGGGGTGGGAGGGGGTATATTGGGGTTCTTGGTGGTGAAAAATGAGTACTGGTGAAGGGAAAGGTATTTGATCATTGTATGACTGAGACAAACCTGAAAGCATAGTAACTTTTCCCACAGTGATTCAATAAATAAATATAAGAGGAATAAATAAATAAATAAATAAAATTATGAATAAAAAGAAGAAGAAACACAAATTGCCAAAAGACACATTAAAAATGCTTTACATTGCTAATCATCAGGGAGACGCAAATAAAAAGAACAAAGAAATATCTCGCATCATAGAGACTGGCACATATCAGAAAGAAAAAGAGCAACCAATACTGGTGTGGATGTGGGAAAAAAAGGACTCTTCTTCAGTGTTGGCAGAAGTGCTGACTGATTCAGCATTTTTGGAAAATAATATGGGCATTCCTCAAAAAGGTAGAAATTGAGATTCCATATATCCCAGAAATACCACTTCTGGGAACATATCCCAGGGTCAAAAAACACACAGTACAAATGCCATCTGCACATTTATGTTCATTGCTGTATTATTCACAATAGCTAGAATCTGAAAACAACCCTAGTGCCCTCTTGGATATTAATCCTAAGTGTTTTAGGCTTCACCAGTAAATTGCCCCTTTCCCTCCTCCCAGAGAAGCTTACAGTGCTCTTATGAGCACCCCTAATATTCCAAGCTTATCTTTACTTATCTTTATCTTTCCTTTGTGTTTTACCTCTCATTGCCACAGTTCCGCAAGTCAGTCTTCATTGCTTATAAACCAAAACTTATAAGTTACCAGAATAATTCTTTGACTTTGTATTTGCAGTGAATTACCTGCTTTTCTATTTCCCCTATAACCTTTTCCTATTTTACTATAGAGCACTATTGTTTTTTGCTTATACACAGAAAGACTGTTAATGCTGTGCTCCTAACATCTGGGAGTTGATTGACTCTGAAATATATCAACTTCTGGGCATCCATCCTAACTATTTGACTCAGGTTTCAGTTGCTGTAGTTCTTAATACTCCAAAAGGGAGGTCCCATTGTGGGACTGGGATGAACCCCAGAGGAGTGGCAGAGCTACCCTCACATGGAAATGAGACAGTCTAGAAAGCATAAATGCATAGTCGTGATGCAAGTTGTTATGACTGAAGAGACAGGATCCCCATGGGGAAAGACAAGCTGAACAATCCTGAGGACTTAGTCTGGGATTTACAGTAAAAGGCTTGCTTGCCCTAGGAGTCCAGAGAAAACTAAATTTTGAGATCTTTATCTCTTACTGTGTGTATCCAAATAACTGCAAGTATTGATAAGAAGTAAACTTACTTGTTTAACATATACAACTAGAGGGAAAGAGAAAAGCAATATAGATGTCCCTGGGATTCAGAGTGTCTCTTTGAGTTAATTGCTCCAAGAGAATTGCCTCTGCCAAAATGTTTTATCTCTGTAAATGATCAATCACACCTACACGCAGGTCTGTACCTCAACCCCCTTCGGATGTCCTCTAAGTATGGCAGCAGCTCTGTATTAAACAGACCATTTTCACCATCAGTCTATGGTCCCCCATATCTTTGTTTCTCTGCTGGGGAGGCCTGGGGAGGACCAGGAGGCGGCTCTTGAACTCCGAATGCACAGCATTGAAGTACCCCTACATTTTGTGAAGTCACAGTGCCCCAAAACAGATGACTAGTTAAAGAAACTATGGTACCTTTACACACTGGAATACTATGCAGCTGTTAAGAAAGATGAAGCCATAAAATTTGCTTATAAGTGGATGGTCATGGAGAATATCATGCTGAGTGAAATGAGTCAGAAGTAAAGGGATAGACATAGAATTACTGGATTCATTTGAAGAATATTAAAAAAAAACCAACAACAACATTATTTGAGACCCAAGGACGGTAGAAACAAGGGCCAGAAGAATTGGTCCACAGTTGGAAGCCTCCCTCAAATGCTAAGGGAGAAGGCAATTGGGGTAGAGAAGGGACCACCATGACAAATCACGGATCACGGTCCTCCCGTTGTTCATCGATTTGCTCTAGCGGGCCCAGTAACGTCTCCATCATGAGACGTTGTTACTGTGTTTGGCATATCGAATAAGTCACGGGTAGCTTGCCAGGCTCTGTCGTGCGGGCGAGATACTCTCGGTAACTTGCCGGGCTCTCCAAGAGGGGCGGAGGAATCGAACTGGGGTCGGCCATGTTGGCACTTGTAAGGCAAACACCCTACCGCTGTGCTATCACTCCAACCCATCATGACAAAGGTAGTTGGAAATGATCACTCTGGAACTACATGCTGAATGAAAACAGGTAAAGGAACAAACATGATAACCTCTTAGTATCTGTATTGCAGACCATAATGCCCCTATGTGGAGAGAGACAGAGAGACAGACTGACAGAGAGGCAGACAGACAGACAGACAGACAGAGACAGAGACAGAGAGAGACAGAGAGAGAGAAAGAAGGAAAGGAGAGTGTCTGCCATAAAGACAGGCTGAGAGAGGGTGGTAGGAAGGAAACTGGGAACACTGGTGGTGGAAAGTGTACACTGATGGAGGGATGGGTGTTGGAACACTGTATGACTGAAACCCAAGCATAATCAGCTTTGTAACTCTGTATTTCATGGTGACTCAAAACAAACAAAAAGAAAACTTAAATATATAAAAATAAATTAATTAAATTAAATAATGTAAATGGCTAGAGAGAGTACTGTGAGTAAGGCACTTGCCTTGCTTGCAGTCAACCCAGGTTTGATTTCTGGCACCACAAATGATCCCCGAAGCCCCATCAGAGTGACCCCTGAACACAAAGCCATGAAAAAAAACCCTGACACAACTGAGTGTGGCTCAAAAGTCAAAAAATAAAACAATTGTAAATATAAAATAATAGAATTGAAATATAAAAAATAATAGAAATATACCAATGTTTTTTAAATACCATTTACCTATACTGAGATTGTAATATAATCAAACTTCTTGTAGTTAAAATTAAACTATTGTATATGATCATTTGAATTTCTTGCTTTCCCCAATAATCCTTTCCCGAAAATGATGGCAAAAGTACTTTGTTTGTACAGGACAGATAGATTGCTCCATAGCTGGAAGCCTGCCTCGTGAGCAAAGGGGAGAAGGCAGCTGGAATAGAGAAGGAATCGCTAAGAAAATGATGGCTGGAGTAATTGGTTGGGATGGGAGATGTATGCAGAAAGTAGATAAAAGACCAAACATGATAACCTCTCAGAACCTGTATTGCAAACCATAGTTCCCAAAACTGGAGAGAGATTATGGGAAATCATGTCTGCCATGGAAGCAGAGGGAGGGTGGGAAAGGGGGTTATATCGGGGATATTGGTGGTGGGGAATGTGCACTGGTGGAGGGATGGGTGTTTGATCATTGTGTGATTGTAACCCAAACATGAAAGCTTATAACTATCTCACGGTGATTCTATAAAATTAATTTTTAAAAAAAAGTACTTTGTTTGTTTTAACTTGACCCATCTGTCGCAACTCAGTTTAATAATTCTACAGATTCCTTTTGAAACAAATGAACTGGATGGTCAGCAATAACATACTTTTGTGATTTTAGTAAACATACAGGAGATACCATAAGTGAAACTTGTATGTCAAATTTCCCTTTTGTGCATTTATTCCTAATAAACTTATTGCTAAAGTGTTGTTAAAATAGAGACATACACTCAAGCAAGGAATACTAATATCACCAAAAAACATCAGACTTGTGGGGGGAAATGCGCACTGGTGGAGAGATGGGTGTTAGATTATTGTATGACTGAAACCTGGCCATGAACAGTTTTGTAACTACGTATCTTATGGTGATTCAATTTAAAAAAATTAGAAAAGTTTAAAAAAAGAGTTTCAAAGAGACTGGATCAGTACCACAACAGGTAAGGTATCTGCCTTACATGCAACCTATCAGGATTTAGTACCTAGCTCTCCATGTGGTCCCCTGAGCCCCATCACCACATAGTGCTGATGGACTTCTGTTAGGAAGACAGCCATGATCAAATAGCCATACAAATAAACATGCACAGCCAGCAAAATAATAATAATAATAATTTATAAAGATGTGTGCTTTGTTATTTGTAAACAGGGTATTATATAATAAGATAGAAATAACTGCTAATAAAATAAATGAAATAAATAAAAATATATAGTAAACATAAAACTAGACTCTACTGTTGTAGGAAATTTTTTAAGAGCTCTTATATAAAAATCCTCATCAAAAATAAAACACTAATTAATTCTTTTAAAGAAAGACTTTTCATATCTCAATACAAATTTTGAATTAGTGTTATCTGAATTAGTAGATTTTAGAAGATATTATTCCCTACTAAGTACCAGAGTATTAGTTCACTTTTTTCCTAAACAATAATATCAGCTGTCTGCCTGGTAGTTTTATTGCTAGTCCTAGTCTTTTTTCTTCATGATGTCCCACCTCTTCTCTGATGGGACAGAGTGAAGAACTACTCCATACATCTTCTTTGCACATTCAAGTGATCCCAAATCTGTCTCCTGTCCCAAAGCCATAAAGGACTTCTCTAAGAAGACTCATGAACTCTACCTAAACCAGACCCATTCATCTAAAATCATACTGCACCTACACAGGTCTTCATCAATACCAATAATTTCACATGAGAGCACTTCTTCAGATCAAGACTGTAAAGGAGAAAAACAGTATCACTAACTGGTTTCTGACTTTGAGCAATTCATCCCGGGGCCAAAATCCCACGTACGAACCTCCTTATTTGCATCATTCAAATTAAACTCAGTTGTAAATGCCTATCAAATGTTTTCTACTTTCATACCTGAGCATTAAAGGGTATTTTGATTTTGATTTAACTTTCCTGCTTAGAAGTCCTCCTCTCTAGCATTAATAATTAACCAGTGAACTAACTTACCCAATTCTCCAGACTCCGTTTGTTTTAGAGGCGTCTAGCTTCAAGAAGGTTATATCCATGATTTGCTGCTACCTCCAATTATGAGCCTTTTAGGTGTATTTTGTTTTATAATCCTCTGGATGGAAAGTTGGGGACAGGAGCAAACGTAAGTAAAGAAGCCATTTTTATTTTTCAACTCATCTTAGTTGTATTAAGAAAAAAAAAGTAAATTCAATAGATTGTGTTAATTTGGAAGTAACTTTCTTCCTAGAATGCTTAATGAATAGTTCATCTCTGAATCAATGTTATAAAAGTATTTTGGTTTGTGTGTGGTTGACAACATAAAAGCTTCATGGGATTATTGTAGTAAGGATCTACATGAGGTGTTTATTCAATATCTCCTTCCAAAAAGCAAGTAATAATAGCAAAATTCCTGGAGATTGTTGATTTCTTCTTCTTGATATGTCATTTATTTTATGTTTTCCATGTACGTTGCATAGTTGAAAAAGAGGGACTTGAGGTCAATTCTAATACGGTGATTTGAAAGATTATTGTGATTACTTATAAATGTATGCATATTTTAATGCTATTAAAGTATTAATATAGTATTAATGAGCCAGAGAGATATTGCTGGAGTCGGGTAAGGGGAGTTAAGGCATGGCCTCGCATGGCCTCTGAGCACTGTTTGGGAGCTAAATCTGAGAATTAGCCAGATGTAGTCCCAAGAACTCCAGGGTGTCACTCAGCACCTTCCATACAGTATTGAAATACTGTGCACTTAACATTATGTCTTAAAAATTTGTCATTTAATAAATAGAAATAACATTTTAGTACTAGAAAGGGCAGGAGTATCTAGTTAGACCTACTCATTGCACATCTGAGATGAGTCCAAATAAAGGAAATAACATTACAAACTTCAGGCAGCTGGAGAGAGATGGGGAAAAAAGGCATATTATGGACTCCTTGCTCCTTGCTTTTCTTCCTTTTACTCACAAATGTGTAAGTACGTAACATGTTACAAATATAAGAGAATGGTTTTGATATCATATCATACTACCCAATATGATTTTCTTATGTAGGCAGAATCACCCTGTTGCCTTCATGTTTTCCTGTTTGAAAGACAAGCAGATGAAGCTCAAAGAAACTGAAATTAAATGAGCCAAGTGGTAGAACTAAGACTAAAACCTGGTTCTGTGATTCTTGTCCCGAGTTATTCTTAATTCTTCTACCAGACTAGACTGACTGGTAATAAGCATCTCCTCTCTTCCTCTGAGTCAGAGGATGCCATTTACAACATAGTAATCAGTAAATTTAATTTTGTTGTGTTGTTGTTTTTTGGTTCACACCCAGCAATGCTCAAGGGTTACTCCTGGCTCTGCACTCAAGAGTTACTCCTGACGGTGCTTGGGGGACCATATAGAATGCCGGGATCTAACCTGAGCTTGCCGCGTGCAAGGCAAATGCCCTACCTGTCATACTATCCCTCCCGCCCTATAATCAGTCAATTTAATGACTTGATTAAATCAACAAAAATCTCTTGAAAACATGTCATGTGATAGACACTGGAAATAGAGTAGAGGGGATAGAGCTTCTATTTTACTGGGGAAAGCAGGGAATAAATGAATGAAGCGATGAGTGAATAAAATAAGGTGGGTGATTATTAGTACTAACAGAAAAATAAAAATGAATGAGAATAAGAGGATAATAAAAGATAGGTCACTCTTGAAAAGTGTGGTTATGGAAGTTTCTTTGAAGTGGTAACACTTGGTTTGAAGAACTGAGAGAGTAAATCATATAAATATGTGGGAAAAGATTATTACAGTGAGAGGTCAATGTAAAACTCTTGCTTCTCTGTGAGTTTAGTAGTCTGGTCCTTTACAGCTAATAAGAGAAGACAAGTATAAAACTCTTTTTATGAATATAGTGCACTACTGGAAAAAATACAATAAAAATCAAAATCCACAAGTCTACATATAGGACTAAAGACACTTCCCTCACCACCACATAAATAATTCAAGATTAAAACACTACATCAAAAAATATAAAACTTTTAAGAACACTTAAATTAAAATAGCTTTGGGACTGGAGAATAGTACAGCAGGTAGAGTTCAATCCCTGGCATCCAATATGGTCCTCCAAGCACCGCCAGGAGTAATTCCTGAGTGCAGAGCCAGGAGGAACCCCTGAAAATCACTGAGTGTGGCCCAAAAAGCAAAAAAAATTAAAGTAGCCTTTTCCCCTAGTTTTTCATTATAAAACCTGTCTAATTTTTTTGTCATTCACATTAAGTCTAATCCTGGCAATGGTCACAGGCCATGGGGCTATTCCCATGCCCAGAGCATCGCAGTGTGTGACCCAAAAAAACAAAAAATAAATAAATAAATAAATAAATAAATACCAGATTAGTAAAAGTGATCAATATTAAAAAGTAATCAATATTAACACATACTGAACACCAAGCATGACAAGCACTTTCATATACACTTTCTTAGTTCATATTTCCACACAGCCTGGGAAAGGTTAAACTTTCCGGTAAATTATTTTATTCTTACAGAGGGTTTGTGACTTTCCTGTGGTCACTCAGCCAGTAGATGGCAGAACTGGAATTCAATGACTGGTGTTTGTGTTGCTATTCCATTGGGCAAAAATCTTGAATGATTTGTATGCTTCCATCAACTCTATGGAAAGTATTCTTTTCCTGAGCCCAGGTTAGACGTTTTCATTACCTTTAAATGTAACTAAATCTGGGGCTGGAGAAATATGCAGCTGGTAGGGCGCTTGCCTTGCATGTGAACAACCCAGGTATAATGCCCAGCATCCCATATGGTCCACCCTGCATCACCATGAGTAATTCCTGACTGTAGAGCCAGGAGTAATCCCTACACATCATTAGGTGTGGCACCATAACCAAAAATAAATATATAAATGTAACTAAATCTACAGCTCTATGTCTCAGGTATTAGTTTAAAGCTATTTCTTCTTGGATACCATGATGAAAGTCATAGATCACAAATAAGTTTTTATCATTTTTTTTTTCATTTTACTGTTGTTGGGGCCCTATTTCTAGAAGAACTAAGGAAGTAAAAATATTTTTTTAAAACATCATTTAAAAATATTGATACTTTTGGGCTGGAGCGATAGCACAGCGGGTAGGGCATTTGCCTTGCACGCGGCCGACCGGGGTTTGATCCCCAGCATCCCATATGGTCCCCTGAGCACCGCCAGGAGTAATTCCTGAGTGCAGAGCCAGGAGTAACCCCTGTGCATCACCGGGTGTGACCCAAAAAGCAAAAAAAAAATATTGATACCTTTAAATAGGAGACTAATACCCAAGAATGGCCGAGATTAGTACCAGGAATTTTACTCCATGGCATGTTTAACCACACATGCTAGGGTAAAAGGGAGCTCAGACAGAGAAGGGAACACCAAATAAAGGTGTTGGGAGGATCCTCCCAGGATGGGAGAAGCATGCTGAAAATAGACTATAGACCAAACATGACTGTCACCCATTGCCTCTTTTGCAAACCACAACACCCAATAAGAGAGAGAGAACAAAAGGGAATGCCCTGCCACAGAGGCAGGGTGGGATGGGGGAATGGGGGGTGGGAGGGATACTGGGATCCATGGTGGTGGGAAATGGGCACTGGTGGAGGGATGGGTATTTGATCATTGTATAATTGAAACCCAAGCACAAAAATTTGTAAGTCTGCAACTGTACCTCATGATGTCTCACTAATAAAAAAAATATATATATATATATTGATACTTTTTCTGTTTTGACAGGTATGTCATTTCAGCACCAAAAGTATTCCGTGTTGGAACATCTCAAAATATTGTAATTCAAGTTTATGGATACACAGAAGCATTTGATGCAACGATATCTCTTAAGAGTTATCCTGATAAAAAAGATAGTTACTCTTCAGGATACGTTCGTTTATCTGCAGAAAATAAATTCCAAAACTCTGCTATTTTAACGGTATATATATACTCTTTATTTTCTTTATGCATACAAAAATATTGTTAATAAAATATGTATAGTTTGAATATAGTAACATAGGGCTGGAGTGATAGCACAGCGGTAGGGCGTTCGCCTTACAAGCGGCCAACATGGCCGACCCGAGTTCGATTCCTCCACCCTCTCGGAGAGCCCGGCAAACTACCGAGAGTATTCGATATGCCAAACACAGTAACAACAAAGTCTCCAATGGAGACGTTACTGGGCCCGCTCGAGCAAATCGACGATCAACGGGAGGGCCTTTACCTTACCTTACCTAGAGATTGGATATTTTCACTCTATCTCAATATTATCCAAAGTCAGTTCACAATAATGATAGAATGAAACAATTTTAAATTGAAAAGTTATATCTGCCTTTATGAGTAATGTAAATTGTTGCTTTCCTATTTGAAAATTAAACTATACGTATGAGAAAACATTTGGAGGTGAATTTTTAAAACTTGTCTACTGTGAAATTATCATCACAAACAAATTAAAATATTAATATTTATCGGTACTGCACTGCACTGCACTGTCCTCCCATTGTTCATCGATTTGCTCCAGCAGGACCAGTAATGTCTCCATCGTGAGACTTGTTACCGTGTTTAGCATATCGAATACGTCACAGGTAGCTTGCCACGCTTTGCCCCGCGGGCAAGATACTCTCGGTAGCTTGCCGGGCTCGGGGTGGAGGAATTAAACTAGGGTCAGCCATGTGGGCCGCGTGCAAGGCGAACATCCTACCTGTTGTGCTATCACACCAGCCCTACAGTGCTTAAAATATTGCACAGGTACCATTAACCATATTTTATTTAAATCCCAGCATTAAATAATTGTAGCTTTCAAAACTAATAAAATTGCTGATTTCTGAAGTGAATAATTCTCAGTAATAGTAAATTAACTAGGATCAATTTCCTTCTACTAAGATATTATAGTATTTACACCAAAGCACAAAAACATTAATTGTGAGAGATACTGCATTATGAGAGATAATTACATTCATTGAATTGTTTAGTACAATATCCAGGACATGACAACTCCAGTGTCCAACAACAGATGAATGGATAAAAAGTACATAAACAATGGAATACTATGCAGTCATTAGGAAAGATGAAATCAGGCAGTTCACTGCAATGTGGATAGACATGGAGAACACCATGTTAAGCAAAGCCCACCAGAAATAGTCCCTGAGCACAGAGCCAGGAGTAAATCCTGAGCACCACTGATATGGTTCAAGAACATAACAGTATGCTAATTTCAAGAGAGCTTTTATAGAAGTAGCTTTCTAAATGCATTAAAATTGAAGAAACACAAAACCACAAAAGAGAATTGTTTAAATTTAAATTTTGATTATGATATTTGACACTGATGAGCTATGGTCAAAATATAGTTATTCTGGCTCCAGTACAACTTTTTAAATGCCTAAATCTCCATAGTTGTCTTCCATTTACTAGGATTACTGTAATATTTAGATAACTGATCTGTCTTGTTACCCTCAAATTATTATGTTCTTTCGACCAAAATTTTCTTTTACAGATACAACCTATACAGCTGTCTGGAAAAAAAGACCAAGTCTCACATGTGTATCTGGAAGTAGTATCAAAGCATTTCTCAAGATCAAAAAAAATTCCAGTAGCCTACGATAATGGATTTCTCATTATTCATACAGACAAACCTGTTTACACTCCACACCAGTCAGGTAGGTTCTAAGATGTTCTTTCTCTGGAAAAATTGACATTATAATGTAGAGCTTTTCAACAATTAAATTGAAATGATAAAAGATTTCCAGATTGATGAAAAAGTCTCTATTCAAAAAGACTCATACAGTTGTAAATACCACTTACCATTTACATGGATGGGGGGGGGCAAGTGGTCACTGGTAAAAATATTGGTATTGAAATACTGCATGCCTGAAACCCAATCACGAATAACTTTGTAATTTCACAGTGACTAAAAAATTTTTTTCAATAAATTAAAATTTAAATGGAAATTGCTAATGACACAATGAAATTAAATTTAAATTTGATTTTAAATGCAAAGTTTTTAACCCAGATAAAAATCAATAATTATATAAAGTCATTCCAAGCGGAAAATAAAAGGTTCACTTGAAGTGGTGAAATGTGTTGTGTCACTTACTAACCAAATATAAGATATAATTGCACGGACCAGAGAGATAGTACTGTGGGAAAGGCGTTTGCCTTGCACACGACTGACCCCGGCATCTCATATCCCCAAGCACCAACCAGTAGTAATTCCTGAGTGCAGAACCAGGAGTAACTCCTGAATATCGCTGGGTGTGACCCAAAAAGAAAAAAAAAGATATACTTGCAAACATTATTTTGAAAATGGGAAAAATATTACTATAAAGACACATTCCTAATAGCAGTTATTACTATAAAAAAATTTTAAATTACTATAAAGACACATTCCCATTAGCAGTTCCAGAGCTAATGCTTAAATTCAGGAAACAAATCCAATTCTAGGCATTGAACAGCTTCAGCAAAAGAAAATAATAATAATTAGGTTGGGGCCAGGGAAATACAACAGGAGTTGGTGGTGCCTTGTATGCAGCTTACAACTTTTCAATCCCAGGCCTATGGTCCTCTGAGCACCACCAAGGGTGATCCCTATTCACAGGGTCAGGAGGAAGCCCTGAGCACCCAATAGTGTGACTAAATAAATAAATAAATAAATAAACTAGATTACAAAAGTATGTGTATATTCCTTCTTTAAGGGAATCTATCAAGAAAATTTCTGTTAGAACAGTTTCATATACCTGCGTAATCTTTTAGTGGGGTGAGTGCAGGATACCCCATCAAAAATCCATGTTTGATAAATAACTGACATTCCCAATGAACCAAAAACAAAACAAAGAAGTGTAAATACTACCCAAATTTGCTCACACCTGCAAAGACTTTATTCCACCAACACTCCCTCTTTCTGTTATTGACCTTTGAGACTATCAGAGATAGAATTATGATAAAACTGTATGAGGAAGGAGACATTTGGAGTTTTAAGGATATTTCTGATAAAGAATGGTGAAGGAAGACACAAATTACAAGGTGTGTTAATAAAAAAACTCACACAGATTTTTTAATATCATTTCTTGACTTTAAGAGGATGACTGATTTAAAAGGAAATAGTGTCTGCCCATAACGTTTGGACCTTTTCAGACATAAAGAAGCAAATGCTCAGGTCTAAAAGCTAGTCTTTTCTTTCTTAATATTATTTCTGTAATCGAATTTAATTGAGACTCATCTCTTTCAACAATGATTGATATGTTTGAAAAAATTAAGCCCTTTGTTAAGCGTCACCTTTATATCAATTATTCTTACAGTTAAGATTAGAGTTTATTCACTGAATGATGACTTGAAGCCAGCCCTACGAGAAACTGTCTTAACCTTCATAGTAAGTATGTCATTTGTTTGAACGATCACCTAACTTATCTTCAGAACAAGAATTATTGGTCCATAGCCCTACCCAAATACCACACTCAGTCCTACACTTTTCAGTAATGGTTTTTAAACAGCTCTGAAAATAATTTTATAAATCTATAAAGTTATCTCAAAGTGATGCATCTATGTCAGAGTGGATCAATGATGATTGCTGAACCACTCTGACATATATGCATACAGATATATTTCTCTAAAAGAACATGTAACAAGATTGTGAAAATTACATTTTTTCAACTAATGATTTTAAATGTATCTTTGTGACTTCTTTTTTAAAGAAGATCAGTTACAGGACAGAGAGATGCTCAATGGACTGAGCACAGGCCTCCCAGCACCACCAGAATTGAGCACAGCATAGGCAGTGACCTTTGAGCACAGAGCAGGGGTAACCACTACCAGGTGTATCCCAAGAAACAAAAAAAGAACATCTATCATTAATAATTATTGAATGCACATTAGATAGGAAGGTTTTACTTGTACTATTCAAAAATCAATAATCACAGTTCAGAGCGCTTAGAATTAATGGACTTGGAGTTTAATAACTAACACGTGAAAAGCATTGCTAAACCAGGAGACAGGATCAGCAGCTGTCCCTATTGATCCACTATGACATATACATATACAGAGAAAATTACATATATGCATATATATGAAATGCAAAAAAACTTCCCTGGTCTTACCTGGTTTGTTTCACAACCCTCTGAAATTTGTAGCCACCTAGTCTTAACCATGCCTTCTTGAGAGAAAGGAAATGTTCTATCTTTTCTAATGATTTGTGATATTCAGTACTGCAGGGAGAATGTATCCATTACCTCTCATCTGCAGTTCTCTTTATACATAGAAATAGAAATAAAAATTTGAATAACTTCTCATTTATGTAAGCTAGTAATTAATGTTCCGTCACTGTATGCTATTGCAGCTTGTCTCTGCTTTATTTAAAAGTTTATCAGAATGCAGGTGCAAAATAATACACAGGGATACCTTTGAATTCCTTATAACTAAAAAAATCATAAACATTTACATATATCTCATTTATAATGACTTTATTGTGAAACATCAAAGTATTCCAAGATAGTGGTTGATAACCATTCCTGTAAGCTTCAGGATTCAAAGAGAACAAGGGATAAAGTAGAATTTAGATAATTGCAGAAGAAGCAGGAGAGATGGTGGGAAGGAAACAGTGGAGCATAGAGTCAGAAGTGAGAAGGAATTGCGAACCACAACACCCTAAAGGAAAGAGAGCAAAAGGGAATGCCCGGCCACAAAGGCAGGCCGGAGGTGAGGGGAGGGTGGGGGGTGGGGTTGGGAGGGCTTCTGGGATCATTGGCGGTGGAGAACTGGCAATGGTGGAGGGCTGGGTACTCGATCATTGTATAACTGAAACCCAAGCACGGAAGTTTGTAAGTCTACAACTGTACTTCATGGTGTTTCTAAAAAAAAAAAAAAAAAGTGAGAAGAATAAGATAGCCCAGGAAGAAAGCTATGAGAGCCCTAGGAAAAATATTTATGAATCTGAGCTCAGAATAAAGCTGAGTCTGTGCAGAAATTATCTCAAAAATAGCGTATGAGAAGCCAGCATGCTAGAAGCAATATGCATGACATCCTACAGAGGAGGAAGAATAACCAGGAAGACATTCTGCTATGATTCTCAGTCTTGCCAGAAACAAACCTTTGTAACTCAAAAAAAAAAAAATTCTAAATCCCTGACTTCACACTTCACAGTCACTGCTCATCATGGAAAATTTATGAACTAAGAACAAAACTGGCTTCTACATATTATCATCTGAAGAGAGTGAAACATTCCAATTTAATAATTTTCCAGTCCACACACAAAAGGAACTTTAAGGCAAATTGCTATGAAAATTTCCAAGTCTGTTTAACCACTTTGGACACTTCAATTTCAAAAGATCCCTACTGTGGTTATGAATTATCTGGCTTAAAAAATGAATTCTATAATATATTTGCTTTGGAAACTTCAAATGAACAGATATGAAATTTAATTTAGATTCTAGAGTCTAGAAAGCTTCTAAGTTCACATGTTAAAATGTTCATGTATTCAAATTAGAACAATTATTGATACACTTATTTTTTGTTATAAAATAGAGGAGTTTCTTCCAGACAATTGGGACTAGCATACTCTGGATATTGATATGGAGCATGTGTGTGTGTGTGTATGTGTGTGTGTGTGTGTGTGTGTGTGTGTGTGTGTGTGTGTAAGAGAGGGAAGACAGCCTAAAAAGCACAAAAAGGAGAGAAATTGTTTAAATTAACCATACTTGGCTTCCACAACATTTTGTTGATGTACCTCTGCTTAGATTCTTGTAAAGCAAAATAGTATATAACCAAGTAAATTTTTTATGTGGTTTGGGTTCTTATAAGATTTTGGGTTTTTTGTTTGCTTCTTTATTTGTTTTTATTCAAAGGATCCTGAAGGATCAGAAGTTGACATCGTAGAAGAAAAGGATTACACTGGAATCATCTCTTTTCCTGACTTCAAGATTCCATCACATCCTAAGTATTTTACAATATTTGTTATCTGATCTGATAGCACAGCGGTAGGGCGTTCGCCTTACAAGCGGCCAACATGGCCGACCCGAGTTCGATTCCTCCGCCCCTCTCGGAGAGCCCGGCAAGCTACCGAGAGTATTCGATATGCCAGACACAGTAACAACAAAGTCTCCAATGGAGACGTTACTGGGCCCGCTCGAGCAAATCGACCATCAACGGGAGGGCCTTTACCTTTACCTTTACCTTGTTATGAAACTTTCCCCTGAGTCAAATGAAACCACCTAGTGTTAACCAAGCCTTCATGAGAGAAAGGAGATGTTCCACCTTTTCTAGTGATTAGTGAGGTTCATTACTTAATTGGTGAAGTATCCATTACTTCCCATCTGCAGTTCTCTTTATACATAGAAATAGAAATTAACATGTCAATAGGCAAAACCAGTCCCCATGCTATTTTTCATCCAAACCTCCTTCACGAAATCTAGACAATCAGTGGAAAAGGCTGTGTGTTCTGAGAGCCATCTTTGTATATCCTTGAACTTATTGACCATAGTATCATTCCTTTCTAGTATTTTCATAGATTATCCAAAGACAGTTTTCAAGAGAGAGAGAGTTTCTTTAGGCCATTTAACCCATTGGTCTCATGCTAAAGGATTAAGATACCTTTAACAGAATCCCATGTAATGCATATTTAATGTACACTCCCAGCATGTTCAAAGAAAAAAGAGACAGATGCAAAACAGAAATGAAGAATCCACCATCCTCCAAGAAAAAGAGTAGGACAATTGATATCAACTACAAATGATGACATTAGAACTTTAAAATCAAATCTTTTTGTGATTGGGGCTGGAGTGATAGTACAGTGGGTAGGGTGTTTGCCTTGCAAGCGGCCAATATGGCTGACCCGAGTTCGATTCTTCCACCCCTCTCGGAGAGCCCAGCAAGCTACTGAGAGTATCTCGCCCGCACGACAAAGCCTGGCAAGCTACTCCTGACGTATTTGATATGCCAAACACAGTAACAACAAGTGTCACGATGGAGACATTACTGCGCTTGCTCTAACAAATAGATGAACAATGGGAGGACAGTGACAGTGACATTTTGTGATCATATTGCAATATTCTCGGAAAGGGAGTTTCCAGATAGTTCTCTCTGTACTGGAGATTTTCTAGAAATCTGGATAAAAGTGAGAGATTTGAGTAATTCGGGTAATTTTTAAATATTGCTCTTCCTTGAAAATACTAGGAACTCTACAACACAGAATAGAATCTGTCCTTTTGTATAACTTTTCCCAGTTTTCCAACTTCACCTTACACCATTTGCAGTCACTGATTATGAATCAGACCTGGTTGCCTCTCATGACTGGTTACCTCATATCCCAGTACTTTTGCACATGCTGCTCTCTGCTTAGAATGTGTTTCAACTTGCATTGTTCATTTTTATTCCAGTGCTTAATTTAGTGCTTAGTAAATATTTCTGAAATTTTCCTTTTTAAGCAAACCATACTTTGTTATAAAGGTAAAGGTAAAGGTAAAGGCCCTCCCGTTGATCGTCGATTTGCTCGAGCGGGCCCAGTAACGTCTCCATTGGAGACTTTGTTGTTACTGTGTCTGGCATATCCAATACTCTCGGTAGCTTGCCGGGCTCTCCGAGAGGGGCGGAGGAAATACTTTGTTATGTGATATATAAATGTTATCATCTTGATAGACAGTCTTTATTATGTTTCTAGAAATATAATTATGGATTTTATTTTTATTTTATTCTAATGTATTTATACATGTATATCAATATTTACAGTCACTGTCACTGTCACTGTCCTCCCGTTGTTCATCGATTTGCTTGAGCGGGCCCAGTAACATCTCCATTGGAGACTTTATTGTTACTGTGTTTGGCATATCAAATACATCATGGGTAGCTTGCCAGGCTCTGCCGGGGCGGGCAAGATACTCTCTGTAGCTTGCCGGGCTCTCTGAGATGGGCGGAGGAATCGAAATCGGGTCAGCCACGTTGGCTGCGTGCAAGGCAAACGCCCTACTGCTGTGCTATCGCTCTAGCCCATTTTTACAGTATATTTATATATTTAGTTTAACAATATAATTAACATCTTTCACCTGAAAAGTTGTGTATCACTGTAGCACTGTCCTCCTGTTATTCATCGATTTACTCGAGTGGGCACCAGTAATGTCTCACAACAAGTTGTGAGACTTCTTGTTACTGTTTTTGGCATATCGAATACGACCTGGCTGACCTGAGTTCGATTCCTCCGCCCTTTTTGGAGAGCCTGGCAAGCTACCGAGAGTATCTCACTCACATGGCAAAGCCTGGCAAGCTATTCGATATGTCAAAAACAGTAACAACAAGAAAAGTTATGACTCTTAAAATATTTTTTTACGCTGGAGCTTAGTTACACTAAGATAAAATACCTTTAAAAATAATGCTACAGGGGCTGGAGCAATAGCACAGCGGGTAGAGTGTTTGCCTTGCACACAGCCAACCCGGGTTCAATTCCCAGCATCCCATATGGTCCCCCAAGCACTGCCAAGAATAATTCCTGAGTGCATGAACCAGGAGTAACCCCTGTACATCGCTGGGTGTGACCCAAAATAAAAATAATAATAATTATTATTATTATTATTATGCATACAAAAAGCTACTTACAAAAACTAAATTTCTGGGGATGGAGCGATAGTATAGCGGGTAGGGTATACTGCATGCCTGGCATGCAGCCGAACTTGTTTTGATCCCCGCATCCCATATGGTCCCCCAAGCACCATCAGGAGTAATTCCTGAGTGCTGAGGCAGGAGTAACCCCTGAGCATCCCCAGGTGTGACACAAAAAGCCTAAGTAAATAAACAAAAACAAAATTTTGTAAATTCCTGAAAACACTGTTTTTTATTGTTTAAAAAACTGTTGCAAATAAAATATATTAACTAGGCTATATAGGTCTTTTTATTTTTTTCCCTTTTTCAAACAATATTTTTTGTTGTTGTTGCTATAGTTTAGGCAACAAGGTTACAATAGTGTTAACATTTATGGTGTTGATGTAAAGTCACTGTTCCCCAGCAACACCAAAGTCCCCCAAATCCTCCAGAGTTCTCTCTAGATCACCTCTAGATCTTCTCCCCTAACCCCTCCCCCCTAACCCCTCCATTAATAAGGTAAAATAGAACTTGATTCAATTTCCTCTGTGTAAATTAAAACTATTTTATGACATCCATAATTGTGTACATTTTCCACAGATACGGTGTGTGGACAATCCGAGCTAAATATAAAGAGGACTATTCAACAGTTGGAACCACCTATTTTGAAGTTAAAGAATATGGTAATTTCTCACAATTAGAGGTTTACCCAAAATCAGTGTTTTTTTGGGGGGGATCACACCCCGAGATGCTCAGGGGTTACTCCTGGCTCTGCACTCAGGAATTACCCCTGGCGGTGCTCAGGGGACCATATGGGATGCTGGGAAAAGAACCCCGGTCGGAGGCGTGCAAGGCAAACTCCCTACACACAGAGATGTGCTATCACTCCAGCCCCAAATCAGTGTTTTTGTGATCATTCTTTTCACTAAATGTATTCTGTGTGCAAGCACACCCAGCTAAAGATGAGGCAGCCCCACCCCCACCCCCATCATGTCTGGCTGTACTCCGGACAGAGCTGGTGGAAATGTCTGTACACTAATTCCCGTAATCTCGGCACACCAACTTCTCTACACTTAGCGTTCCTCACCATAGAGTCGGAAAAGGTCTAATCCCTGGAAGAGTTTGAGCAAGCTAAAGTCCTTGGCAGAATTATGTTTTTAGAAGAAAATAAAACAATCAGTGATGAAGTGATTGGAAACCAGTAAGTTGAATAAATGAGTTGCCCAAATAATGATGCCTAATTAGTGACAGAACAAGAACAAATGGAATTCTTTAGCCCTGCACCATAGCTATGTATCTTCTGCTTCACAAGTCCCTGTGCTCATTTGGAAATTTATGACACTTTTATTTTGAAATCAATCATATTGATGGATTGAGAGTAGCATATATAAAATATATAAGATAGCATAACACTTATACTAGCTTAATCTTGTTATTTCTTATTTGTTGTTTGAGTATTTGTGTACTCTGATAGCAAACTTAATTTTCTTCAGCTTCAAATCACTTTTAACGGTCCCAGGACATTCATAGAAGTATGAAAAATCAACTCACAGATAATAAGTGACCAAAAAAACTTGCAATATTGCAAGTAAAATTTAAGATTACTGACTCTCAGTATATTGAACTCTTATGTTTTTATTTTTTAATTTTTATTAGTGAAACACCATGAGGTACAGTTGTAGACTTACAAACTTTTGTGCTTGGGTTTCAATTATACAATGATCAAATACCCATCCCTCCACCAGTGCCCATTTTCCACCACCATGGGTCCCAGTATCCCTCCTACCCTCCATTCCCCCATCCCACCCTGCCTCTGTGGCAGGCCATTCCCTTTTGTTCTCTCTCTCCTTTTGGGTGTTGTGGTTTGCAAAAGAGGCATTGAGTTCAGTATATTGAACTCTTCCATCCTCCAAGCATTTTTGCTGAGTTCCATAAAAATCTGGGATTTAACCGCCTATTACTTTCTGCAGCCATCCTCATCAGTTCATTCTCTCCAGGTGCCCTTCTGAATTATTGAAAACTCTCCAAATTACTACCTCTAACTTCAAGTTACTCTTGTTTAATAAGTAACCAAAATCATCGTGAAATGAAAATCTAAATTATTTCAACTCTAGAAAAGTTCTCAATACTCCGAGTTGCTTTTCTAACAAAAATTGCAGTCCTGATTTTGAGCTGGCCCTTACCTACCTCCTCTTCAGCTTTATTTTATTTTGTTAAGATAAAATAGTTTTATTTAGAAAATATGAGATAGGAGAGAAAGAGACAATTAGTGAGAGGAAAATCCATAAAGACAAATCATGTGGGGCCGGAGAGATAGTACAGTGGATAAGGCACTTGCCTTGCATGTTCCGGGCTTGATTCCCGGTACCCCATATAGTGCCCTGAGCATTGCCATGAGTAATCCCTGATCACAGAGTCAGGAGTAAACCCCAAGCACAGCCAGGCGTAACCCAGAAACAAACACAATCCCCTTTAAATAAATAAATAAATAAATAAATAAATAAATAAAAACCTTCAAGTGCCCTGAGCTGGGACGTGGGCAGCACCTGAATAATGTACACCTTCAGCCTCAGTTTATATTAGGCTTCCCCTGGCTTCTCTCCAACTATGGTGACTTTCTTTTTTTTTTTACACTTGATGTTCCATCTCCAAAGATTCTTTTCCTCCTCCCTCATTCCTTAACCAAGACCTACCTACATTTCAAGTCTCAACTGAAAAGCCACTTTTTTAGGGAACTAGACCCTGGATTCTATTCCCTATGTAGGAAAACCATTACTCTTACTCTTGAGTGTCAGTCAGAGTCACTGAACCACCCAATCTATTGTTGTGCAGATTACTAGAATTCAAATCCAGGGCCAAAGGATGATAGTACAGCAGGTTAGTCACTTGCCTTGCATTCAATCAACCTGAGTTTGATCTCTGGCAGCATATATTACACCCTGATTACTACCCGGACTGATCCTTGAGTACAGGTTCAGGGATAAGCCCTAAGCACAGCTGGTTTGTGACCACAGAGCAAGCAAAAAATTAGAATTCATAAGCCCTAGTAAACTATCTGAGTGGAACTATAGTAAACTGAGTAAACTATAAAATGAAGACAATGTTGATTTGACAGGTTAACTTGTTTTCTCTTGAACAACTAAGACATAAATACGATTAGGGGGAAAAAAACCCTTCCTTTCTGTCCCAATGTGCAATTGTTCTTGAATGATCTTTCTTCTACTTAATTATAAACAAGATCTTCTGGACTGAAATTAGAGTTGCTTATTGCTATTTGGAGATTGAATGGAGTGGATCTTGTAGACAGAATTCTTTTCTATTTTCAATACAACAGGAATTGATAAAAATATACTCTGCTCAAATTTTTGAAAGAAAGTTGAGAATGGGAGCAATATTCAAAGATAAATAGAGAATAAGGGGGAGGGTTTTTTGTTTTCAAATACCCTAACTCCAGAAGAGGAAATTATCAATTGCCTATAAAAAGTGCTGAGTCCAAAGTAAAAGTGAAGTGTCTATAGTACATAGAACTAGATTATTCTCTGGTAGAGTGGGAGATATTGTTATAGATACTGATGGTTATGAGTGTAATAAAGATGATCAAGTGACTGATTATTGGGTTGATGGATCATTTGTCTAACTTTTCCAGAAAGTAGAATTTATTGCTTTGTTTTAAAGGTTACTTTAATTTAAATGATAATATTGCTTCTTTGTTTTCATCTTTAGTATTGCCACATTTTTCTGTATCAATAGAACCAGAAAATAATTTTATTGGATATAAGGACTTTAATGACTTTGAAATTACTATAAAAGCAAGGTAAGAAAATTATTTTTCTGATTATCCAGCTCATTTGAGTGCCAACTCTGGTTGGTGATAGTTGCCCAAATTGAGATGTTATTTTTTTTCCAGTGTCATTGAGAAATATAATTAACACATAAAAGTGCACATTTGAGGTGTGAAATGTGGGGATTCAATACATATTATTGCTGCAACCTGTGATTTACTGGCAATATCTGTTGTGAATTGGAGACTAATTCCAATTTTAGCTTTGTGGCTAACTCAACCAGCAACAAAATCCTAACAATTTAAGTATACCGTGCATTTTTTAGGAATAAGCATGATTTACGATACTGAGGTTAAGCTATGAAACTTTGCTTTTTGACATCTATATTTAGGGTCCTTCACAGATTTAGGGTGCTCTGGCCAATTCAACAATACTCAACTTCTTTGAGGCAGTGTTGACTGGACTGGTGTTCCTGGGGCCTCTGGGGCCACACTGTCAGTTCGGGGACAGGACAGGAAGTTCTAGGAATAGAACTCTGGGCCTCAAGCATGTAAGGCATGAACTCCACCCTTTTGAGCTTTCTCCCAGCCCTTTATATCATTTTGGGTGGAGGCTTTTCAAGCCACTTCTGGTGATATTTGGCTATATAGTTTAGTGGTCAGGCCCAGGGTTGTGGTCCTGGGTTTGGCAAAACTACAGCAGTGCTCATGAGGACATGTGGTGCTGGTACAGGAATTCAGGTCCTGCGCATGCTACCTCCCTAGCTATCTCCCTAACCCCTTCTTGTCATTTTTAGAAGTTTGATGTACCATTGGTTTGATCTGCTGCTTAACTACTTCAAGAATCAATACCCTGAGGCTGGAGAGATGGTGCAACATTTAAGGCACTTGCCTTGCATGCAGCTGAAGCTCCATCACCAGCACCATGTGTGGTCCCCTGAGCACTCCCTTCTATGCCCAGCACTGCATGTGGTTGCTTGACCACTGTCAAAAGTGATCCCTGAGCACAGATACAAACATAAGCCCTGAGCACAGTCAAGTGTGCCCCAAAACCCAAACTTAAAAAAACAATGTATCAGTACCTTAACATCCCAACCACATATTGGGAAGTTCTGCTGATGAGGACCAGGATAATGTCGCTGGGACTCAGCCATGTGTCTGCTGTCATTTGGCAGCTCAGATGGAGCTGGCTGGTACAGGGAGTTAACTGGGAGTTAAAAAGTGGGACAAAGTGATGAAACTGGTTGGACCAGAAGTGTTCTTTCATCATCCAGCAGGCTAGTCTGCATCCCCAACAATGTTCAGAGAAAACAGGAGCATAAAAGTCTTCCTGGAGTGGACTAGGTTTCAGAGAAGTACACCATTAATTCCATCACCTTCTTTTGTCCAAAGCAACTTACAATTTACTGCCCAGAGAAAACAGACACACTTTGCAGCCTTTTAAGTTTCTGTAAAGGTGGAGAATTGGGCTTCGTTTTGCAAGTAATTACCACACAAGCTGAGGTTGTTTGAAAATTATAACAATGCAGTTATTAATAACAGTATCAGTTTATAGAACTATATGTGTCAGGAGTTTGTTAAAGTACTCTATATATTTATTAACTCAATGAACATGAAAACTGCATGAGTTAGGTACTTTTATTGTGCTCATATTACAAATGGGTAAATGGAGGCAAATAAAATATTCAGTAATTTATACAAAACTGTACAGTTAGTAAATTGCATGATTTGTCTGGTTCTAGAGTCTGTGCTTCAAAATATGTATGCCCTGCACTGCCTCTATTGTTAGCATTTATTCCTAAAATAGTGTCAGTCTAAGCTAACTTAAAAGGCTTACTTGACAGAGAATTCTTTTAAATAGACATTTTATTTGTTCAAGCAGTGAATAGGAAAGTTAGCTTTTCCTAGAGTATTACTTGCTCTGCAGAAAGATCCTTTTAGTCTTCCTTTCAATCCAAATTTAAAAAGAAATACACTGTTAGAATTTTAAAGGAAATTCATTTAATATAACTGTGAGGTTGGACATTCTATCTTTAAAAATGGAAAAGAAAATAGGAAACAAGTCCCCAGTGTTAGCAAAATCATGGTGGAAATGATTGTCCTGTAAGGACAGGGCCCAGACATGAGTCTTTTTTTATCTCAAAATTGGATTTTTCCAACTAGAATATGGTAGTAAAAAATCATATTTGAGTTTTATTATTATGATTTCATGAGATGAAATGGGATCATGGAAGGAAACAGTTTATAGCTTATCAAGTCCTTTGTATTTGTGATCCTTTGATCTGAATTTTTTTATTTTAACCATGTTAGCAAAAACAGTTTTATGGTGTTATTTTTTTAACAGATACTTTTATGACAAAGTAGTCACTGAGGCTGACGTTTATGTCTCTTTTGGAATAAAACAAGACTTAAAAGATGATGAAAAAGAAATGATGCAAAAAGCATTTCGAAGCACAGTGGTAAGATGTTATCTGACAATGTGTCATAAATGAAAAAGATAAATGATAAAGATAAAGATGGCAAGTTACTTAAAATGTAGAAAATTTCACCTTTCACTTTCTGTATACCAAAAACCTAAGCCATTAACTCTTCCTTGGGCTTCTCATTGTCCTTAGGAAAAAGCCCTCTTTCCTTGGTGTCTAAAGCAAAATTGGATTGTCACCTCAACCTCCATCTCCAAAGAATGAGACCAACATTTTTTTTAAAGAGGAACTACATTTTATTTATTTATTTATTTATTTATTTATTTTTCTTCTTGGGTCATACCCTGCCATGCACAGGGGTTACTCCTGGCTCGTGCGTTCAGGAATTACTCCTGACGGTGCTCGGGGGACTATATGGGATGCTGGGAATTGAACCTGGGTTGGCCGCGTGCAAGGCAAACGCCCTACCCGCTGTGCTATCACTCCAGTCCCGAATAAGACAAACACGTTTTGAACTGCCCAAGTTTTAGGATCACCCCAGCAGCCCTCTCTCACAAACTGGGCATTTATTCAGTGGAATACTGTTGCCCCACCCTAGTTCCCAGTGGTGAGTTATTGTCTAAGTTGACAGCGATATTAAGACCAGTTAGTAAGCACATCAAAATTCAATGGGTACATTAAGAGCATAAATTGGGATATTTCACATTGCTAATCAGTGGGTACCATTAAAAGAATGATGAGTTTCCTATTCTATTTTTGTCTAGGTTCTTGCTTTCTACATCTAAAAGACCCTAAATGTTCTATTCTCTTTTTCTTTCCGGGCACATTTTTTTGTTTGCCCCGTTGTATTTTAAAAGTCCTAAACTGTCTTGCCCAAGGGACTATCCTATTGCACACCTTGGCCCCAGCCTCTCTGACAGCCTGTCTCGTGGTCAGTAAACTCCAGCCTCCTCTTTGCATTGCTTATCTTACTTGCTCAAATTCATGTAGTGTCTCTTGCCTCCAGCTAGGCAGGACACTGCTCCACTGGGCTGCTCCTGAGGATACTGGGGAAAGTCCCCTGCTGCCCCTTCTTTGCCTCCCCATTTCAGTTCTGTAAGTCCATTGCAACCCCTCTCCTGCAAACAGACCTGTAAAAGTCTCCTCTACATGAACTGCCCCTGCCTGGAACTCCACAGCACATATCACACTTGGTCAGAGTGTTTCTCAAACAGGGGTAATTTTTCTTCATCCTAGAAACATTCAGCCACTTCCGGAGGTATTTGTGGTTGTCATCATCAGGAAAGATGGTACAACTGGCACCGAATGGGCAAAGGCCAGAAATGCTGCTAAACTTCTCTACTGCGCAGAGCAGCCCCTTATTACATAGAATCATCCTGTGTGTAATTTCCAGGCGGCTAGGGAACCCCGACGGCTCTCTCTCGCCACCTGTGTTTGGTGGACTACGACCGCTCCTGGATGGGGCCAGGACTGCCAATGCCGTGGGCAGACGAAGTAGGAAACGAGGTCCAGGCTGGTTGATGATCAGTCGCTGTTTAATCCATTTTCCCCACGCGCCTGTTCCAGTCTCAACTAAGCTCCCCATTCCAGTCTCACACTGCCCCTCATTCCCGGCTCCTCCTGTCTCTCCCGCTCATCTCTCCACAATCCATCTCGCAGCTGTGTCTCTAGTCTCTCCACGCGTCTGCTCCTGCGTTTTTCCCTCACATTCTTCTCCCTGTTCCCCCCTTGCTAATCTCTCCATGCTCCATCTTGCTGCCCTGGGTCTGTCTCTCACCATCTCCCCCTTGGTGGTAGCAACCACACACCCAGGCCTGGTAGCACATCAAAATATCAAAAGCCCTTCCTTTTGCCCATCAGGCTCAAGGGTGGAAATATCACCTAAGGGTGTTTCTTCTCTCCTTAGTTCAATAATTTAAATTGCATCTTAATTAGCATCTTAATTCTACTTCTTAATATTAGTTATTTTATATGGACACAGAGATACATTTTGTAGGGTAGCTCTCCTGGGGACCTCTCGCTATAGACTCAGGTTACAGGGCTCAGGCCAGATTAATCATTCCTAACCCCAACAGGGTCCGATCTAATTATTACTTTTTGAATCATGATAGAATTTGTCCATGACTATGCTCTTAACTTATAGTTAAGTATTATGGCACTTTGGCCAGGCCCATTTCTATGCTAAGGTAGCTCACTACTTGCCCTAGGTCCATCCCGTTCCTCATCAGGACCCTGCTTTTGGGGTGCTGGGAAGTAAGGACAACTGAGGCTTAGGTTGAAAGAACAGATGTCCAGGAGTAATGTTATTCGGAGTCAATTAACTCTCAAGTTACAAAAGCATAGCATTAGCTGTCTTCCTGTGTCTATACAAAAAGGACATTGCTCCGAATTAACTATGCAAAGGACTTAAGGAGAAGAGAAAAACAATAGTTACAAGTCAACAAAGTCTGATTAGGAGATATAGGTGATTGACTGGTTGAGGAAGTAGAGCACAAAGAAAGAGGTTACAAATAAGCACAGAGGAATGGGAGCACTGTGATGGGAATAACCCAATAAACCTAAGCTCCGTGTGGCAAGATAGAAAGGACAAACTAATGTTATCCTATAATCCTGTCCAATGTCAAGGGTGCTAAGTCTGAGAAGAAACCTTTACCTCCTTATTGTAATGATTTAAGTACTTATCTTTCATTCATTTCATTTTCATTTCATCATCCTGTTAATCGTCGATTGCCTCGAGCAGGCCCCAGTAACGTCTCTTTCATCCTAGCCCTGAGATTATATTCACGGCTCTTTAGGAGAATGAGACCCATCATTGTTACTGGTATTTGGCATATTTGGTAGGCCACGGGGAGTTTGCCAGACTCTGCCCTGTGGGCAGGCTACATTCGATAGCCTGCAAGTTTGTCCAAAGTAGGAATGAGATAATAAGATGTCATAAAGAAAAGTTCTGATAAGATCTTTCAATCTCTGCAAAAGACTGAGTGTGGAGAGTGTGGACTGAAATCATTCCCATTATCTGCTGAGAGTCAGTATGTTTCCTGGCCAAAAAAATAAAAAATAAAAAGTACTTGCTCCATAAATATTTGTGAGTGAGTTCATTTACAGTGAATTCATTGGGAAATTCTTTTATTCGCAATTAAGAGCTCATGGTTCTTAAAACATAGATTAGAGTCCTCTTTACATTTGACCATGGGTGATATGCATTTCTGCTGTTTTCCTCACTGTGGCACATTTATGGAGTTTGTATTTTCAGTGAATGAGCCTTTATTTTATTTTTTAGAGTTTTCTTTCTTTCAGATAAAATGTAATGCCCCTTTTAAATGTAAGATTCTATGATGGGCTCTGAGATTTAACAACAAGACAAAAATACCTGTACTCAAATTACTCAAGTTTAAAAGTAAAAATAAGGCAAAATTATTTTAATATATTAAAAAATAAAGTTTCTTTCACAAAATAAACCACATAATGACAACGTTGAAGCCCCTTTGCCTATTGTATGTTTTTACATTCGAGTTTAACTATGTAAGAAGTGATGCCAAATTAAAAATCCTAGAAGCCGCAAAACTCTTAGTTAAGGACAAAGACAAACTGAGAGGCTCTGACAGATAGTTGATGGCCCAGGGGTTGGAAGGGGTTTGTCTGGGACTCTCTAAAGAAGTCGCCTTGAGACACTATTTAAGACCATACTTTCATGTCTGTAATGCCAAACAAATAAATGAGAAACTAACATTCTTGGCTTAATCTTCAGTTGGGGCATCCACACTACTCTGATTTACTTTCTAACTTAGAGGTCAATAGAAACAGATTTTATTCATTTTTTCCTTTGAGCTCTTTTCTGAAATAACGTTCATTTTTCCTTTTTAAAAAGTTGACAAATGGAATTGCTCAAGTAAGTTTTAACTCAGAAAAAGCAATTGAAGAACTGCCCTATAACAGTCTAGAAGATTTAGACGGCAAGTACCTTTATATTGGTGTAACGGTCATCGAATCTTCAGGTAAATTTCTATTTCTGGGAAGGAAGGAGGGTGTTGGGGAGGAAGGACACTGGACTATGCTCAAGACTTACTCCTGACTTTGTGCTCAGGCATCACTCCTGGCAGGGTTTTGAGGACTATATATGGTTCCAGGGATCAAACCCAGGTCAGCTGCAAGCAGAGCAAGAACCCTGCTCTCTGTACTCTCTCCAACCCCAAATTTATTTTTTCAAAACTTTCTCTTGGATAATATTTAGATAGCACATAAATAGTATAAATAAATTGCACTGATTTTTTTATTTTAATGAATCATCATGAGATACAGTTACAGACTTAAAAATTTTTGTGATTATATTTCAATCAATGTTGGGAGTACCCATCCCTCCACCAGTGGCCATTCTCCATCATCGATGTTTCCAGTGTCCCTCCCATCACCCCCACTCCTTCCCACCCCTGCCTCTGTGGTAGACACATTCCCTCTTACTCTCCCTCTCCTTTTGGGTGTTATGGTTTGTAACATAGGCACTAAAAAGCGATCATGTTCGGTCCATAGCCTACTTTCAGCACACATCTACCATCTCGAGTGATTCCTCCAACCATCATTTACTTAGTGGTCTCTTCTCCATCACACCTGCCTCCATCCCTCCAGCACATGATATCGGCTTCCAGAGCCATAGGGCCACCTTTCTGGCCTTTATCTCGACTATCCTTAAGTGTTATTCTCCTTTTATGTTACTTTATATTCCACAAATGGGTGCAGTCATTCTGTGTCTGTCCTGCTCTTTCTGACTCATTTCACTTAGCATAATACTCTCCATGTTAATCCACTTATATGCAAATTTCATGGTTTCATCTTTTCTAACAGCTGTATAGTATTGCATTGTGTAGATACTCAAAAGTTTCTTTAACCAGTCATCTGTTCTCAGGCACTCGGGTTTTTTCCAGATTCTGGCTATTGTAAATAGTGCTGAATTGCACTGTTGTTTAATATTATATGTTCTGTCGTGGTTAGCTGTAGTTTTCATATCATATAATGCAGAATTAGAGGCTACTTCTGCCCCTCTCTATTTACTGGGCCCCTGTTGTCTCAAACTCAAAAATAGAATAATTGCAACCAATCTATAACCTTGAGTGATTCTGCAAACTCTGTCTTAAAACCTGTACCTCAATGTTCTCATCTACTAAGACTCCCTATCAAATAGTATATATGAAAAAATTTTTTGATTACAATGTAAATGACAGATACAGCCATTATTGTTTTAATCTCCTTATCTGTACAGTGAACTAAATGTTCTCTATGGTCCCTTTTCAGCTGTAAAACTCAGAAATTCACCTAAATTTGGATTGCCCTAATGTCTCTAAAATGAATACCTTAATAGTATATATTTAATAAGAACAAAATTCAATTAATATATGCAGAGACTTATGTTAGTGTCTCTTCTCCACTTTTCTTTGATCCTCATTCTATGTTCCTTCCTCCTTGCTCTCCTTCCCATTCCCCTTCTGTCCTCCTCCTTCTTCTCCCTTTCTTTAAGTCTACCTACTATTTCTTAACTTCCTTTTAATAAGGATGGATAGAGCTCTCAATTATACTTCAATCGTCTGTAATAGCTATTACAAATCCAGACAAATTGGATCAAATTTTCTTCCTTGTAGGATGTTCTGACTACAATGTTCTTTATATTGTCAAACTTATATTAAACCTCTAACCAACCTGAACAAATCACACATCATTGAACCATAATGAGTCACATTTTGGGGCAAAATTAAGGTTAGACAAGATGAACTCTAAATTCCCTTACATCTCTTTAAATATATCATTTTAAGTAACAAAATGAAGAACTGAGATGATTTGGTAATTATTTAGCCTCTTGTATGTGTTAGGCACTCAATAGATGGAAAAGAATGATGGTGACCTTACTTTTGCTATTTCTCTTGACGTTATTTTAATCTTCTTGTTTTATATTTTTCTCAATTTATTTCAATTAAATTCAGTTAAAGCAATAATTAAGAGATACTCAGAGTATTGCTGAACATATAGCCTTATAAATATGAAAGATATATAATCCAACTCTCTAAAATGACTTAGAAATTAGTTTCAGGTATAAGGTTTGTAAATAAAGAAACTCGTTACAATAATTACATGTGTGTTCTGAGCAAAGTGCATTATATTATTTCAGAGCTCACCACCAAGAACAATATTGTAAATATGATTAGTCTTAAAAAAAATAAGTAGGGTTTTGAGAATGGGGTAAAGCATGTTACCCCATGTGTGGGGGGAACATACATGAAGACTAATTTTTGAGAATTACAAGTTATTCAGTTGGCTAAAATATAGAATATTTATAGGGACATGAAGAAGTAATATCGAATATTGAATAGAATATGCAACAAAAATAGGAGGTGGGGGGTATTAATTGTGTGTTAATTTTAATAGTTTGGCTATATTTATCTGAAGGGTAACACATTATTTGTCTCTTGTCAGGTGAATCCTAAGGGAGCTCTCTACTCAAGCACTTTTCTTCCTGGATATTTTTTCCATATCCCTGGAATCTAAAGGTGGACCCCTTTAAGGTTCAGTCTCTGTTCTACGCTCCCTTTCTCTTTTCAATCTTTCCTACATGTTCCACTAACCATCAGACCACTAATAAAAAATTGATATCCCTTTATTGCTTCCCAATTCAATCCAGCTCTATCTAACAAGTCTTGTATCTAACTCTGTGGCTTTGGTAACTCCCAACATTTGAACGCTTCTCTGCACATCCCCTCTGCATCAAGACCCAGGCCCTGATAACTAGTGATGAATGAGTGCAAGAACAGAGTGAAGAGCAAGTGAGTGAGGGTGAATAAGTGAGAACAGACAGATAAACAGAAACTCACACAAACCATTATATTCCTGAAAAAAAAGATTAATCAGCCTTGTCTTTTATTTAGGTGGTCTTTCTGAAGAAGCAGAAATTCCTGGCATTCAATATGTTCTCTCTCCCTACAAACTGGATTTGGTTGCTACTCCTCTTTTCCTGAAGCCTGGGATTCCATATTCTGTCAAGGTAGGTGGGGTGGGGGATGAGGAGAGGCGGGGAGGGAGGGGATGTGGTTTTCTCCTCCTGTGGATATGGACAGGCCTGAGAAGATGCAAACCAACTTTAATGCTGAGGGCAATGTCGGAATTTAGTTAAGATAGCACAGCGGTAGTGCATTTTGCCTTGCACGCAGCCCACGCAGCCGACCGGAGTTCAATTCCTCCGCCCCTCTCAAAGACACTGGCAAGCTATCGAGAGTATTTCGCCCGCCCGGCAAAGCCTGGCAAGCTACCCATAACGTTTTCAATATGCCAAACACAGTAACAACAAGTCTCACGATGGAGACATTACCAGGCCCTCTTGAGAAAAATCAATGAACAACGGGAGGACAGTTCTACAGTGCTACAACCTGTTTAGGCATTTGGTTATCTATAAATATCACTGTATCCCTGTATCACTGTCATCCCATTGTCGTCGAATTACTCGAGCGGGTGCCAGTAACGTCTCTATTCCTCCCAGCCCAGAGATTTTAGCAGCCTCTTCTTACTCGTTTTTTTTTTCCCAACAGTTGGAGGCTCTCTCAGGGTCAGGGGAATGAGACCTGTTGTCGTTACTGGTTTTGGCAAACCAAATACATCAGGACACGGAGAGCTTGCCAGGCTCTGCTTGTGTGGGCGGGATTCTTGGTAACTTGCCAGGCTCTCCGAGATGCATATATTTATATATTTCTCTCTGTGATTTGTTGCCTACTATCTGAACCCCATCAAATATGGTGTGGTAATTATGGAAAACGGATAGGAAGTGCCTCACAGTCCCTAACGCGGCCTAGAGCATGGGAGCGGTTGGGTAGTGGAGGTCTGCTGTTGGGGCTGGGTCCCTTGGGGCAGGGAGGGCTCCGGGGTGCCACTCTGGGGCGCCCCAAGTGAAAACAGCCTGGCACGAAGTCTATAAATATAGAGATAGATAAGCACTGCATTCAATTATCTATAAATAAAACCCCAAGTACATCGTTCGAAAAACACTAAGATTTAAAATTACTTGGTGGCAGATGCTTAACAAGCATTCATCTGGAGATTCCATTCCTGGAAAACAAACTCCTTCTGCTCACCATAATTTGTTGCTTCCTGTGCATTTCCACAGAATATGTATTTCTGTGCTTATTATTCTATCTCTACATTCTCTTTGTGCATACTTAAGTCTCTTCTTGTCTCAGAGTAACTGCTCTCCATTCTTTTTGATTCTATCCCAATCTCTCTTTTCCTTTTCCTGCTCCTTCCTTCTTTTCTTTTGCTTTTCTTTTGGGTCACACTCAGCAATGCTTAGTGGGGTACTTCTGGCTCTGCATTCAGGAATCGCTCCTGGTAGTGCTTGGGGAGAACCATCTGAGATGCCTGGGTCTGGCAGTGCTCAGGGGACCATATAGGATGCTGGAAATTGAACCCGGATCAGTCACATGAAAGGCAAATGCCCTACCCTCTGTGCTATAGCTCCAGTCCCTAATATTTCTTTTAATATTTTTTCTTTTAATATTTTCTTTATCTATTTTTCATGTTTTAAAGTGATGGTATTATGGAACAAAATATATATGTATTATATACTTCATATCACATACAAAATATTAAATTCATCTCTGCGAACATTAAGAATTATTTTTTGCTTATTTTATTCTTTTTCTTGTTTAATGACACACCTGGAGTGCTGAAGGCTACTCCTAACTTGGAGTTTGCTCCTGGGAGTGGTCAGGGGACCAAGAAGTGCCAGGGATTCAGCTGAGGCTCCAGCTTAAAAAATCTCCCTCCAGCACTTTGAACTATCTCCCCCATTCTTTTCTCCTCTTTATTTTTCTTTGACATTCATTCTTTCTCTTATCCAGAAGAATCATCCCCATAAGTAATTTTAATCATCGCCATATTTTCTCCTTTATCCAGTTTTTTTGTTTGTTTGTTTGTTTTTTGGGTCACACCCGGCAATGCACAGGGGTTATTCCTGGGTCATGCACTCAGGAATTACTCCTGGTGGTGCTCGGGGGACCATATGGGATGCTGGGAATCGAACCCAGGTCAGCCGTGTGCAAAGCAAACGCCCTACCCACTGTGCTATCGCTCCAGCCCCCATCCTTTATCCAGTTTTATCTCAAGTGAAGAATGAATTATAGATGTTCAATGGCAGAAGGCCCTATTACACCTATTTGGCAGACATATAAAATAGTATTTATATTCTGTCTGCTTTGTGCACAAGAAGATCCACTCAAAATTATTTAATTAGCACTGAAAAGAACAATTTTTTAAAAATTTTTATTAGTGAGACACCATGAGGTACAGTTGTAGACTTACAAATTTTGTGCTTGGGTTTCAATTATACCATGATCAAATACCCATCTCTCCACTAGTGCCCATTTCCCACCAGCACGGATCCCAGTATCCCTCCCACTCCCCATCCCCCCATCCCACCCTGCCTCTGTGGCAGGGCATTCCCCTTTGTTCTCTCTCTCCTTTTGGGTGTTGTGGTTTGCAAAAGAGGCATTGAGTGGCAATCATGTTTGGTCTATAGTCTACTTTCAGCATTCTTCTCCCATCCTGGGAAGAACAATTTTTTTTACTGAGTCAAGCTTGAATACTTTGGTAGGGAGGGAAACATGTATTTCAGAATTGTTAATGCTTTCAAAGAAATGTTGAGCTGTGGAAACAGATTTGGATTGTTCTGATCGACAGGTGCAAGTTAAGGATTCCTTTGACAAGTTGGTAGGAGGAGTACCAGTGATCCTGAATGCACAAATGAGTAACATACATCAAGAAATGCATGATGTGGAGCCAAAGAGGAGTATAACACTTTCCAGTGATGGAGTAGCTTCATTTGTGATTAATCTCCCATCTGGAGTGACAGTGATGGATTTTAATGTGAGCTCAGTTCTTCTGTTAAATTTTCTGGAACAGCTTGTACTTTTGACTGTATGTTTTGGCTAGCATGTGGAACGGATGCTGCAGATATTATATAAAAGTCCAATGAACAATTCCGCAATTTTACACCTAAAAAGAATGTGCATGGGAGGCAAACTTCTAATCCTTTGAATGATTCTTAAAGAAGACATCAATATTTTTCATTATTATTTAATGTCAAAGAAATTATTTTCTTTGACACAGGACTATATTAGAATCTAGAAGTTACAAAATGGAAGTCAATGGTAGACTCCTCTACCCTACACACACACACACACACAAACACACACACACACACACACACCACTTTTCTCTTCTTTTAAGAGCCACAGGAATACCAAGTGTCGTTTTCCAGCTGTGTGAGCCATTGTACCTCAGAACTCAGTTAATAGTCTTTCCTCTGAGAAAAGAACATTTAAGTTCCCAATCCCAAATTAAAACTAGGTAAGCAAATAACACTTGTCAACAATAATAGCAAACATCTATTCACTCCCATCCACTTCCAGAGTGCTAAGAATTTTTTGTGGAACACATTGAATACCTATCTAATCTGCTCTATTACTACAGTGGCTTTTAAACTTTTTATGCCACTGAACCATGAAAACAGAGGCATTTTTACAAACTGCTGAGGCAAAGATTTAAAAATATTATAATAAGAATATATTATAAACAGATCACTATCACTGTCATCTCATTGTTCACCAATTTGCTCGAGCAGGAGCCAGTAACATCTCCATTGGTCCCTGTCCCGTGCTGGTGTAGCCCAGTGGCATCTGCTCGCTCCAGGAACACAAAGAGCATGAGATTTTAGCAGCCTCTCCTTACTCGTCCTTCCCAACCCTGCTGCACTGGGTGCTCTTTCAGGGTCAGGGGAATGAGGTCCATTATTGTTACTATTTTTGGCATATCAAATATGTCATGGGTAGCTTGCCAGACTCTCCCTTGTGGAAATAGCCCTAGATGATGCAGAAAACCTTTATGTTGACAGAATAACCTTGTCACTGACCCTTAGGAAATTTCTGTGCATAGGCACCAGGACTATGAACCAGCACTTTAAAACTCCTGAGAGAATATTATGTTTGCCATTTTGTGGTTGAGAAAACAGCTTCTAAGCTCTTTTGTGATTAAAGAACCTGTCCATAATTAATAAATAGGGGCAGTGCATATCCCATTTAGGGTCAAAGATGAGTCAACGATAGTCAAAGATCAATGTTACTTAAATATTATTTCTGTTTCACCCATGTTTATAAGTACTTCTGTGTGCCATGATTTCATAATGAAAATGGGCCGGCCCTCTGGGGCTAGAGAGGCAGTACAGTGGGCAATCACCTTGCCTTGTACTTGGCCAGCCCGGGTTAGATCCCCAACATCCCATATGGTCTCCCAATCACCAACTGAAGTGATTCCTGAGTGCAGGGCCAGGAGTTACTCCTGAGCACCGCCAGGCATGGTCCCAAAAGAAAACAAAACAAAATCAAAATAAATAATAGTCTTTAAAAAAAAGGAAAGTGGGCCCTGAATCTCTGTAGTGTTCACATGTAACTCCTCTCCCACACTCCTCAAGATTACTAGCCTTCCCTTACCCCCAGTTTCTGCCATTCCACCCTAAAGGAAGAAGAGTTCCCACCTTGCCTTGACATTTCAAGCAAGCTACTAATAGTTATTTCCTGAACATTTTTCTTTCTTTGCCCCACCAGACTTTCCTGCCCTCGTCCATAACTCTCTATTATCCCAATTATAATCTAGAGTTTGTTTTTATAAAGTTACTTGATGCCATAGCTGTATACACACCGGAGTAATCATGTTTAGTTTGGGGGGAGGTGGGGTGTTTTAGCATTTGATGTAACATTTACAAAGCAAAGAACTAAATTTAAGATTCAAGTTTCAAAGAAAGTGTTTCATCACAGACCAGATGTCTTTTTCTGAGAATGTCTTTTGCAGGTCAGGACTGATGACCCGTACCTTCCCGAAGGAAATCAGGCCAGTAAAGAATATCAAGCAATAGCGTATTCATCACTCAGTCAAAGCTACCTCTATATTGACTGGACTGCAAACTATAAGGCTTTGCTTGTGGGAGAAGATCTGAATGTTATTGTTACTCCCAAAAGTCCATACATTGAAAAAATAACTCACTATAATTTCTTGGTAAGTATAATAATGGCAGTTTTGCATCCAACTCTCCCCCCCACCCTACCAGAAGCATTTCCCTTTGCCAGCAAAGAAGCATTATAATGATACATTTGATTTATAAAGCATTTCAAGAACATTATCTAACTGGTTAAAAGAAAACATGCACACCTACACTATAAATCTCACTACCATTGCAAACATGTTGCTTAACTATAATATTTTTTTAATAAATTTAACTTTTTCAAAATTTTTTAGAAGAGAATAATTTCCATGACCATTCTCAGCTAGAAAAACCTGGTCTATACAGTTACTGAGCCATACAGTTACAAAAAAAAGTTTCACCAGCATCATTCAATTTGTATGCTAGGATCACTGAGTCCTTTTCTGACATTCCTTTCACCAAAGAGATCCTGATGACTTCACAGAAATGAGCCTGATAACATTCTCATAGTACTTCTTCTCTAGCTCATGGTCAGTGATCATTCCCCTACATCTCTTTCAAATACATATATTTCATTGGCATTAAAGAGGGCTCCAAATTTTGTTCTTAAAGAGTTGAGTCATACATAACTGCTCTGTTTTTACCAGGCAGCCACATCCCTACTTTATAACTTCTGTAAAAAAAGAGGTGGTAAATCAACCATGCCAGTGAGTAGTAGGGAAAAATATGTGTGAAACACTGAAGGCTTCATAGCAAATAGGTAGGAAATGGGATGAATTATTCCAATGGTGAGCCCAAACAGGAACTGATTTTTAAGACATTTTTGAGGAAGGCATGAAAATATCATTATAATATATTATTTTTGCAGTCAAAGAAATCAAGGACATGTTAGGGTTTATGTTTTGAGACCAGACCTCTCTATAACAGTAATTGAAGGGATCTTTGGGGATTCTTGGCTTCATGTGATTAGTAATTTTTAGGCCTTCTATCTGCACATTAGAACTTAACCTATGGCTTTAAAATTTAATTATTAGAGGTCAGGGAAATAGTACAGGGGGTTAGGTGCTTGCCTTGCATGCAGGCTACCCCAGTTCTGTCCCTGACTCTGCTAATAGTCCCCCAAGAACTGTCAGGAGTGATCCCTGAGTCGAGAAACAGAAATCACCCCTGATTTCTGCCAGATATGGCCCCCAAAGTAAAACCAAACAAAGAAAATCTTTAAAAAGATGCACTAAACCTACTCATCCTTTCTTTTAAATGTTAAAACAGAGAAGATTTTAGTGACTATGTAATGTCTTTAAACAGATAAACATTCTTATTTTAATCTCTAATTTCTGAATTATGTGATTTTTGAACTAAAACACAGTTAGTTCTTTAACTTCAATCTCTGCAGCTACACCAGGAGCCTAATATCCCTATTCAACATTTTGAGAAATAAAAGGATTAGCAATGTGAGAAATACATGGGCTAAGTTAACATAAAGCTTTCTTGCCCCAGAATAGATCCATAGATGTTAAATTTATTTTTCTTTTCTTCTCTCTCTCTTCTCATGAAGTTTTTTTTCCCTTTGATTTTTATTGAATCACTGAGCTATACAGTTACAAAGCTGTTTGTGATTGAGTTTCAGTCATACAATATTCCAATAGTTGTCCCTTCACAAGTGTACATTTCCCACCACCAATGACCCCAGTTTCCTTCCTACCACCGCTGCCCCCAGTCAACTTCATTTTTCTTTTTCTTTTACTTTCTTTTATTTATTTTTTGCTTTTGTTATAGTTTTTTGGGGTCACACCTGGCAATGCTCAGAGGTACTCCTGCCTCTGCACTCAGGAATTACTCCTGGCACTGCTCGGGAGACCATAAGGAATGCCCAGGTTCAAACCCCATTGACCGCATGCAAGGCAAATGCCCTCCCTGCTGGACTATCGCTCAGGCCCCATCCACTTTATTTTTCTACAACAAAATTTCTTCTTCTATTCCGAGTAAACCCTAATTCAAAGGTTTTGTTTCTATAATTATTGTTGCTGGCACTCTTTATTTTCAGGTTCTATCCAAAGGAAAAATTATTAACTTTGGTACAAGGAAGAAACTCCCAGATTCAACTTTTCAACATGTGAACATCCCAGTGACACAGAACATGGTTCCCTCAGCCCGACTCCTGGTCTATTACATTGTCACAGGAGAGCAGACGGCTGAATTAGTATCCGACTCCGTTTGGTTAAATATTGAAGAAAAGTGTGGTAACAAGCTCCAAGTAAGCCACAAGTGTTACAACTCACATTGGAATTTCCTTCTTATTTCTGTAGTGGCAGCTACTTGTGAACTTTTGTCTCCTACAAGTACCCTTATCTTTGTTAAATGATCTTTTAGGTTCAAGTGTCACCAAGTGCGGAAACATATTCTCCAGGTCATCGCTTTTCTCTGAATTTGGTAACTGAGTCAAGTTCCTGGGTTGCTTTATCAGCAGTAGATAGTGCCATTTATGGAATCCAAAGGAAAACCAAGAAGCCCATGGAAAAAGTTAAGTAGTATATGACCTTGGTTACTGGTGTGCAGTGCAGTTCTAGGATGTGTTGCATATGATCCGGTCACCAGAGAGGATTTTAGAGGAAGTGTTAAAGGAACAGTAGGTGTGATTTGCTGTGATCTGTTCCCAACAGTGCTCCATAAAGAGGGGAAACCATCATGTTAGGTTCAAAAGCAAAGGTCTATCCTTCTTCATGTTTCCAAGTGCAGTGCAAAGCACTTTTCAAACATATGAACATGAGAGTAGTTACTCCATACAACATCACTTGGGAAGGTCTGGAAACTGGGGAGTTGAGATATTTATAGTAGAAGCAATAGAAAAATTTGTTTAGGCAACTTCTAGTGGGATTTTTTGGTGTGGTTTTGTGGTTTCATTCTGTTGAAATCTGTAGTGCAGGGATTAGAGCGATAGCTTGGAGGGCCCTAAATTCCATCCTAGGTACCACATGGCACCCACAACCCCAGCACTTCAAGATTTAGTCCTGATTACACCCAGCAGCACTCAAGCCTGCCACTGAATCATCTGGTCCATTCAGGGGACTGAGTATTGTCATTAGTGGCACCTCAGGGCCCCTGAGCACTGCTTGTAAGGCCCTCTCAAAAGAAATAATCTGAGGTGCAGAAGAATTTGAACAATAATTAAATTCCCTGAAGTTCTCATTTACCTTTCCTATGTTCTGCTATTTGTAAGTTTAATTTCTTTGAATAAAATAACAAAATTAACTATATAGTTAATAGCAAGTATAAAGAAAGCATTTGTGGTCAAATTAAAGGCGAAATAACCCCCTCCCCCAAATAATTTTTGTCCACTTGAAATTGTGAACCCTCTTCCCTCAAACACAAGATATTATACTTTTCATTGTCTTCCACTTAAAAATTTAATTCACTCATCCATGCATTCATTTATTGTTTTATTTGAATGCTATATTGGTCATCACTTGTACTTGAAGTACAGAACACAATGTGCCAATCAATTTCTAAACAATTTCCTCATCAAAGTTTAAGATTGAGTTCTTGACAAAATTTTGAAGAGTCATATTATTGTAAATAGAAAGGGTCAAGCTAAAAAGGAATGAAGCTGGGAAATGTGGTCTTTAACCACTTGATAGATAAGTGGCTTGTGTATGTCAAAGGGTGTTCCAATCAGGTGACAGCTCCAGTTTCTGGTTCCTTGGAAGTGATTCATACATCTTGGATTGCTCAACGGTTTGCCTTTCCGGACAGGTATTTCAAGAGTTTGACAGGAGTGACCTGGGTTGTGGAGCAGGTGGTGGTCGCAACAATGCAGATGTTTTCCATCTGGCAGGACTCACTTTTATCACCAATGCAAATGCAGATAACATCCACGAAAATGGTAACATTCTCAGCATTTTCAGTGCATTTTTCAAATTGGTTGCTCAAGTTTATAGTGATCATGTGCTTCTCAGACTTTGTTTTTTAAACTCTTCTCCAGAATATTTTCTAAACCAACACTTATAATGGACTATGGTTGAAATTATTGTTTGACTTTTAGATAAATGACATTCTTTAATGCTGTTTCCAAAGCCTTCATGAAGGATCTTTCCCCCTATCTCTCCAGCTATCTTATCCTGTGCTACCTTATCTTGTCTTTTAACTGTACAGTATAATTTGTAGGTGGAACTATGCTATTTTGTACCTTTGGGACTTTCTTTATCAAGACTGCTTTCCTTTTTAGTAACCTAAACAGGTAGTGTAACTGATGTCCTCTACAAATCTTCTTCCCCATACAAAATTAATCATTGTCTTCTTTAACAGGGGAAGAGTGTAAGGAATTAGAAATACTTATAAGAAATACAATAGTACATCATTGCACATTCTTACAAACTTGTTTAAACATCTTGTCCCAATATTTACACCGAGATTTTATTTATTTTATTTTTTTGAAGCATAATAGTTTTTATTGAAATTTATTTAGAAAGAGGTGAGGGGAGAGGGAGGGCAAAAGAAGTGTGTATTAAAGAGAGAACACAGGCTTCTCCAGAATGGAAATAATCAAGCGAAAAACAGAGACAAGCAAGTAAGATGTGTTTACGAGGGAGAACACAGGCTTGACGAGCAAGCCTACAACTGGGCTTTTAAATGCAAGGACCACAAGTAAATGATCTTTTTTCTATTGTTTTAAAATTGTTTACAACATCCTTGATGATATTATTTTGGATAACGTATCACAAAGAACAAGCAATAAAAATAATATGTGCAACAAAAACTTTTTCTTAAAATTCTTAGATATATCTCTGCAATAAGTGGATTTAAAAGGTGGCAAGATTTGAATAAAAATGCACATCAAGCATGTCAAGGGATATGGCCCTAGGTCATGAGCTTCTGTAAGGTAAATCATATTAGGATATATAATGCAAGATGCTTAGTGGAAAGCAGACTTGAAAGTGTTTTGGTCATGGTCATGGTCCTCCCACTGTTCATCAATTTGCTCGAATGGGCCCAGTAACGTCTCCATTGTGAGACTTGTTACTGTATTTGGCATATTGAATACATCACGGGTAGCTTGCCAGGCTTTGCCATGCAGGCGACATATGCTCGGTAGCTTGCCAGGCTCTCTGAGGGGGGCGGAGGAATCGAACCCTGCTCAGCCAGGCTGGCTACGCGCAAGGCAAACACCCTACCACTGTGCTAGCACTCCAGCCCTGGCAGTGTTTTAAACACCTTAATATTTTCATGGACTTTTGGAGGCTGGAGCGACAGCACAGCAGGTAGGATGTTTGCCTTGCACATGGCCGACCCAGGTTCGATTCCCAGCATCCTATATGGTCCCCTGAGTACCGCCAGGAGTGATTCCTGAGTGCAGAGCTAGGAGTAACCCCTGAGCATCGCCGGGTGTGACCCAAAACACAAAAATTAAATAAATAAATATTTTCATGGACTTTACAGCGGGTAGGGCGTTCGCCTTACAAGTGGCCAACATGACCGACCCGAGTTCGATTCCTCCGCCCCTCTCGGAGAGCCCGGCAAGCTACCGAGAGTATTTATATGCCAGACACAGTAACAACAAAGTCTCCAATGGAGACGTTACTGGGCCCGCTCGAGCAAATCAACGATCAACAGGAAGGCCTTTGCCTTTACCTTTACCTTTTATTATTTAATCATGATTGGTTTACAATATATACAAAGCATCAGGGTTAGTTTATATATGTGGAACACATAATGCACCCATTACCAAAAACCCAGTACCATCCCACCACAAGTGATAGATTTCTCCATTCCGCAATTTACTGAGTCCAATAGTTACTTTTTCTGTAAGTATATTTACTTTATTTATTTATATTTGACATATGCATAAAACTATTGCATATTTGTTTTTAATTTCTTTTCTTTGCAGAGTCATTTCAAATTCCAGCCAATTTGTCCTAAATTTTATAGAGTCTCATCTTTTTTGATGAGCGATAGCACAGCGGGTAGGGCGTCTGCCTTGCACGCAGCCAACATGGCCGACCCGAGTTCTATTCCTCCGCCCCTCTCGGAGAGCCCGGCAAGCTACCGAGAGTATTCGATATGCCAGACACAGTAACAACAAAGTCTCCAATGGAGACGTTACTGGGCCCGCTCGAGCAAATCGATGATCAACGGGAGGGCCTTTACTTTACTTTTACTTTACATCTTTTTTGAATGGCGGAGAAGATTTCATTGAATGTACAGCACATCTTTATGCACTCACTGTCTATGAGAATTTAGCTTTATTTAGTGTTTTGACTAGTGTAAATAATGCTGCTATGCACTTCAGATTAGTGTTTTCATATTCTTCAGATCTATGCCTAGGAGTTGTAATGCTGGGTCATATGGAATTTCCATTTTCATTTTTAAGGAATCTTCATAACACTTACAATAGTCTATACCAATTTACATTCCTAACACAATACCAGAGTTCTTCTTTCCTGCATATTCTTGTTAGCATTTGTTATTTCCAATATTTTTTGGCCATTCTCATAGGTATGAGGTGATATCTCATTGTGATTTTTTATTTGCACTTCCACATTAATAAGTATATTTTCACGTGTTTCAGATATTTTTGAAGAAGTATTTATGTCTTTGACCATCTTTTTATTGAGCCACTTGTTTTTTTGGTTAAAGTTGTATGAATTATACATGCCTTCTTTATTATCAACCGTTTGGTAGATTATAACCTTTTCCAAATATCTTTTCCACTTTGGTGGAATGATTTTTGTTTACATGATAGCTTCTTTCTTTGTGTGAAAGTTCATTAATATAGTGTAGTCCCATTACTATTTTCTAATTCCTCTTGCTACTAGAATCTCCAGATAAATATCTAATATTGAATCCTGGAGTGTATCTTTCAGGTTTCTTCTATGTACTTTACCCATTAAGATCTAATTTTCAAGTGTTTCATACATTTTAAAATAATTGTTGCCTCTGGTACTAAAATTCATCTAGTTTTATTTTTTTGCATGTGGCATTCCATATTTTCCAGCACCATTTGTTGGAGAGTCATTTATTTCTCCAATATGTGCTGTTGTCTCCTTCGTCATTTATTAGATGTTCATATGTGTTAATTTGTTTCTGGGCACTCTATCCTTCTATTTCATTGGTCTGTGTGACTGTATTTGTTCCAATACTGTGCTTTTTTGATTACTGCTGCTTTGTAGTATAGTTTAAAAACAGGAATCATGATGTTGCCCTTTTTTTCTTCTTTCCTTTCAGGATTTTTTTTTTTGGCTATTTGGGGTTTTTCACGTTTCCATTAAAAATTTTAGGCTTGTTGGTTGAAAGATACTTATGATATTTTATGAGGGAAACATACGTTGTGGTGGTTGAGATTGAAATAAGATTTCTATTTTTGTCTAAACATGCCAAGATTCTGTTGAAGATTTTTGTCACTGTGTTCGTCAGAGATATCAGTCTGTCATTTTCTTTTCTGTGAGTTATCCTTTATAGCTTAGGAATTAGAGTGATATTGGCCTCATCAAATGTATTTGGGAGTATTCCTCACCACTGTTCTGATTTTTTTTGAGAGTTTGAGAAGATAATATTCTTTGAAAGCTTTGAATTCACTTGTGGAGCCATTTACTCCCAGTCTTGTACTTTTAGGGAGACTTTTGATTGCTATTTTGATTTTAATACTAGTTATTGGTCTTTTCAATCTATATTTATTCCTGATTTGGTAAGGGGAAGTTGTTTGATTGTCCAGTTCTTCTAGATTATGCAATTTGTGTATGGGTGATTATAGTAGTCTTATATTCACAGAACATTTATTTTTGATATTTTAATCTTTGTCTTTATATTTTCCTTTTTTTAAACAGATGAACCTTGTAAAGAAATTCTCAGGCCAAGAAGAACTCTGGATGAGAAAATAAAAGAAGAAGGTATTCTGAAAAGTTTCCTGTGGTGTAAAGTGTTTGGCCAATATTTTTAAAAATCAGGAGAAAATTAAACATTCATTTCCCCTAACTGAAAGATAAGGATAAAAGAGAAAGATATGCGCAGATATCTAACTTGTCTTTCTAAGAGAGATTAATCCAAATAAATCTAGAGTTTATTTTCTATAACCTTCATCCTGGTGAAATAAATCTTTTTTTTTACTTAAAATCTAAAATATACACTGTAATTTGTCCCAAGATTTTTCTTTTACAAACGTCATCAAACAATTTATGTTGTTGGGTTTTGTCTTGGGGGCTGTTTTAGTTTTTGCTTTTGTTTCTTCGGCTTTTGGAGTCACACCTAAAGATGTTCAGGAGTTACTCCTAGCTCTGCACCCAGGAATTACTCCTGGCAGTGCTTGGGGGACCGTATGGAATGCTGGAGATTGAACCCAGGTGGGGCACCCGCAAGGTAAACGCCCTACCCGCTGTACTATCACTCCGGCACCATGTCAAACATAGCCTTTCATTTTATTCTGACAAAATTATTTGATTAACTTTGAGGTATACCTAAAATTTTTTTATATAAAAAGAAGTTGTATTATTACTTAGAAAATAAGTCTAATAGGAATTTTTTCATTAAAGAATGCTAAATTTATTATATGGTAATTAAAAATCATCTTCCATTATAAAACAATTGAGAGGAAAATAAAATATTTATTGTAAATAATCTAAATACATCTAAAGGGTGTTTTAGATAATTACTTAAATGGAGATCTGATTGTTGCTGATGTTACAATAAACCATTAAACCAGGAACCAGGGAGTTGAATTCTGTTAGTACCCATAACTACTGCAATATAATAATTTCTTTAGTTTGCGTGTGAGTTATTTAATTTCTAAATTTTGCTCTAAGTGCTAATAACATGAAGAGAGAAATATTGATTAAGCACTTGTCAAGAGGAAATGTGCCACATTAGTGAAAATCTACAAACCATAATATGCAAGAAATGTTTGAAAACATAAGATATCTTATGAAGACATAAGATATTAACTGAAAAAATTAATACTTTAATAATACTAGTTTCTTCCAACATTTGAATGCTTCTCATGCAGTTAACTCTTTTGTTCAAAGTGTACTGAAATAAAGTTGACAGTTTTAAAAGTTGGTATTTGGATTAATTGTAGAAAGCCTTTTTAATTAATATGTATTACAGTGAACTGAGACTATACTTTACCTATTCATGAACTAATTTTAAAAGGATACTATTGGCATCTATCCTCAAAATACAAAAACATTAATTTAGGAGAATATATATGAGAATGTCCAACTACAAATGAACAGATCAAGACGTTATGGTATTTATACACAATGAAATACTATACAATGCCAAGAAATAACAAAAATCATACAATTTACCACAACATAGATGGAACTCGTGCTGACTGAAGTCAGTCAGCAGGAAAGGGACAGACATAGACTAGTTAGTCTCCCTGTGGGACTTAATAGGTGAGACTTAAAGAAACTCATCAAGTTAGTAACAAAGGGTGACAGGCTGAAACACAACAGAAAAACTGATCCACACAACTGAATTTGGGGGAGAGTATTTGAAAAGAAGGGGACTAGGGTCCAGAGGGAAGTGGTTATATGGGTGATGGATGTATTGCAATTATGTGCCCAGAAAACCATCATTATTAGTATTGTGAATCACAGAATCATAATCAAATTAAAAATAAAAGAAGCAAAGGCTTGCTGGTGAGACACTAGCCATGGGAAGGGGGTAACATTTAAGAGAAACCAAGCGTTCCTAGAGATCCTTTTTAAACCTTAGATATCAACGCTCAATACATAGTTAATGTATTAACTGGGCTGGACCGATAGCACAGCGGGTAGGGTGTTTGCCTTGCACGCGGCCGACAGGGCCGATGCGAGCTCAATTCCTCCACCCCTCTTGGAAAGCCTGGCAAGCTACCAAGAGTATCTCACCCGCTTGGCAAAGCCTGGCGAGCTATTCGTGATGTATTTTATATGCCAAACACAATAACAAGTCTCACAATGCTACAGCGCAAGCAAATCGATGAACAACGGGAGGACAGTGACAGTGACATAGTTAATGAGATTTGTATTATTACTATTTCAGCTGCTAAATACTTACACGAGAAGGTGAAGAAATGTTGTTATGATGGAGCTATTTATAATGATGATGAAAGCTGTGAGAAGCGGGCTTCTCGGATTAAGCTTGGCCACAAGTGCGTCACGGCTTTTAGTGCATGCTGTAAGATTGCGCTCCAACATCGTGCCACAGCATCTCACAGAATTCTTCAACTGGGAAGACAGCGTAAGTTTGGCATTTTCTATGCAAATTCTGCCCGGTGTGTATAATTTTGTATCTTTTATGCTGCGAAGGGAGCCAGTATTGGGGCCAGAGCGATTATACAGCAGGCTAGGGCATTCGCCTTGCTTGCGGTCGACTCAGGTTCGATCCTCAGCATCCCAAATGGTACCCCAAGCACCACCAGGAGTAATTCCTGAGTGCAGAGCCAGGAGTAACCCCTGAGCATCACTGAGTGTGACCCAAAAAGCCAAAAAAAATGAAGTATTTATGATATATTTAAAATAAGGTAGAATAGATGACACTAATGGGCTTTAGCCCATTTTCTAAATAATGGTAGCCAGGGGTCTAGAAGATGACTCAGTGACTAAAATGACCTGCCATACAAGCCTAAAGTAATGAGTTCAATCCCTGGTTCCACCTACATGCATTGCACAAGGTCCAAGCAGCTTTGGATACAGGACTCCTAGTGCCACCAATGGAGTGAGTGATCTCTAGTGTATGCTAGTACTTCAGCTTCAAAAAAATGTGCAATCCCTTGCAAGTACCACAACCGAAAATGTGTGAGCACTGCAGCCAGGAGCACCTTCCCCTCAGCAAGCTTGTGTGTGAACACCACAATGACCCCCAGTGAGCACAACCAGAAAACACACAATCACCAATCACCACAACTGAGCACAAAGTCATAAAGAGCACCATAACCAGATGGTGAGCACCACAATCAAGTGTGTTTGAGGCCCTCCAGCACCCAGCCTCAGCCAGTTATCCCAGTCCCCACCAGTCACCGCAACAACAAAAGCAGCAATGGGAAGGGAATTGGACAATAATCAGTCATTGGGGAAGGGCTAATAGCACAGGTGGTAGAGCACAAATCCAGAGTCTCGTACACACATGACATGTGTTTGGACTAGAACTTGTCTCCCCAGTATTGCATGTCCCCAAACACCATGGAGTGTGATCCCTAAAATAGATCAACAATCCTTTTTACTATCTAAAGAGGTATGTGTCATACAAAGAAGAATACACAACTCTGGAGTCAAAATAGAGCAAGTGGAAAATCAATTCATTACCTGAAGTTGAATGATTATTGATCCACTCTAATCCTCAGACTTTTTTTTAAGAAGTTTTATTGGCTCACTGTGAGATGCAGTTACAAACTTATATGATTGCCTTTCAGTCAAATAATGCTCGATCACCCATCCCTCCACCAGTGCACATTTTCCATTACCATTGTTACCAGTGTCCCACCCACCACCCCCACCTCACCCCACTCCCTGCCTCTGTGATAGGTACAATCCTTCTTACTCTCTCTCTAATTTTGGGCATTATGATTTGAAATACATATACTAAGAGGTCATTGTGTTTGGTCCTTGGCTCAGACTTATTTTAAAGTAAAGAGGTGGACCAATGAACTCGCTAGCTTGCCTTCGAATTCTAAAATTCTATGGTCCCATAAAATACAGCTCTTCAAAAGTCATTTATGCATGTATTTATCAAGTATAGAAAAGTATTTCTAAATTTAACTTCAGATTAAGCATAATTAGATAAAAATAGAAATCTTATTTCAATTTCAACCACCCCAACGTATGTTTTCAGAACTTACAGAACTCTTATTAACATGTTTTCAGAACTTTCAAGACTTTCATTTCATGCATATGTAATATTAAAACAAGAAGTAGATAGTTATGAGAAAAAAATATAATAACGGCTCCTGATTAACCACCTGTTTACTTACCAAGAGCCATTTAAATTAGTTTTTTTTCTCTGCAAGTATAATTTTCGTGGATATTTACCAAAATTGTGTTATTAAACATATTTGGTTTGTTTTCATAGTTTTGCTGATTCCAAAGTATCCCTTTGAGCAACTTAGTAATCTGTTTTTATTGGCCACTTTTTCGAGCAATGTTTTCGTCATCTGGTTTGGCATCAGTTGCATGGAACTTGGGGTCTGCAGTTCCCCTCTCTGGACTCTACTCCTTATCCCAAAGACCTCAGCTTCCCAGACTCCCAGCTGTATAACTTCTCTCCCTGCCCTCTAAGATGCCTCCAAAGAAGCAAACCAGTACAATGTTAGGGTTCATTTCATGCCTCACTTCTCTCAAGGGTCACAGTCCTGGATCACTTAGGTACTAATGTAGAAAAACTGTTGTTACATAAATTTTTAATTTACTTTTTGGGATACTCAGGGGTTACTTCTGGCTCTGCACTCAGGAATTACTTCTGGTGGTGCCTCGGGGGGATGTATATGTCTATGGGATGGCGGGAATTGAATGGGCTCAGCCGCATGCAAGGCAAACCCACTGTGCTATCACTCTGGCCCCTGTTACATAAATTTTAATTGGTATTTTTAGGCTGAAGACTAACTCCAGTCCTTATTAGTACATCTTAGATGGGGAGCAATGTTCTGTTTGATTTTATTAAAATTAATGACCAATTTTGGAAATATGCATATGGGAAATCATCATGAACAATATTGTAAATATGCACCTTAATAAATGTTTTAAGTTAAAAATCAAATTAATACACCCAAGCATCACTAGCTGTTGTCCCAGAGACCTCCAAGAGGCACTAGTTATGGCCCTTAAGGACCCTCACCTCCAGGACTATTGATCCCCAGCAGTCTCAAGCCCTGGCATTGAACTGCCTGCCCAACTGACACGGAGTGGTTGCGAGTGTCCCCCAGGCTCCCTAACTACCCACTTGAGAGGCTCAGAAAAAAATTTTTAGATGTTGGGCCACACTCAGTAGTGCTCAGGGACTCCTGGCAGGCTCACGGGACCATATGGGATATTGGGGACTGAACCTGGGCTGACCACATTCAAAACAAGGGCCCTAGGAGCTGTGCTATCTCTTCAGCTCCCAGAAAAAAAAAATTAATTGAAATACATATAAATAGAGTTGAGTTAGGGTAGAAAATAACACAAAACCTCCTTATTTTATCATCTAAACATAATTTTTATAATTATAAACATGCAAATATCTTTCTAGATAATGTTATCTATAATCTCAAGAACACGAAACATTAAGCAAACATTAAAAAAACAAATCAGAGATTATTTTTATGCTTTGTTTTTTCAATGTTATTCATGCAGAAATCCTTTAGACCCTTAGAGTTCTATTATGAAATCACTAAACTATTTTCTGTTCACTTCATTGACCTTTCAGAAAATTCTTAAGTTGCAAATTAAGCTCCATATTTTTAAGTGGCTAAAAGTAGAATCTATATTATTTTTTCCATAATTGAATATGCTTTTTTCCCCAAGACATAAAGGCCATGTTATCAGTAACCAAGCCAGAAATAAGGAGTTATTTTCCGGAAAGCTGGTTATGGGAAGTTCATCACATCTTCCAAAGGTATTATACTTCTTTGATATTTCTCTGAAAAAAATGTGGGAAAATATAACTACTCTGGCCAAAATTCTGAAAACTACCCATTCTCCAGTAGTTTATTTAAGAGTTAATATGATACCACCAATTGGTCAAATTTAATTCTAGTTAGCGTTACATTTTTAATGTGTGTTTCGTTGTAATAATTGGTCCCAGATCAGGATTACCTTTTGGAGGAGTATCGTATTACATTTACTATCACTCAACTTCAGTAATAGGTTGAGTACAACTGTGTGCCTTGCATTAAAGCCGTGGTTTCTATCCTGTAATTTCTGTATTATAAAACAAACCTAGAAGAAGGAAGAGGTAGAGAGAAGAAGGAGCAGGGTGGAAAGTGAATGAGGAAAGGAAGAGGAAGAAGAAGAAGAGGAGAGGAGGAGAAGGAGGATGAGGAGGAGAAAGAGGAGAAGGAGGAGGAGGAGGAGGAGGAGGAGGAGGAGGAGGAGGAGGAGGGTTAGGAGACAGTAAAAGAGGGGGAGAAAAGTGGAGAATAGGAAGAGGAGAAGGAGGACAAAAAAAGAGTTTTATTTTCTTATTCAACACATACTTATGAAATTGCCACTCTATACTAGGCACTAAATGCAATAATTAATAGTTCCAAGGTCTCAAAGCACTGACTCTCCAAAAGCAGTCAAGCAGATACTGGCAATAATCTTCTATGGCCTCTTCATTCCTACTCTGTTCCCTTTTAATTCTTTCTCCGCAATATTAGCATTTCAGCTGCCATTACTCCCTAGTTAGCACTGCTTGTAGGTATTCCTTCCACTGTCTCTTACTGTCTCTAATGATGGGATCAATTACCCTGGCCAATTTACCTTGCTTCGAGTCTATCCTAGTAGTACGATGCCATTTTTATCTGTCTTTTACAGTAAAATGCAACTACTTCTAAGACAATAACTCAGTTCAGATTTCTGTTTTGTAGTCTCAACCTGGTATAGGATCTGGTATAGAGTTCAGGTATAGAGGCATTAAAATTAATGTGTTAAGTCAGTGTATCACTTCACTTAATCACTTAATCCCCGTTATTCATCGATTTATTCGAGCGGGTGCCAGTAACGTCTCCATTCATCCCGGTTGCGTGCTAGCGTAGCCCAATGGTATCTGTTCATTTTAGGAACATGTAGAGCCTCAAACCGATCATTTAGGGTCTTGACGAAGAAGTCTGACCATCTTATAGGTGGGCGTCCACGTGATCTTTTGATGTCTCGTGGAATCCAATCAGTAATGGCTCTAGTCCAGCGGTTGTCTGTAAACCTCATTACATGTCCAGCCCATCTGATTTTTGATGTCTTGGCAAATGAGACAGCGTCCCTGATTCTTGAGCGTTGACGAAGATCAGAACTCCGGATTCTATCTCTCATTTGAGTGAATCGTGATATTCCAAGCATAGTTCTTTCGATTCCTCTTTGAGAGACCCGAATAGTGTTCTCATCCTGTTTTCGTAGGGTCCAGGTCTCTGAGGCATATGTTAATGCAGGAAGAATAGTGGAATCAAAGAGATGTGCTCGTAGCTGGAGGTTCTTTGTCCTTTTAGTTATTTCTTCAATGCTCTTGAAGGCATTCCAAGCCGCTCTCTTCCTCCTGCGTAACTCAGGTGCCAGGTCATTCATCATGTTGATTTCTCGACCTAAGTATATATAACTGTTGCATTCGGAGATGGTGGTTCCGTTGAGAGCGAATGGAGCGTCAGGAACAAGGCTGTTTCTCATAAACATTGTCTTCGTAAGATTCAGCTGTAGTCCGACCTTTCCACACTCACGGTCAAAGTCCGCAAGCATTTGTGCCGCTTGGCTGATGTTTGGTGTTATTAGAACGATGTCATCAGCAAAGCGGAGGTGGTGTAGTTGCCGACCATCTATCTTCACTCCCATGTTTTCCCATTCTAGTCGTCGCATGATGTTCTCGAGGGTGGCACTGAAGAGTTTTGGTGAAATGGTATCACCCTGCCGAACCCCTCTCTTGATATGGATGATTACTTCTTTGTAGAATGGTGAGATCTTGGTAGTGAATCCGCAATAGAGCTCACGAAGGATCCTGATGTATTGAGTTTGTACGCCCTGATTGGCTAGGGCTTCCATGACCGCTTCCGTCTCAACAGAATCAAAGGCCTTCTTTAAATCAATGAACGTTAGACAGAGCGGCATCTTGAACTCCCGAGATACCTCAATGAGCTTGGTTATTGTGTGGATATGGTCAATGGTACTGAATCCTTTTCGGAATCCAGCTTGTTCACATGGTTGTCCTTCATCTAGTGTTCTGCTAATCCTATTCAGGATGACTCGAGTGAATAGTTTGTAGATGACAGACAATAGGCAGATTGGGCGATAGTTGCCAATGTCGTGGATGTCTCCTTTCTTGTATAGTAGTGCAGTCTTGCTGGTTTTCCATTGGGATGGAACCTTGCATTCAGACAGGTAGCGTGTGAAGAGTCGAGCTAATGTATTGATGAGTACTGATGGTAAGTTCTTCAGGTGTTCAGGTCTGATCTTGTCTGGGCCAGGTGCTGTGTATATGTGTATATATACAGTGTATACCATCTCTAAATATTTTATAGAAACTATCCATAATAATGCTGGAGGAACATTTGGTCACTTTTTGGCCCAGTAAGCACTGGTACTATCATGTAGTACTTGGGGGGCTGGAGCAATAGTTAGCGGGGAGGGCATTTGCCTTGCATGCAGCCTGCCCAGAGTTTGGTCCCTGGCATCTCATGTGGTCCCCCAAGTACCTCCAGGAGTGATTTCTGACCGGGTGTGACCCAAAAAGAAAAAAAAGACCATGTAGTACTGGGATAAGAGAATTAGCACTAGGGATTGAGCAAAGGACCTTGAACATACTAGACAAGCACTCTACAATTTGAGCTACCTCTCTGGCCCCACCTCTAAAATTTTTAAAGCTTTGTTGGTACAGTTACTACAGTTAGTTATAATTTATTTAACAATTTCTCCCATTAGACTATAGAATCTTGGGAGCCTATGTGCTACAGATTCAGAACTTAGCACTATGCCTAATACTAAGCTTTTGGACAACAACTGCTTGTGAATACAATAGTAAACATACAAGCTTGACCTTAATATTTTAACTATGTCAACTTTGTTATGAAAAGAGCTAAGATTTATTAACTAATTTCCCATATTATAGAACACACTAGACAATGAATAAATTCTTTATTGTTTTATATACACCTTGAATTTGTAATTTTTCTTCAATGACATCACTCTGAATTTGAACTAGGTGACATATATAAAAGCATGAAACAAGTAGGAAAATGACTGAGTATATTTTCCTTGTCTGATTTTTTCCTTAATCCACGGTATGATTTTGTTGTATGATTTTATCCCCTTTTTTCTAAAGTAGTTTGAAACAAAAATTCTCCTAATACTGTCAAATCAGTTTAATCAACATTCCACTGTTGTTTAACGACTGTCAACATTTTAACTTCCAGAAAGCAGCTGCCTTTTGTGTTACCTGATTCTCTGACTACTTGGGAAATTAGAGGTATCGGCATTTCAGATCAGGGTAAGCAAGCTTAAATTATATCTCACTTGAAGAGCAATTTGAATAGCAAAATATGGTTTTTGTGGTTATCTATTTAGTTTACCTAGGACTAAAACTATGTCATTTTTAAATATTTTTTTTAATGTGTTACCAAAAAGTACACATCTTTTATGGTAGGAATTTCTTGTTTTGTTCGCTATCATTTGTAAATTGCTGACATCAAGTTTCTACTTTCCCTGGATTTCTTTGTGTGTCTAGAAACTAGTGTAGAGTTGAAACTAATATGTGACTTTTCTCTAGGACTGGCGTGCTTTTACAGTGATTTAGTGCAGATACTTTATAAATAGTTCTAGGATTGCTATGACTTGTTATTTTTAGTGTTTTATAAAATATTGATTCCCACAATAAAAATGTTTATGCCCTTTGAGTGAAGCCAATAGTGACTATTTAAATATATTTGCTGGTTTGATTGTAAAAAAAATTCCTATCTCTTAAAGAGAATCAACCACTTATAAGATAAAATTAAGTTATCTATCAGTATAAAGTTGAATGAGTAGAAAGTTCAAAATTAAAGTGTTGTAACAGAGTGAAACATGATCTAACATTCTTATTTCATTGAAGTAAAGCAAATGCGAGACATTTTATTAGCACTGATAAAACACTGGATGAATTCCCTACTATACTACTATTTTCCCTTCACTTTGGGTTAAAGGTTTATGTGTTGCTGATACTCTCAAGGTAAAGGTATTCAAAGAAATATTCCTGGAAATGCATTTGCCATATTCTGTTGTCCGAGGAGAACAGATCCAATTAAAAGGAACTGTTTACAACTATGGGATAACTGGGATACAGGTAAGTAGGTATTTATTATTTATTTGAATAAATAGAAAAAGGAAAGGATCTCTCATTTCTGAGAATTCAATAGAAATTATCACATATACAAGATAAAATTTCAACTCAATTCAATAATATGAATCAAGCACTTATACTGACATTTACTAGCTATGCTGCTTAAAAGTTAGGAGACGAAGAAAGAATTAAGACAAATATCCATGCAACTCAAATTTAACATGATGCTGCCATATAACCCCATGGCTCAAACTTGGATGTGACTTAATAAACACAAATTTCAGAACCAGCATCAATGTGTAAAAGACTATAAGACCATGAGATAAACTCTGTACCGAGAGGTTTTAAAAAGATAAGTTAATGTTGTATTTCATAAAAAGATGAGTTTATACTTCATTCACTTACCAATCTGGACATCAATTTCCTTGATCTACCTGCCTTTTAACAACACATTTCTTCCTTCATTTTAGTCATTTGTATTCATCTTCACTTTGTAGATTAGATAGTATACTTGAAACTTTGATTTCAAACATCCCACCAACTAACCACTCTTTCCTATATTTTCAACCATTAGCCTTAACTCTAGCTCTGTAACATCGGGAAACCTCCACCCATTGGCTCCACCATTTTATATTTTATTATCTATAAACCCTCTGCTCCCACTAATGTGTTTATTTCATTCATTGTTCCAGTTGGAATTTATGTATTATCAGTATACTTGTACTAATTATAACCATGTCAACTCCCATGAAAAACTCCAACCATGGTCAGATCTATCATTTGTCTTCCTTTTTGCCAGTTGATATTTATACTACAGGGTTACTGATTTCATTTGAAAGTCATAATCACAAAATATTTTGTATAGGAAGTCAACTCCATTCAAAAATTGTGGTTATCGGTTGTTTCTTGGGTGTTTATGTGTTTTACCACAACCAGCAGTGCTCAGGGGTTATTCTCAAATAATTACTTATAATAATATTCTTGATTACTCTGCTCACAGAAATCACCTCTGGTGGGGTTTGAGGGACCATATGGGGTATCAAGGATCAAATTTGGGTTGGCGTTGTGCAAGGCAAGTTCCCTATCCTCTATACTAGCTGTCCAGCCCCCAAATCTGCTTTTTATCAATTTATTTTGGGAGTTTTGTTTGTTTGTTTGATTTTTAGGTCACATTCAGTGCTTCTCAGGAGTTACTCCTGGCTCTATGCTCAGGAATTGATCCTGGCAGTGCTTAAGGAGCCCTATGGGAGGCTGAGGATTGAACCTGGGTGGACCACATGTGAGACAAATGCCCTATTCACTGTACTATCACTCTGGTTCCTAAAAACATAAAAAAAGTTTAAAAAAACCTAAAATTTTCTTATGTTTTTTTAAAATTCTATCATCCTTAGGTATAAATATTTCCATGATCTCCATATAGTTTGATTATATAATTTTTATTTTGATATTTTTTTCACAAAATTTATATAAACAAAGCATGTGAATGCTTTGTTTATATAAATTTTGTGAAAAAAATATCAACCCTATTGGCATAATTTTAAATTGGCATCATCATCATCTTTCATCATCAGTCAGAACTATGCAAATCAGTAGCTTTAGGAATATTCATTGATACTTTAAAAATAAACACAGTTCTCTCAAACTTTAAAACATAAAGAACAGAATCTATTTTAAATTGGCTAAATGGAGACCAAGGAGTTAGATAAAAGGACTGAAGCACATGTTTTGCATGCAGGAGGCCCACAGCTCCCTGAGCACCACTCAGAGTGACCCCCAAGGAATAAATCAAGAGTAGCTCCCAAATACCACTGGGGTGGCCCTAAAACAAATCTGTCACTGTCACTGTCATTGTTCATCGATATGCTCGAACAGGCCCAGTAACATTGTGAAACTTGTTGTTATTGTGTTTGGTATATCGAATATGTCACAGGGAGCTTGCCAGGCTTTGCCCAGAGGGTGAGTTACTCTCGGTAGCTTGCTGGGCTCTCCGAGAGGGGCAGAGGAATCAAACTCGGGTGGACCAGGTTGGTCTCATGCCAGGCAAATGCCCTACCCACTGTGCTATCGCTCCAGTCTAAAACAAATAAATTTCTTAAATAACATATTACATATCATTTCTTTTTCTTTGTGAATCCACTGGTGATATTTCAGTACTGTGTGAAAATGTCTCCTGTGGAAGGAATCTGTACTTCAGGAACCTCAGTCATCAACCATCAAGAGAACAAACGCTCCAGATGTCAATACCAGAAAATAGAGGGCTCCTCCAGTCACGCAGTAACCTTTAACGTGCTGCCTCTGGAAATTGGTCTCCACAACATCAGCTTTTCACTGGAAACTTCTATTGGGAAAGAGATCTTAATAAAAACATTACGAGTGGTGGTAAGAAAAACATTTTTTCTAATTCTTTAAAAAAAAAAACAGCACTTCTCCATTCTGAAAAAAATTATTAGCGATAGCACAGCAATAGGACATTTGTCTTGCATGCGGCCTACAAGGCCAACCCGAGTTCGATTCCTCCGCCCCTCTCAGAGAGCCCAGCAAGCTACTGAGAGTCTGGGAAGCTACTTGTTATGTATTCAATATGCCAAACACAGTAACAGGTCTCACAAGTCTCACAATGGTGACGTTACTGGGCCCGCTCGAGCAAATCGATGAACAATGGGAGGACAGTGCAATGCTACAGCAGTCAATATTTAAATATTCAACAATTAGACACACAGAGAGGATATAATAACATAAACTTAAGAAATGTTCACCCTTGAGGCAATCTGGTAAATTCTGAGAAATCTGATTATTGCAAAGGTTTTTTTGGTATGACTCTAACTTTTTTTTAACCTGTAATTATGCTTCACATTTTTAGATAAGCAATAATACTGTAGAAAATATGGAATACTGAAAAAACACATAGAAGAAAGTTGAAATACCCAATATTTACAACTTGGTACATAAATTTTTAGATTTTGTTTTTTCCCAATACATTCAGAGAGTGTGTTTCAAAAACTACATGCCAAACCTTATGGTAGGCTCTGAAGAAATCAATAAATAAGACTTCTATCTTAAATTAAGAGTCTAGAAATGTTTCCACTGTGTAGGAAGAAAATAGTCATTTGTTAAATGCGATTGACCCAATCTATTGAGAATTTTCACATCAATTTATTTAGATTAAGATAACATTCTTGCCGAGAGTCAAATGGCTAGTTAAGTACAGAACAGTGTCTATCGAGCTTTGGATCTTTTTAGTTCAATTATTATTATTATTGTTGTTATCATTATAGTTGAGGTGACATTTTGTATACCACATGCATGAATATACACACGTACAAAAGTGTTTATATTCATGCATGTGGTATACAAAATTACTTCCCGTGCACCACTGCCGGAGTACCTAGGGGCCCTCTTCCACTGTAAAAATGTACCTTCTAGTCCACCCACCCTCCCCTTCTCCCTTTGAGCTCTGTTTTTAACTTTAAAATCTGCTTCAGTAAACACATAGGAATTTATTTGGTGCCATCCATGGTATGTGCATCACTCCACGGTGAGTCCTTGAGCAGATGCCCTCTTTAAATCTTGATTCCACCCCTCCCAGGTGGCATGGCATTAGATAAATCTCTTGATCACTCTCTGTGCCAGTTTCTTTATCTATCAAATAGAGTAAAGCAGTATCTACTTCATAAACTATGCCTGAGATTAAATGAGCAAATATATCCAAAACATTTAGGCCTTATAATCTCCTCTCTATATAAGTTTTGTTCTGATTATTATACAAATAGCCAGAAAAAATTTTATTCCTGCATGTATGAGTCTTAGTATTCATATTTGTTTTGCCTACTTTCAATAAAAAAACAAAACTTTTATTTATTAGAAAAGTGATCAAGAAATGTTGATCCGGGGCTGGAGTGATAGCACAGCTGGTAGCCGACCCGCATTTGAATCCCAGCACCCCATATGGTCCCCTGAGCACCTCCAGGAATTAATTCCTGAGTGCAAAGCCAGGAGTAACCCCTGAGCACCAACGGGTGTGACCCAAAAATGCAAAAAATAAATAAATGAAAAATCATTAAAAAAAATGTTGATCCAAGGAATTCAGGTTGTATAAATTTAATTATGTTCTTAACAGAATGTTTTCTGCCTTACTTTTAGCCAGAAGGTATCAAAAAGGAAAGTTCTGCTGGTGTTACTCTTGACCCAAATGGCATTTATGGTATGCAAAATAATTTTACATTTTTATGTCATATTTTTCTCTAGAAGTCAAAGTGTATATGTAACCCGAAACACTATTTTTCAAAATGTTAATTGTCTAGAATCAGAAATATTCATTTCATAGTTGATTACCTTTTTTCTTTCTTTTTTTTTTTTTTTGTTAATTGTATCACTGTGAACTAGACCCTTACAAAACTGTTCATGATTAGGTTTCAGTCACACAGTGTTCCAGCACCCATCCCTCCACCAGGGTACATTTCCCAGCACCATTGTTCCCAGTTTCCCTCCTATTACCCCCACCCCCAGCCTGCTAGGAGCTTTTCTTCTCTGTCTCTGTCTGTCTCTGCTTGCTCTCTCTCTCTCTCTCTCTCTCTCTTCCTTTCTTCCCCCCACCCCCGCCCTTCCTTTTGGGCATTGTGGTTTGATTGCCATTCTTTATAGCATGTGTTGTGCTATTATACGTATAGGTTTAGAACAAAGAAAACTAATTCCGGCTTGAAATGCTAAGCACCAAAATAGTGGTTGCATTACTTCCTTTGTATAGTAGTCATTTTCTATTTATCACAATATTTTTAACATTGTCTTACAGAACCATCAATACAAAGAATACCTAAGAAATATCTTTGCATTTACCGTATACTATTTACTTATTTACTCTATCATTTTAAAACACAACAATGTTAATTAATTGCTTTACAGACTCAGATGTCCTGTTTCTCCTGCCTACCTCAGAGCCACTGTGGCCTTTGACTTGTCTTCTTTTCAATATTTATGCTTCATGGGCTATAGCGGGTAGTGTGCTTGCCTTTAATGCGACCAACCTGAGTTCGATCCCCAGCACCATATATTACTCCCTGAGTACCACCAGGAGTGATCTCTGAATGCTGAGCCAGGAGAAATCCTTAAGAAAGCTGGGTGTGCCACCCACACCCTCGCCAAAAAAAAAAAGAAAAATCAGTATTTATGCTTCCTTCTAATGAATCCACAAACAGCTTTCCAAAATGGCCTTGTCTTATTCCTGGCATCATAGGTGTAAAATTAGAATGACAGGCTGGAACTACTGCTTATCTGGGAAGAAAACATTTCTCTATTGAAAATCTTGGGGCGGGGCAGGGCATAGAGGAGGAAAGATACATACCTGTACTCAGTAAAAAGTTCCCAGTAAAAAGTAAAAAGTCGTAAGACTTTTTAGACAACTTAGATTTAGACAGCTTTATAACTCTGAAGAGAGCTAAATAGGGTTAAGAGGACGATGATCCATTCTATCCATATTATTTCCAAGATATTATTAGTTGAAATATATCTGGGATAATTGGAATTGCTATAGCAGATATTTCGTAGAATTCTGTTATTTGTTTAAGGTTAAGATATATCTGGAGAAGTCAATAGACAATAATGTTAGAAGATATCTGGGGAGGAAAATCAGCAAGGGAGAATGGAGCTATCAGGAAGACTGTAATTGTGCGATGTATTTTCAAGAGAGAATCCAGACTGGCCCAAGTCTTTACTTTCTGCTTTCTTGCCTACCCTTCTGTCTCAAGGGCAACGTCAGCTCCTCACCCCCTCACTTCCAGGTACATAGACTTCCCTGGTCTGGACTGGCCCCTTTCATGTTTGTTCTATATATTTTTCATGTTCTACCATTTTCATTGAATAAACAGTGTATACAGTAATCTTAATTATACTTTTCATGCATACACCATTCCAACACCACACCCATCACCAGAGTTTCTGCTTCCTTCCACCAGTGTCCCAAGGTCTTCCAGCCTTTCCTCCCATATCAGCTCTGTTGTATAAACACAATCTCCAGTTCCAGTGACTTTGGCCATTTGTTGTTCCCTTACTATGTATCTTTATATCCCACAAATGAGAAAGACCTTGGTTTATTTATTTATTGGGGAAGTGGTGACACCAGTGAATAGAAATGAATAAAACTAGACTCCTGAAATTCCACAAAATTGTGAATCTATGATAAGGTGACAGAGAAATCATTCTTTTCAAACTGTTTATCTTTCTCTTTTATAAGTACATAAATTCTGAAAAAATTATTAGTGTGAATAATTATATACTGATATCTTTTAAAGTTAACATGGAATAGATAATCCTACAAGTCTACAATTTAATAATCCTACAAGTCTACAATTTAATAATCCTACAAGTCTACAATTTAGAGGAGGTAGAAATTAAGAAAAACATTAGAGAAACTCTGAATAGGCCTGTAAATGCATAAAAGTGTGTTTTCCTAAAATGAGAATATTGGCTTTATGCTAGAAAATATTACATTATAGATCATGCTAAAGAATCTTCATTAATAGGTAATCGCTTACAATAAAAATCTCTATAGATGTAACAAATAACCTGAACAGACATAGCACATCAATATAGAAAAACATTAATTCATCATTAGAAAAGTATAAAATCCCTGCCAAACTAGGACCAAACCTTTTTACAAACTTTTTAACTAATCGAGGTGCTTTGATTTACAATATTATTGATGATAATTTCCTGTGGACATAATTCTACCACTGCACACATCACTAGTGTACCCACCTCCCTCCCCCAAGATTCCAATTCCTTTTCAAATTCCCACATCAAACTCAGTTTGGTGGATCAGTTTCCTCATTACATTGTCTTTGACTCTTTGTTGCTAACTTATTGCGTATATTTATAAATTGACCTTTCTTAATCGAGTAAATGGCAACCATATCTAGTAAAGAACAATTCACATGAGTGAATTCCATGCTCAATGGTAAAGTGCTGAGAAGTTTGCTCTATGTCTTTGAGTAAGGAGTTAATGTTTTGTTTCTATTTCTTTTTAGTACAGAACAAAGGTATTGCCCTATGGATTATGTCCATGAGTTTTTATGGTCAACGCTCTGTTTTAAGAATTAAATGCACATTTTATGTACATGTATGCAATATTTCAAAGAACATTCCACCCCAGGTCTCCTTATCTATCTTATAGTGAAAAGTCGTTGCTGTCATGAACAATGCACAGTGAACAACCTAATTCATCTCCTTCTTATGAGTCTTTAGTTTATATGCAGGCATGAAATTGCTGGGAGAGAGGATGCACACTTACTGAATGTTATTTGCTTCTGCCGTATTGCTCTTCAGAATGACTAGTATTTTTTTCTACGAGCTGAGCATGATGGCCCTTATCTCTCTTTTTCCTCACCAATATTTGTTATTACTCACCTCTCTAAAATATGCCATTTTTGAGAAGGATAAAGTGATATTTTATTCTTATTTAAAATTGTATTTTACTGATTACTAGTGATTTTTAACATTTATTCATTCCCTTCTTGTTATGTCTGTTTCTATCTTTTGCATATTCTATTTGGCTTTTCTTTTCATTTTATGTTGGTTTTCCTTTTGTATGCTTCTTGAGCAATAATGAACTTTCATGAGCTTGGAATCAGAATTCTTTATTATTACGTAGGTAAAATTTATTATCATTTTATTTTATGGTCATGTATTTTTGGAGTAATTGTCAAGAAGTCTTTCCCTACCCTTAGTTCACAAAGCTAATATTGTATTTTTTTATTCTGTTGATTTTTATATATAATTTTTAAATATTTTCATCTTAGTGGCATCTTTATGCATGATGCCTTTTCATAAGGTCCACCCAAGTGTCCCTGGAGTGCCCAAGGGCTACTCCCCAAATTAGGTGCTTATCCCAGGCTGGAGAGATAGTACAACAGGTAAGGCACTTGCCTTGCATGTGGCCAACTCAGGTTCAATTCCCAGCACCTCATATGGCTCCCCAAGTCCACCCAGGAATGATCCCTGAGATCAGAGCCAGGAGTACGCCCTAAGCAAAGCTGGATGTGTTCCCAAAACCTAAATAAATCAGTCTGATGGGCCCAGTAGTACTGACATGACAGTTAGATGTAATATCTCAATGGATTTTTTATTATGATCTCTGACAGAAATAAAAATTACTCCTCTAATTTTAGCCTTTTCTTCTGTACATTTTCCATCTGATAACAGAGAGGCTAATGGGAATTGAAAAAATTAAGAGCCAGCATCAACAGAAATAATGATGGGTATCAAAGTTAAATCATTTCCATTCTCCAACTATTAGAAGTACTATATAGTGAGCATGAACTATTTGCCAAGTTTCTGTATTATTTTACTCTCACAATATTATCACCTTTACTTAACTGACGAACAAAGATAGAAAGATTGAGTGCCTGGCCCAGAATCACATAAAGAGCAAGCATGACCACAGGAAGATGACCGAGCACCTGCATTGCATGCTGGAGCCCTAAGTTTGATCCCTAGCACCTCATGGTTCCCCCACACAGTTCCAGGAATAATCCCTGAGCTCCTAGCTTAGAGAATTCCCTGAGCACTGCAGGATGTGGCCCAAAAAACAAAACAAAAAAATATAGAATTAAACAAAAGAAATATAGAGCGAGCTCTTCATGAACTCTGCTTTTTCAACCATACTATCAATTTATTAAATTATATTCACTGAACTTTAATATCATATCCTTTAGTCTACCTGTAGTTATCAACATTTAACGGAGAGAGGAATTCCATGCCTGTATCTTCTGAACACCCACGTGGCTTATCCATTAAATTACAAAATGCCACTTGCTTCTTCCTGTTTACTTCAAGATCTTCCAGGTGCCAGGGACAGTGCTAGGACGCAAGACTATAGCGTTTTCGGATGACTGACTCCTGCTTACAAATTTTTGTTTGCAGGCCAGAGTCTGTGGAGACCCTGTGGGACTTCTGTGAGCTCTACAGGAAACCTTACTGAGTTCCAAGCACAGCTCCGTGTGTACTCGCTCTGTGAACCTGAGCAATGTGCTCTGGAAGCTTCCGTTTCCTCATATGTAAAATGAAGGGAGAAAAATAGACTTAGCGTGCAAGACTGTTGGGATAACTACATCAAAAGAATTCAGCACAGTGCTTGACACTCTATTAGTACAATGACAGTTGTGATGACTTTTTATGAGATACACCAATAATTATCATAGAAAAATGCCCTGATACCAGTTAGTTAAATGCAGTTTTATACAGAAGGAGGAAAAGTGTCTAAGTTAGAGAAGAAGGTGGAAAGAATTTCAGGGCTTGTTTCCCAGTGGAAATAATCATCACATATCCTTCACTGAGGAATTACTTGTTAGTTATTTTTAGATTTCAGTTCCGAGAACAATTTTGGTTTTTTGGAAAGACAGCATGCTTCTTTTTACTGGTGAATAATATTTATAAGCCTACTTATTTTCAGTCTTGTAATGACCAGGAAGCTTGCATTTAAATTTATCACATTATTTTAAAATTTTCTATAAGCCTAGGGTTTGATTAAAAGCCTTCATTATTTTTAACTCTATTTTTATGTTTTAACTTTATTTTTACACTTATCAAAGAATTTTTCATTTGAAAAAAGCTCCTAGGAAGTAAATATACTATAAATAACTGTAAATAGTTTTCCAGAAGAAAAATCTATGTAAATCTAACCTTCTTATTTTTTAATTGCAGGATTTCCTACCAGACAAAAGGAATTCCCTTATAAGGTACCATTAGATTTGGTCCCCAAAACAAAAGTGAACAGGATTGTGAGTGTAAAAGGTAAATTTTAAAATACAATTTTGATTTCCTAGCTCACTTTGTGCTTCAACAAAAATAAAATAACCTCATGATTATTTTGTCTTCTCTGGCCAGTCACGATCACAATCACGACCATCCTGTTATTCATCGATTGCCTCGAGCAGGCCCCAGTAAAGTCTCCTTTGTCCTAGCCCTGAGATTTTTTAAAAAGTGCCATATTCAAGGCTCTTTCAGAGTTAGGAGAATGAGACCCTTCATTGTTACTGGTATTTGGCATATTGGGTACTCCACAGGGAGTTTGCCAGACTATGCCGTATGGGCAGATTACATTCGGTAGCTTGCCAATTTCTCCAAAGTAGGAATGAGATTTGCTCGAGCGGGCCCAGTAACGTCTCCATTGGAGACTTTGTTGTTACTGTGTTTGGCATATCTAATACTCTCGGTAGCTTGCCGGGCTCTCCCAGAGGGGCGGAGGAATCGAACTCGGGTCAGCCATGTTGGCCGCTCGTAAGGCGAACGCCCTACCCGCTGTGCTATCAAGATGTCGCATGGCTGCAAATGCGGCCGCGCGCTTCCAGGAGCTGGTTTTTATAGTCTCTGAGTCTTGGCCATTGATGGGATTACACGGCGCCAGGGGGCCAGTTGGTGGGTGTGACCCCCGCCTACTGGAGTTTGGAGGATCTGGGTGGAGGATGCTCAGCCCTGATCCTAGTAGGCTTGGAGATCTCAACCCCGGGACCCACATGCCTTTGTTCCCTTGCCAGTACCTTCATGTGTGCGGAGAGTGGTCTCAGCATGGTGGGGGCTGGTTCTGGAGGTCTTCGGCTGCCGGAGCCCTGGTCGGGGCGGGGAGGAAAACTCAACCCGCTCCCCTCCAAGGGGCCCCAGCGAGGACAGCCAGGCGCGGGGGCAGGTATAAATTTACCTCTCAGAGTGCCACAATGGTATTTTCAACTTCAAATACCACGTATCACCACTTTTCAAATCAACTTTGGCTAACGGCCCTTGGAGATTCATTCTCTTATGATGGAGCAATTAGTCTGTTACTGACCCAAATATTTCTCAAAAATAGATGTGTGGCCTTCTTTCCTCTAGCCTTCAAAAACTTTATACCACCTTAATGGTCAATCCTACTCTAGAGAAACTATATGGCCTGCAAATGTCACGTGCAAAACCAGCTCTGCTGTGCTCAAGTGGACCCTAGTGGAATTATCTTTCATCCAAACATTCGCACAAGTGTCATCTTTGTCAGCTCCTCATGGTCCCTACTCTTTGCAATGAATAGAATGTCCTAATTCTATCTCACATTAAAAACCTGAGGGTTAGAGGAATCGTAGGTGTGGGTTTTTTAAGACCATTTTTATTGCTCTACTGGGATTAATGATGTAACTGATAATACTTTCAACACACCCATCACCAGAGAGCCCATTTCCCTCCACCAAAGTCCCAAGGAAAACCCTCCCACGACCTTCCCATTCAAACTCAACTCTGTAGACAAAATCTCCAGTTTCATTAATTTGACCAGTTGTTGTTCCCTTACTGTATTTCTTTTTAAGTCCACTTTTTTCTTTTTTTTTTTTTTTTTTTTTTTTGCTTTTGGGTCACACCTGGTAATGCTCAGAGCCTATTCCTGGCACTCAGAAATCACTCCTCGTGGACTCAGGGAACCATATGGGGTGCCAGGGATCAAATCCTGGTTGGCTGCATCCAAGCAAGTGTTCTACGCACTGTACTATCTCTCCAGCCCCTGAGATACGTTTTTCTTAATGTATTGTGGAGATGGTGACATTTATACACATAGAGATGAATAGAGTTAACTCCTGAAATCCCCGAAAATTATAAATCAATGATAAGTTGATAAAATATTTTAACAATATCTTCCTTTTTTACAGGTATATAATTTTTAACTAATATCATTAATAATTCTGTGCTAATGCATTTTAAAATTTGCATGAAATAGATAAATCCTATAACTGTAAAATTTATTAAGAGTGAGAATAATTTTTAAATGTTTTTTATTTTTTATTTTATAAAGTATTTCACAATATTTGATTACATTTAATATTTAAACAACAATCCCACCATCATTAAGCCTACCCACCACCATATTTCGGATGTTTCCATCCCTAACTCCAACCCCTGTCACAAAGCAGAACCAAAAATAACTTATTTTGTATTGTTTGTTATGAAAACCTGCTGAAAATGCTCCAAAAAGGTTTTCTTAGAGGAAAGAGTGCAAAGATTGTTATATTTCACCCAGGGGCCATTAAATCTCTTCTGTAAGAGATCTCTAACATGTCATTAAAGGTTGAGCCTGTGTGTGCATATATAAATATATATGTAAATATATTTATACACATAAATATGTATGTGTTAAATATTTTAGACAATTTCAAGTATCTGCACAGATAAGTAAAAAATTATAATAAATATGTCTATGAATGTAGGGGGGGAAACACCCTAATCAGACAGGCATAAAATATTCAATAGAAATGAAATGTTAATCTATTATTGAAAATATGTAGAATCCCTTAGTAAATTAGATGTAAACCTTTCTTAATCTAGTAAAGGGCAACCATAAGAACTCTGAGTGAATGTCATATTCAATGTCAAAGTACTAAGAAGTTTTTCTTATCTTTCGAAGAAGCTCCTTTAGAGGCCAGACACGTAGTGCAGCAGGCCAGGCACTCGCCTTGCATGCAGCTGACCCATAGGTTCAATTGTTCAATCTCTGGCATCCTTTATTGTCTCTGAGCATGACCACTGTTGGGCATAACACAAAATAAAGAAATAAACAAATAGTTCTTGCAAGAGTAGTTTCAAGGCTGTTGATTTCCTATTGCTTGTCCTTGAAGCTTTGAATCATTCTTTCAAATATGAATAATAATTTAGTTGGCGGGACCAGTAACGAAGATCCTCTGCCCGTTCCCTTCCCCCTCCCCACCCCCTCCATCTCCAGATCGCATGTTCTTCTCTCCTGGAAGGGAGGATAATATGACGCTCACCATAGCAATGCCACCGGACCACGTGCCAGGCTTTTTCACTTGGGGCGTCCCAGAGGGGAGCAGGTGAGAGCCTTCCCAACTCCAAGGGACCCAGCCCCAGCAGCCAAAAACCTCCAGAACTCAACAGTTGCCATGCTCAAGGCCGCTCCCCACACACTTGGGCCGAGCCTCGCATATGAGTGAACCTATTCTTGGACAACTAATACCTCACACCATCCATATTCCAAAAGTACCGCACCACATTTGATGGGGTTCAAATATTAGGCAACCAGTCATAGAGAGAAATATACACATATACATATATACATATTTACAGATATATATACAAAAGTTCACAAGGCTCAACCTTTAACAACATGTTAGTGACATCTTATAGAAGGTCTTAATGGCCCCTGCCAAAATAGAACAATCTTCACACTCTTTGCTCTGTGGATACTTCTTTGTAGCATTTTCAGCGGTTTTTCATAACAAATAACACAAAATACTTTATTTCAGTTCTGCTTTAGGACAAGGATTGGGGTTTGGGATGGAAACATCCCAAAGATGGTGGTGGGGAGGTGTAATGGTGGAGGGATTGGTGTTTGAACATTAAATGATATCAAATATTGTGAACTACCTTATAAAATAAAAAAATTAAAATAAAATAATAATTGAGTTGGATACGGTATTCTTGATGAGGTATACTCACTTCATTGAGTTTTTGTAATTTATCCCTCCATTTTCAATAGCCTCATAGTCTTGCTTGACAGATCTGCAGTGAATCTGCAGTGAATCTTATGGGTTTTCCTTTGCATTTAAGTTATTTTTCCCCATTTTACTTAACTACCGTTGTTTACAAAGTTATTCATGATGATTTGTTACAGGCATACAATATTCCAACCCCAAGCCCACCACCTCCCTCACCTTCCTTCCACCATTGTCTTCGTTTTCTCAGTCACCCCTCAAGACTGACCCCAGAAGCAGGCCCACAGTGATTTTTTTCATCTTGCTTGTTACCTCTAAATGGCTAACTAGATGATCAAAAATTATTTCCATGGAAGAAAATTTGTGAAAATTGTTATATCTCATCATGCAGACATTAAGTCCTTGTCTGATGGTTTACTAAGCTGCTGTCGCAAGTTAAGCCTCTATGCTAATGCTTTTGCTAGTCGAGACTGGAAGTCATTCTACATTACATCCCATCCAATCTGGTGTGCTGTTACTGGGATGTCAGTGTTGTAGAGTTTGGAGATGTTGCTCCAGAAAATCCAGAATATTTAACTGAGCGATCTGGTTAGTGGTAAGGCTGAAGTTTAAGGATGTGGGAACAGTTGCTGGGGCTTTGATAGGTCAAGAACTGTCCCACCTCCTTCCTGAGATTGCCCCACAGGTCTCAGCCAGGAATGAGTGTCCAAAAATTTTTGCAGCTAGTTAATCTCTTTCAAGATTTATTTATGAGTCTTTAAGTTTCTTTTTTTTTAACTTACTGCTTTCAATATTCTGTGTCTGTCTTTGGCTTTTTGTCATTCTGAGTACAAAATATCTTGGATATTTTCTATTTGAGTCTATTTTATCTGGACCCTTTGTGCCTCTTGGATGTAGGAGCCTATATGACTCAACTCTGGGACATTCTTATCTAGGATTTTTTAAACTACATGTTCTTCATCAAACGTGCCTTCCTGTTCTTCAGGGTGATTTTTATACTGTTCCTCTTGAATTTACTGCATTGTTCTCTGGTATGCTGTTTATTTCCTTTCAGACGTTTTTCCATCTTCTGTTGTTTTCCAGAGACTTTTTTCCCCATCTCAGCTTGGAGTTCCTTGATCTTTTTCTCTCAGCTAATATTATTCTGCTACTCAGACCTTCTATTGAGTTGTGGGGGTAGATGGGGGGACCTTTATTTTGTTGAATTTTTGATCACACCCAAAGTAAGTTCTCACAAAATTTCAGGTACATGGGTTTTCTTAGCTAAAAATTCCAGACCTTCTCGGAGTTGGGATGGGTGAGCTCCCCCCACCTCCCTGTATTTCTGGAAGCCCTACCAGCCCAATTCCCGTAAGAATTATGACTGGTGAGAGTCGGGAGACCATATAGGATGCCAGGTATTGAACCCAAGTTGGTTATGACAAGTCAAACGCCCTACCAGCTGTACTATTGCTCTGGCCCCTCTATTGAGTATATTGGAATATATATATATATATTCCACCTGGGGTGGATCCTTCCGCCTCTCTCAGAGAGCCCAGCAAGCTACCAAGTGTATCCCGCCCGCACTGCAAAGCCTGGCAAGCTACCCATGATGTATTGAATATGCCTTAATATAATAACAACAAGTCTCACAATGGAGACGTTACTGGGCCCGCTCGAGCAAATTGATGAATAACAGGAGGACAGGACAGGACCATACTCTTCATTTCTGTCACTTCTGACTCTAGTCTTCTCATACTTGTGCTTTGCTGATTACCTGTACGACCATTTCTTTGAGCTCACTAAACATCTTCAACATGATGTCACTAAAGCAATTCTCTAAGAATTTATATAAATAGTTGATGTTGGTTGAGCCTTTTGTATTATTGAACTTGGTGCATCATCCCCATTGGGTTTGCTGTGCTCCTGCTGTACTGAAGATGAAGCAGAGATCAGACATGGAGCCTTGAAAGGAGCTTTTGATCTCATGTGACCCTGGTGGTTGTGCAAGAAAATTACTTGCTCAAGACCACAGTGAGTTGTGGACAGAGCCTTCTCAATGCTCATACATTTCATACCACATGCTTTGCTTGGGAGTGATTGGTTTATTTACACTGTTTAAAGTTGTAGATTGAGCAATGACAAATGGCCATTTCTTCTATACTGTAATTTTCCCACTACATTACACTTTCTTCTTAACAATGTAATTTTACATCGATTGTTGTGTCTTTTATTGTGCTTCTTTTACAAGGTATCATGACATACGGTGGTATTAATATTAATGTTTTAAGTATACAATGTTACTGCAGCACATCAATCCCTCCACCATGGGTTTTTTTAATCCATCTAACCAGGTAGTTTTTCTCCCTTCCAGTTGGGCTGGAGCGATAGCACAGCGAGTAGGGCATTCGCCTTACAAGCGGCCAACATGGCCGACCCGAGTTCGACTCCTCCGCCCCTCTCGGAGAGCCCGGCAAGCTATCGAGAGTATTCGATATGCCAGACACAGTAACAACAAAGTCTCCAATGGAGACGTTACTGGGCCCGCTCGAACAAATCGACGATCAACGGGAGGGCCTTTACCTTTTACCTTTACCTTAAGTTGTGAAGTAGTAAGATCCAATTGTCTATATAGAAAGAATAAATATAAAGATGATTGTTCTTATTTCTGTTCAAAATATTGAATCGGATGTCTATAGAGGTGCTCATGTAGATTTGACCTTCATTCATTTGTTTCAGGGCTGCTGATGGGTGAGGTCATGTCCGCAGTTCTGAGTCAGGAAGGCATTGATCTCCTTACCCACCTCCCCAAGGGCAATGCAGAGGCAGAACTGATGAGTGTCATCCCAGTCTTCTATGTTTATCATTACCTGGAAGCAGGAAGCAATTGGGACATTTTTTCTCACAATTCGTTAACAAAAAAGAAACAAGAACTGAATAAGAAATTAAAAGAAGGTAAAAATACATTACATAAAAATCTTGTGATTTTTATATTAATTATTTCATTAAATTGGTAACTACGTTGTTAAAACATCAAAATTTTATTTAAAAGGCATCTCAGACCTTTCCACCCCCCAAATTGTGAGATGAGCTGTGTTAAATAAATAAGTACTACTTACAGTAAAATTTGGGGTTAATTTAGCAAAATACCTGGATTAGAGATAAGACACCTACATTCCAAACCCTGTAGGGCACTTCCTTCTTCAACAAGACACAATATTTTACTTGATATATTATATATATCAAGTATATTATATCAAGTATATATAAAATATCAAGTAGAATATTCCAAGTCTATCAATTCATATACTTCAGTGTTAGCCAAGAGAATATACTTGTTGCCCACCACCAAAGTAAATTTATCATTCCCATGGGCTAATGAAGCATTTCTGAATTAGAAATGCATATCAACAAAGCACTCAGCAGTTTTCTCTTCCTGGTACCTCTTAGGGATGGTGAGCATCATGTCCTACAGAAACGCTGACTATTCTTACAGCATGTGGAATGGTGAAAGTGCTAGCACTTGGTAAGTGAAAAATTTGGGCTTGCATTTCTACATAATAGTTGACTGGGGAACTAAAGAACAACACTTCTGTGGAACTCCATTTGCCCACTTGCTGAAGTTCTAGTCATCGCTGATTCTTTCTCTTACAAGCCACATACAATGCCAGAAAAATATCTCCAAAATGTACTCTTAACTTGTTTACTTCTCACCAATTCCACCACAGTACCCTGGTCCACCCCAGTATCTATATTACGAGGATCATTGCATCAGCCTTCTCTGGTCTTCTTGGCTTCAGTCCTTGATCCTCTTCAGTTTGTACTTAACACAGCGGCTGAAAGACCCTATAAGAACTGACATTGGGTCGTTTTATTCAAAACCACTCAGAGGTTTCCAGAAAGATAAGGCATTTACTATGCACACAAAAGACCCAGGTTCAATCCTTGGAACCCAAAAGGTCTCCCCAAGCCCCATCAGGAGTGATCGCTGAGAACAAAGTCAGAGCTAGGCATTGAGCACCACCAGATGTGGCAAAAAATACTATTCGTGAACCTTTTTTAAAATCACTGAGTAAAACTGACATATAACACACATTGTATTAATATCAAAAATAAATGTTCAATAAATGTTCGATATTTTTAATAATTAAAGCCATTAGAAGAAAGATTGAGATTAATCATAGGTAGGAAAATGGCTGAGATAGTTTTGGTGTCTCTCTACTAAAACGTATCTTAATGAATAAAACCATTCTCTACACAAAAAGAAAATGCCATATATTAACACAGACTCCCAAGATATGCTATTAAATTTTTAAAAAGCAAATTACACGATGATGTGAATATTATCCTATTGTTTGGGTTTGGCTGAGATGGAAAGATAGGAAGACTCCATTCTTATATTTTATTTGGACAGATGCACAATATACATAAGTAGCAGGAAGTAAGATACAGGGTTGTAGGAATCCAGAGGAAAGAGAGACTCTATAACCTATGTATACCAGAGGGTTTGGGGATTACATGAAAATTTTTTGGAGCAATAGTATATTGGTAGGGTGTTTGCCTTGTGCATAGCCGGCCCAGCCGAGCTGGGTTCAATTCCTCTGCCCGCACAGCAAAGCCTGGCAAGCCACCCGTGATGTATTCAATATGCCAAACACAGTAACAACAAGTCTCACAATGGAGACTACTGGACCCCCTCGAGCAAATCGATGAATAACGGGAGGACCATGACCGATAAAAATTTTATTTATTTATTTTTTCTAAGTTTTTTTTTAATTTTTATTAGTGAAACACCATGAGGTACAGTTGTAGATTTACAAATTTTTGTGCTTGGGTTTCAATTATACAATGATCAAATAGTCCATCCCTCCACCAGTGCCCATTTTCCACCACCACGGGTCCCAGTATCCTTCCCACCCCCCATCCGCCCCATCCCACCCTGCCTCTGTGGCAGGGCATTCCCTTTTGTTCTCTCTCTTCTTTGGGGTGTTGTGGTTTGCAAAAGAGGCATTGAGTGGCAATCATATTTGGTCTATAGTCTACTTTCAGCATGCTGCTCCCATCCTGGGAGGATCCTCCCAATACCCTTTATTTGGTGCCCCTTCTCTATCTGAGCTCCCTTTTCCCCTAGCATGTGTGGCTGGCCTCCAAGCCATGGAGCAAACCTCCTGGTACTAAGACCGATGAAATTTTACCTGATTAAAATGTTAAACATATTTTTAAAATAAATTAAAACAAATTTTAAGAGTAAAATGGGGGTGGTTGGGGTCAAATGTTCTGGGTCCCAGAGATATCTGAGGAACTAAGGAGGTAGATCTCAGGTAGTTGAAGGAGAAAAGAGAGAAATGGAAGCATAAAAGTTATTGTGGGATGATGAATTATATCTTCTGTTATAGTGCTTGAGAGACTTTAGTAGAGACTGGAGTAGCTTTTCTGACTAAAATATTTATCAAGATAACTAAAACTTGGGACTGGAGCTATAGTACAGCAGGTAGGGCATTTGCCTTGCACGTGGTGGACCTGAGTTCGATTCCCAGCATCCCATATGGTCCTCTGGGCACTGCCAGGAGTAATTCCTGAGTGCAATTCAGGAGTAACCCCTGTGCATCTCCAGGTGTGACCCAAAAAACAAACAAATAAATAAATAAATAAATAATAAAACTTCCTTGTTAGGTGTTCTGGTCAATGCTATGACCCAAGGGAAAATGAGAAAGTATTTCCTGAAATGTTGGGAAGGGAATTCTAGCTTCACACAGATCCCTGATTAGGTGACTCCCAACAAAAATTTTTTTAATTTTATTTACTAAATTTTATTGATTTTATTTTATGTGCAGTACTGCGTGATTTATATTGTTAATGATAGGGCTTTATGCATACATTCCAACACCACATCCCCCACTACTGTCTGCTTCCCTCCACAATTACTTTTGTGTCTCCCACAAATTTTATCATCTAGAATGTTAAAATTTTACTCTTCCATGTTTCATGTTCATGGGCCAGCACAAACTCAAAACTATTTGCTTCACTACCATTGTCTTTAAAATTATATAGGTTTTTCTTTTAATAATCAAGCATCAAGTTTTAGTTTGCATGCCATCTAAGAATGCTGTGGTCACAGATGTGCTACTCACACTGGTTGACTGGATTTTTGCTGCCCTTTCACCGGATAACAGACTTATCTTGATTTAGAATGCTGCTTTGTTTTGAAGAACCAACACTGTGCAAACTAAGACACACTGTAGGGCTGGAGCGATAGCACAGGTGGTAGATGTTTGCCTTATACACGACCAACCTGGGTTCAATTCCCAGCATCCCATTTAGTCCCCCAAGCACCGCCAGCAATAACTCCTGAGTACAAAGCCAAAGCCAGGAGGTAACTTCTGTGCATTGCCGGATCTGACCCCCCTCCAAAAAAAAAGACACACTGTAAATTTTAATTCAAAAGGAGTTGGAGTTCAATGCCTGTGTATTAATTTATTGGGTTTTTGTCATGAAGGTTGACAGCTTTCGTTGTAAGGGTGCTTGGACAAATACATAAGTACATCCGTCAGAACCAAAATTCAATTTGCAATTCTATGCTGTGGCTGCTTGAGAAGTGCCAGCTAGAAAATGGATCTTTCCAGGAGAAGTCCCACTATCAACCAGTAAAATTACAGGTATGGCAGCCAAATGGACAGATAAGCAATGATTCTGTTGACAAGTTTGAGTTTTATTCTCATCCCATTCTCATCTCAGGAAGATGAAGCGGAAAAAATCTCTTTAATCCTAGAGGAAATTCCTTTCCAGTTCTGGCAAAGAATGTAAAAAGTCTTCTGGCAATATTCTTTAGACAAGTCTTTAGAGGTTAAATTAATGATAGGAACTTGTGTAGCAAGCATTGGTGTTTCAGAGAAGTAAGTACTGGAGATCCTTAAAATGTATGTAACCCACTAACTTTTTCAGGGACCCTGTGGTATGGAATGTACCTTCTTTATAAAAGATGAAAGTTTCTATTTACATCTGTTAGGAAGGCAGAATTATAGCCAATTTATTTTAAAAGTGCAGCAAATTGGGGCCAAGCAATAGTACAGCGGGTGGGGTCTTTGCCTTGCTCACAGTCAACCTCAGATTGATCTTTAGGATCCCAGGTGGTCCCCTCAGATTTCCAGGAGTGATCCCTGAGCGCAGAGCCAGGAGTAAGTCCTGAACACCAACCAGATGTGGCCCGATTAATTAATGAATTAATAATTTAAAAGTGCAAAAAAATTGTATTGAGATTAGAATCTATATTGCTGAATTACAAAGTAGTTACACCAGGTTTCTAAAATATCTTTACAATATTTTCGGTACCTTACAATGTATCTTTAAGATTCAACAGCTTTGGGGGGCTATTTTTCCTGTTCCAATTCAATCTCTTTCAGGATCAGAGATAGTACAGTGGGAAATACAGATAGTACAGTTTGCCTTGCACACAGCCAACCTAGGTTCGATCCCCAAAATCCTATATGGTCTCCTGAGCACTGCCAGTAGTAATTCCTGAGTACAGAGCCAGGAGTAACCCCTGAGCACTAGCTAATGTGGCCCCAAAACCAAAAACCCTAACAAAAACAAATTCAATCCCTTCCACATCAGACAAATGTGGTTGTCTGTCTAGCCAGGGTCTCATAAGGTCCTCTAGGTGCTGACATCAGAATATGGCTTCTAACATCATATAGGTGCTATTTAAGAGTAAAATAACCTTACAACTTTCCCTTAAGGTAACATCTTTTCTTCCATCTATCTGCATGCATCCAACAGCCATTCACCTAATATATTCATACAAGAACATATATGGCTGCAATGAGGAGAACGAGTGGAAAAAGAGAAATGAGAGATTAGCCCTGCCACAGAGAAGCTTCCACGCTGATGGGGAGAGTAGGGAGCATAAATACCAGCAATTCTAAGAAAAGTGTGTGTTCATTCATTTAATCAATAAAGATTCACTTAATGTGCACAGAGAGATGCATGGTAGAGTTAGAGTACAGAGAGCATCTTTGCTCACTGAGACCATATTGCATACAATCTAACAGGGAAATAAGACTTTAGGTAAATCACATCAAATGTGTGATACATGTTAAGAAAAGATTCTCTTCATTGAAAACAGTAGATCTAAACTACCTTGGTAGAATTGAAAACAGGAGAAGACGAGGCTCCTGGAAACTAGGTAGGAGGGAGACAAGGAAGAAAACCAAGTGGAGGGGCCGAAGTGATAGTACAGCGGGTAGGGCACTTGCCTTACACATGGCTGACCCGGGACTCAATCTCCAGCATCCCATATGGTCTCCCAAGCACCGCCAGGACTAATTCCTGAGTGCAGAGCCAGGAGTACCTCTAAGCATCTCTGGGTGTGACCCAAAAAGCAAAAAAAAAAAAAAAAGAGAGGAGCAAAGAGCTGGCCTGGCATTTTGAAGTAGAAAAGAAGGTGGTTCTTTCAAAGGGGTGGCATTTGAGTGACATGGCAAATCAAATCCGGAGCGGTAAAGAGAGCAATTTTTGTGGAGCATTGGAATGTCATTGCCCTAGAGAAGATCTTTATGAGCAAACAGAGGCCAAACAGCACTTGTAGTGTAGGTGACATTTTAACGGGGTCTTGAAATAGGAGGTACACTTACATAAGTGTGGTGAACTTGAGGTGGGAAGTTGGGGGAGCGATGATCAAGGAAAAAAAGAAAAACCTGCTGGTGATAAAGAGCCAGCACTTACGTAACGGGGAATAGTCCAAACGAAGCACTGGAGGAAGGGAGGGAAAGTCAAAACACAGCTAAGCTTAGAACTGTTCTGATTCTCTTAAAAAGAAACCATCTCACTCTCTTTTTAAAACATTGCTTATTGTTTTAGGGTACCTTGCCTGTAGAATCCCAGGAGAATGCCTTGTATCTTACAGCCTTCACTGTGATTGGACTTAGAAAGGCTTTCGATATTTGCCCCTTGATGGTAAGCAAGAGTTTTCTTTCTCCAGCACTTTTTCTTCTCTTTTTCTCTCTATGGTTTCGTCTCTTTCTATAACATGTACGGAGGGGTGGTGAGAGGGAGATCTTACAAATATCTGTAATTTCAGAATCAAATTATTTCAGAACTATGATAGATGTTGGGCTAGAGCGATAGCACAGTGGTAGGGCGTTTGCCTTGCAGGCAGCCAACATGGCCGACCCGAGTTCGATTCCTCCACCCCTCTCGGAGAGCCCGGCAAGCTACCAAGAGTTAATAGCCCACACGTCAGAGCCTGGCAAGCTACCCATGATGTATTCGATATGCCAAACACAGTAACAACAAAGTCTCCAATGGAGACGTTACTGGGCCCGCTCGAGCAAATCAATGAACAACGGGAGGACAGTGACAGTGATAGGATAGATGTTAGAGGCTACCTAATCCAACCTACTCATTGACAGATGAGAAAACTGAGACCTGTAAGAAAGAGTCAACGTAATAGTCTGGTACCACAAACTACTGAATTGTAGAGCTGAGACTAGAACTGATGGCTTGTGATCCAGATGAGGGAATGGTCCACTGTGCCCAGTATCCTTCCCTTTTCTCTGTCCCATAATATGTTGCGCATGTGATCATTGTTCTATAGCTGAAATTCTATCTCCTGAACTACCAAGGTGACACAAGGGCATGTTTGCTCTTTGGGGGTGAGCTTTTCCATTTGTTGGGTGGGTAGGGGTGGGATGGAAAGGGTTCACCAAAGTGAATCAACATAGATCATACCCATGAGGAATAGAGATATTTTGCTCTGGGGACAGTCAGTTCTCTCAGAGGATCCCTCAGAGACCCAAAGGTTAAATACTAAATACTCCTGCCTGCACAACAATGGTAAGTGAAACTCCTCTGCAATGCAGAACTGAGATGAATAATCCAAAGGCATATGTAGGGCTTCACCTATAAGACGAAATAATTTTTTAGTCTGTTTCAAGAGAATTGTTTACAGTGAACAAGGATGATCAAAGAAGACCTGTTCATAAGGGTCCAGATGACTAGTTGTCCCCTCATGGCACATGAGTGAGACACAAATGGGGCCAGGAAAGTAGAAATGAAGCAAGATGTTAGCAGCATTGCACCATGCCTCCTCTTACTATATTTATTCAAAATAACTATTTCAGTGGTCTCTGGACAGAGTTAAGGAAACTATTTTCATTTTCTTTTTTTTATTTTAATGAATCACAGTGAGATACAGTTACAGACTTACAAACTTGAGTGATTATGTTTCAGCGGGTAGGACATCTGCCTTGCATGCAGCCAACATGGCCGACCCAAGTTCGATTCCTCTGCCCCTCTTGGAGAGCCCGGCAAGCTACCGAGAGTATTGGATATGCCAGACACAGTTAGACAAGATGAAATCATGAAATTTGCATATAAATGGATTGACATAGAGAGTATTATGCTAAGTGAAATGAGTCAGAGAGAGGGACAGACCTAGAATGACTGCATTCATTTGTGGAATATAAAGTTATAGAATGGGAGAGTAACACCTAAGGATAGTAGAGATAAGGGCCAGGAGAATCATGCCATAGCTTCCAAGCCAGTGTAACATGCTGGGGGAAAAGGCAGGTGGGATAGAGAAGAGACCACTAAGTAAATGATTCTTGGAGGGCTCACTCGGGATGGGAGATGAGTGCTGAAAGTAGACTATGGACCAAACATGATGGCCTCTTAGGACCTGTATTGCAAACCACAACACCCAAAAGGAAAGAAAGAAAGTAAGAGGGAATATGCCTGCCACAGAGGCAGGGGGTAGGAAGGGGTGGGGGTGCTGGGAGGGATACTGGAATCATTGGTGGTGGAGAATGGGCACTGGTGGAGAGATGGGTACTCTATCATTGTATGACTGAAATGTAATCACGAAAGTTTGTAAGTCTGTAATTGTATCTCACAGTAATTCATTTTTTTTAAAAAAAAAAAAAAAGCACTTGGCAGCTTGACTTTTTTCCCCTTATGATTTATCTAAATTTCTTTTGAAACCATGAACCATCTCAACTTTGCAGAGAGGGAAATGATGAAGGTTGCTTTTCTATGCTGGATGCTTCCTTTTTTTTGGAAGCTTGGACTGATGAGGGAAGATGAAACTAAAGGGAAAACACTTTAAAAGGTTTTAGAGAGGAGAAGTCAGAGGGGAAAATGTAACCCAGTCTGTATGGTCATGTTTTCCCTTCTGAGATTACGGACTGTTTCTTCATGGAAGGATTTGCTTCAGCATAACACTGTTTCTATAACGTCATTTCTTTTTGCACCTTTTTTTGGGGGGTGAGGCTGTCTCTGCATGGTGCAGCCTACAGAAATTCACATCAATTAATAGACGGATACTTTGTAAAAAAAAAATTCAAATATCTTCTCTTCTTGCTTCCAGAAAATCGACACAGCCCTAACTAAAGCTGACAACTTCCTGCTTTCCAATGCCATCTCAGCTCAGAGCACTTTTACACTGGCCATTGCTGCTTATGCTCTCTCCCTGGGGGATAAAACTCATCCACAGTTTCTTTCCATTGTTTCAGCCCTGAAGAAGAAGGCTTCAGTTAAAGGTATGACTCATTATATAAATTTATTCATCAAGCACCTACTTAACCATACAGAGCCAGCTGACTCTGGCAGCCTGCAAAATTAAGTAAGAACATAATTCCTATATATAAGAACAATCCATCACAAAATAGGGGACCAATGTTCCTGCATTTATTCCTTTACTCTGTGTGTATCTGTCCATTCCTTAAATTAATAAAAACCTATTGAGTACCTGCTGAGTACCAGGCACTACTCTGGCTTCTGGAAATAAAACCACAAACAAAACACACACAAATAATTTAAAATAAATCAGTTATAAAATCTAGGAAGCCTGTAGAAGCCAGAAGAAACTTCTTAAAGCCTGCTACAATTCTGTCAGGTTTACATTTTGTTTGGTGGAGAGGAAGATGTCACATGCAACAGTTCTCTGGGGCTAGCTACTCCTGGCTTTGTGCTCAGGAGTGACCCAGGGCAGTATTCAGGGGGGACCAAATGTGCCAGGGATCAAATCAGGGTCAACAGCTTGCAAGGCAAACATCTTATCTCTTATATTGTCTCTCAAGCCACATTTTTTTTTTAAATTTTTAGTAGTGAGACATCATGAGGTACAGTTGTAGACTTATAAATTTTTGTGCTTGGGTTTCAATTATACAATGATATATGCCAAACACAGTAACAACAAAGTCTCCAATGGAGACGTTACTGGGCCCGCTCGAGCAAATCGACGATCAATGGGAGGGCCTTTACCTTTACCAAATACCCATCCCTCCGCCAGTGCCCATTTCCCACCACCACGGATCCCAGTATCCCTCCCACCCCCATCCCCCCATCCCACCCTGCCTCTGTGGCAGGGCATTCCCTTTTGTTCTCTCTCTCTTATTGGGTGTTGTGGTTTGCAAAAGAGGCAATGGGTGACCATCATGTTTGGTCTATAGTCTACTTTCTCCCATCCTGGGAGGATCGAGCCACATATTTTTAATGCTATTCATGGAACTGATTTGCTAATATCCAGGCAATCCAATCCCCATTTACCGGTTTTGGAGGGATGATCATGGGCAGCAAGACAGCTCTGCCCCTGACAGTGGTACAGCCCGGATGGTGGAAACCACTGCCTACGCTTTACTCACCAGTCTGAACTTGAAGGACATGAGTTACGTCAGCCCCATCATCAAGTGGCTATCTGAAGAGCAGAGGTATGGAGGCGGCTTTTATTCCACCCAGGTAATGTTTCTTGAGTGTTTCCTCCACTTGGGCACATGTTTTACTGCCTTCTGCCATATTGCACCCTCATTCTGGCTTTGATGCTTTTATCCACCATGAGGAGAGTAGCTTTATGACTTCCTGGGGAGATGTTTTAAGCTGAGACATGGGAGGAGGTTGTCAGGCAAAGGGGTGAAGGTGTTTTATGTAAAAAAAAAAAAAACCTACTTTCAGGCTATATGGAGGCCCAGATTCTTCCCCATTCCTCCCAACACCACATTCTTGTGAGAGAGGCATGGGGGAGTGGGGCTTACTTTCATCTCTTCCTGGAACTCTTAACTCTTCAGTCACTGGAAGTGTCCTAAGAAAGGGTATTTGTGCACTTGAGCAAATAAATAAGCTAAGTCTACTTTTCTGCCTTGCTGATTGTTGATAGGATACAATCAATGCAATTGAGGGCCTGACAGAATATTCACTCCTGGCTAGACAACTCGACTTGAATATGAATATCAAAGTCTCCTACAAGAACAAAGGTGACATCCACTCTTATAAGATGACAAAGAAGAATTTCCTTGGGAGGCCAGTAGAGGTGAATGAAGACTTTTTATGTTTTCAAATCTGATGGGACCTTTGAAATATCTGTTCTACCTGAATTGTTCCAATGTTTCTCTTCTTAGACACATAATGAGTACCTCTTTTTTCTTGTTTTTGTTTTGTTTTTGTTTTGTTGTTGTTGTTGTTGTTTTTGGTGGGGGGAACACCCAGTGATAATCAAGGATTACTCCTGGTTCTGCTCTGTGCTCAAGAATTAACTCCTGGTGATGCATATGGGATGCCTGGGATCGAACCTGGGTCAGCTGTGTGCAAGGCAAACACCCTACCCGCTGTACTATTGCTCCATTCCTACCTTGCTGGTTCTAAGCAGAGTATCTACACTTGACACTGGGGTTCAAAAGTAAGGGATTCAAAAACCCTATGGACTTGGGAGGCAGTCATTTAAACAGTGAGTGAGTGTGATGAGACGGAATGACAGATGAGAAGGCCCCCTCAACACAGACTGAGAGGTGGGAAGAAATTGTCAAACTTAGCCACGTTGGCAGATTAAATCTGGAAGAATCTCAGTGAGTTAGCAGGTAAAGAAAAGGGAAGAACATTCCAGACACAGAGAGCAACTTGCACAAAGGTGCAACAATAGAGTCAGGGAGACGGGGGACACCGGGGTGCTTCCCAACTGTCACCAGATGGGAATTGGCATCTAGGCCCCCCAAGACCTTGTCCCATTTCCTTTTCTACTTTTTTAAAATTAAAATCCTTTACTATCTCTGAGAACTTTCCAAAGGAAAGGACACACTGAAGGAAATGAGGTTTTATATTAGTAACTGGCTGCAAGGACACAACTGCTGAAGCATCTATTTCTAATTAGCCCTTTATAGATCATATGCAGGAATATTTAAACAGAGAGATAGTACAGCAGGTAAAGGGCTTCCCTTCCATGCAGCTGGGCTTGATCTCCAGTACCCCAAATGGTACCCTGAGCACTGCCAAGAGTGATCCCTGAGCATAGCAGCCAGATGTGGCCCAATAACAAAACAAAAAAAACGATGAAATATACTATTAACTAGCAGTAGACCATACTTTCTAAAGCTTCTACAAATCAGTTTGTTCAACAGAAATAGGCATAAGAGGAAAATGCAGAAGTTGTAAGCTAGTAGTATAGGAAGATATAAATTAGATATAGATATAAAGAGAGATGGTAATGATAGAGACAAAGACAGACATATTCCAATATTTTCAAATACAAATAAGGGGCCAGAAAGACTGTGAAGCTAGTAGGGCTGACCCAGGTACAGTTCCCTTGAACGCAGCTAACTAGATTCAATTCCTGGTACCACATACGGCTCCCTCTTCCCCACCAGGAGTGATCCCTGAATGCAGAACAAGAATAAGACCTGAGAAAAATCAGGTGTGATCCAAAAACAAAACAAACAAATAAAACTCCAAATAACAACCCAATTTTTCAGAAGATCTTGGAAAAGTCTGTTTTTAACTTGCTGTAGCAGCTGCCCCATCCCATCACCAGATATAAATTTGTGTATGCACAGCCATGTTGAGAGCCCAGGGGCGAGCTGCCAAGAGTATCCCGCCCACACGGCAAAGCCTGGCAAGCTCCCTATGGCATATTCGATATGCCAAAAACAGTAACAAGTCTCACAATGGAGACATTACTGGTGCCCGCTTGAGTGAACTGATGAACAACGGGAGGACAGTGCTACAGTGCTACTGAAATCTGCAGGAAGTCCCTTTTCATTAAGGAGCTGGGTGGAGGAAAAAGCATCCTGCAGCTTAGAGTGAGCAAAAAATCATTCTTCAGATCTCTTGCTCAACAAAATCTCTCCAGGTTTCCTACAGATTAAGGAGTACTTATAAAATAGTTTCTCCGGAAGGAAAACCAACTACTTAGATGATGTCTTCACTTCCCTCCTGGCAGAAGAGACTAAAGAAAAGCAGCACCTAAGGATTTGGCAGGCTTCAGTGGGAGTTTTGTGAAGTGCCCAGATTTCCATCAACAGAAACCAATTGGAAGTGAGGGGGAAAAGGAAGGAGAAGAATATCAAAAGGAAAGTGGGCAGAGCAAAAACAGATGGCACCCGCCTTAGAGTTACATTGAGGTTTCCTATTCTTGGGTGCTACTGAGAACATTCTACTTTAGCGCTTAGGATGCTGAGCCCCAAGCTAGACCCGGAAAGGAATTTATTCAGAAAAGGACAATGAAGAACCCATTTAATCCTGACCATCTGTAAATGAAAATGTAACCAAAAGGGGACTCTGATGCCTCAGTTTTGCTGACTTACAATAGACCTCAGACCTTTTATTTACACGGAGATGTTCTGGAATTTTTCTTTTCTATTATGTGAATGGCTGGAGCGATAGCAGGGCTGGAGCGATAGCACAGCGGGTAGGGCTTTCGCCTTACAAGCGGCCAACATAGCCGACCCGAGTTCGATTCCTCCGCCCCTCTCGGAGAGCCCGGCAAGCTACCGAGAGTATTCGGTATGCCAGACACAGTAACAACAAAGTCTCCAATGGAGACGTTACTGGGCCCGCTCGAGCAAATCGACGATCAACGGGAGGGCCTTTACCTTTACCTTATTATGTGAATGGATGGAGGGATAGCAGAGCGGGTAGGGCATTTGCCTTGCACAAAGCAACCCTGGTTCGATTCCTCCACTCCTCTCAGAGAGCCAAGCAAGCTACCGAGAGTATCCCACTCAGTCTGGCAAGTTCCCCATGATGTATTCAATATGCCAAAAACAGTAACAATAAGTCTCACAATGGAGACGTTACTGGTGCCCGCTCAAGAGGATGTCACTGTCACTGTCCTCCTGTTGTTCATCGATTTTCTCGAGCGGGCCCAGTAATGTCTCTATCGTGAGACTTTGTCAGTACTGTGTTTGGCTTATTGAATACGTCACGGGTAGCTTGCCAGGCTTTGCTGTGAGGGCAAGATACTCTCGGTTGCTTGCTGGGGTCTCAGAGAGGGTCGGACGAATCGAACTCGGGCCGGCCATGTTGGCTGCATGCAAGGCAAACACCCTACCCGCTGTGCTATTGCTCCAGCCCCCGAGAGGATGACAGTGCTATTATGTGAATAAGACCTCAGTGCCTCATCCTTTTACTCCTCCAAGAGTGGTGGAAGGGGAAACACCAATTTTCATGCCTTTCAATTTTCTTCTGAGTTTCTCCACAAGCATAATTTCTAGAGAAAGTTTGAAATCTTGAAACATTTTTTAAACTATTGTGGAATTTTTTTTTTGGTGGAGGGTCACATCTGGTGATGCTCAGGGGTTACTCCTGGTGGTGAGAGAGGAGGCTGTTGGGCGTGGGCCCCCTCTTTTCATGATGCTCCACAACCTCTTCTGCCTCCCTATTAAATGAGCGTTTTTAAAACCTGGTTCTCTCTCCCCCTACTAGGTGCCTCTCAATGATGACCTTGTTGTCAGTACTGGCTTTAGCACTGGCTTGGCCACAGTGCATGTAAGTAACTCTTGGGAATGCTGAAATAATTGGGAGTTATGCGTTTTCACCTACTAAGTAACATAACACTTAGAGATTTTGCCACTAAGTTATAGAAATCTGAATTAGGTTACGATGAATTCAGAAAAATTCATTTACATCATTCTTTCCATCTTAGCTGCCCTCACAATTGTTTTGCAAATGGCTGGGTTGACCCTTGCCTGTATAAAGTATATGTATTTATGGAAATAACGTATATGGGAATATATAGTTATGTATAGTTATAGAATTTTTTGTTATACCTGTAAATGTACATATTCTGTGTGTGTTCACACATGTTCCTATGGTTAGCAACAGCTACATCTCATTCATCCCGCAATGTGAATTAGTACATAAATATAAGGATTTACACATCTTTTATTTTTGTCACTGTCTGCATGGATACAAATAAGCAGCTTGAAGTACCTTACAACTGCCAATGGAACAAAACTAATGATGTATACTTGAGCATAAATTAGCACTCTATTGATGATTTTAATTATATTCATATCTTTAGGTGAGATTGGGGGCATTCAGGGTGGCATACCCATAGATAATGCTCATATCTTCAGCACAACATTTAGTATGCACACATGCGTACACACACACATACACAAACACACACATAAACACACCTACCTCTACTTTGTTGCTTTACCCTCTGCTCTATGGGCTAAGAGAAACTAACTGGCTCTGAGGCCTGATGTGCTAAGTTAGACTGTCTAGAGTGAGGGGGCCAGGGAAAGAGCTCGAGGGTTTGAGCACACCCTTACATGCACAAGGTCTCAATTTTGATTTCCAGTATGACATGTCTCCCTAGCATCACCAGGTGGAATCTGATGGTCTCCCAGAACCTCCAGGTGTGTCCCAAGCATCCTCGAGTATACCTAGTCTGGATCAAAAAAACTGTCCCACATCTCTGAGCACTGCTGGGGAGCCCTCCCCCCAACAAAGAATGCATAGGCTAAATGTACAAGTTAGAGTAAGGTGCTCAGCCTTGACTGCACAGGAGCTGGGCCGAGACTCTGTTGATCTAGAGGTTGATGTGGTCACTTTGGATGTCTCATCTCTGTTTCACATTGTAAAGTTTGCTGGGGAAAAATGAATATTTCAAGCACATCATTTGCCCAGGGTTATGACAATGGCCTCAAGGCACCCAACTCACAGCAACAATACAGAAGCAACACGAGACCTTTTCCATTTTCATATTTTAAGTAGACTCTTCTTGGGTTTTTGGCCCAACATAGGTAAGAACCGTGGCTCACAAAATCAGTACCTCTGATGAAGTTTGCAACTTTTATCTGAAGATTGAAATCCAGAACATTGAAGGTAAAACAACAGGACTTGCACCGTCATTTTGGTTAAGCATGAGGACTACTGGAACACTTCCCTTCTTAGGGGGGAAAAAGGAGTTTGCTCAGAAAACAAACTTCTTTATTAAATCCTTTAGTAGGTTGATATCTGAGTGCCCATCATTGCTCCTTGTTATAATAGCGAGAACTTTAATAATAGACGGAAGGGGGATATTAAATAATTAACATCTAAGTGAACTATATACACTTGTAATCAAGAAACTGTGGTGACTAGCTGCTCGTTTTAAGTGTAGCTAGCTGTAAAACCATTGAAAGGTCTGGAATTTCTGTTCCTCTCAGGTAAGCCTCTGATCCAGGACCCTAACTCTCTCTTCCATCCCCAATCTTTCTGGACTCCAAAGCGTTTGTCAAATGCACATGTTCAAGTCTCCATGTTCATGGTTTCTCAGGACTTGCATTTTTTTCACTGTGTTTTTCCCCCCTCCTATGTTCTTCACTGCCCCTCTCCTGGCTTCTTGCCTCTCCCCTTTCAGTGTATCAGGAGACCTAGGGCTCCTCTCTCCTCCCTGAGAGCTTCTGTTGATGGCTCAGAGGCCTGTTCATATGGGAAACTTTTCATTTACCAGTCAAATCAGGATTCTGCCCTTCCTCCCACCAACTTCCTGAACATATTGCCAACTCACAGTAACCTTTCAGACTCCTTTCTAAAATCATAAATTCATTGAGAGTTTATCATTTAAATCTTACAAATTCTCATTAAGAATCACCTAAAGATTGAAAGATTTCCTGGGATTGTCCACAGCCATAAATTAACGTTTAATATCACCAGAAGTGATGGGGCCATGGAGATAGCACAAGAGTTAAGGCACTTGCCTTGCTCACAGCCCACCCAGTTTTGATCCCCAGTATCATATATGGTACCCTAAGCACCACCAAGAGTGACCCCTGAGCACAGAGTCAGGGGTAAGCCCTAAATACCACCAGGTATAGCCTTCCCGGAAAAAAGAATCCCCAAAAGTGGGGTTGGAGCATGCCCAACACAGTGAATACAGGTCTGGCTCTGAGTTCAATTCCAGCACTTCACAGTCCCTTGAGTATTATTGGGTGTGGCCCTGTTAACCTCCAAGCAAATTTCAGGGTGTCTCTAGCCCTAGGGACCACTGGGCCAAGCATTGAACCATCAGGTCAACATGACCTGCTAAACTTTCCAAGAGGGCCCTTGCCCTTCCACCCCAGAGCACCACTGAAAGAAGAAAAGAAGTCAAATTCTAATAAAGTAACATAATAGGAGACTAACATCTAAGGACAGTAGGGATAAAGGCCAGGAGGATTGCACCACAGCTTGGAAACCAGCCTCATGTGCTGGGGGAAAGGAAGCTGGGATAGAGAAGGGACCACTAAGCAAATGATGGTTGGAGGGCTTGCTCAGGATCGGAGATGTGTGCTGAAAGTAGACTATGGACCAAACATGATGGCCTCTTAGTACCTGTATTGCAAACTATAACACCCAAAAGGAGTGAAAGAGAGGGTAGGAGGGAATGTGCCTGCCACAGAGGCAAGGGTTGGTAGGGGTGAAGGTGGCAGGAGGGATCCTGGAAACATTGGTGGTCAAGAATGGGCGCTGGTGGCAGGGTGGGGGGAGGGGGACATGTCAAATTCTAACCATGAGGGCTGTGGGGAGGAGTACTTGTGTGTGTGTGTGTGTGTGTGTGTGTGTGTGTGTGTGTGTGTGTTGTGGAGATGAAAACTAGGACTTCATACCTCGGAAATGACAAATTATTTGTAGTGTATTCAGAAACCTGTTGATGAATGTTTCAGTTTTGGCAGATTCCAAATTAGCAACAAAGGGTTTACTCCATTTTTCATTTCTTTGCTTGTCTGTGTGTTTTTTGTGCCAGGATCGAGGTATGGAGACTCCGACTACTCAGAATACAAGCGCATAGTAGCCTGTGCCAGGTGAGCCCTTCCCTCCAGGGGAGAGAACAGACATGTCAAGCCCTAGTTCCACCTTGTTATTATTTCTACATAACTTTCTCTTTTTAAGGATGGCCAGAAGATGCAAAAAGTGCTCACTCAATTTTTTTAATACAGAGCATCATAATAGACATTCGTCAATATCAAACTACTCTCTATAGGTTACAGTTTTGTTGTACTCTTAGATAGTTTTTCCTCCTGGTTGTTTTTATCCTCCTTCTAATTTAAACAGCTTAACACTAATTTTTTTCTAACTTAGAAAGGCAAAGCTATGATAAAAGTATCAGGGAAAAGAGTCAAAGACACTCATATAAACAGCTCCTATTCAGAACCAGTTTCTCAACTCAGGTTGCTCATTGTATTCAGGAGGAGAATCTGTAAAACTACCCAGAACCCCCTCTTCACCCTCCCGGTGCGGGCTAAAGAAGGATTGCTACCCTCTTCGGATAGCCAGAATACAGCCGTCTAAATTGGCCACTGTATTCATTTACTGTTGGCACTAGATAGCAATTCAATGAAAAACCAATTAATTAAAAACAATTCACTTTATTGTCCCACAGGACTGGAGGCCAGACTCAGAGGCTCTAGGAAGGATTCATTTTCTTATTTTCTTCCTATAGTCTAGAGGCTGCCCAGAGCCCTTGGCTTGTGGTCCCTCCCTCCATCTTTAAAGTCAGCGGCACCACCTCTTCCAATCTCTTTCTTTGACTCTGAGTCCAGCTTCCATCATCACTTCTCTGACTCTCCTGCCTCTTCCTCTGATTTGTAAAGACCCCTGGTGATAGTTGGACCCACCTAGATAATGCAGGATATTCTCCCTATCATAAGATCCTCAACTTGGAGCCAAGCAATAGTACAGCAGGAAGGGTATTTGCATTGCATGCAACTGACCGATTTCTATCCCCAGCACCTCATCTAGTCCCCTGGGCACCACCAGGAGTGCTCCCTGACCACAGAGCCAAGAGTAATCCCTGAGCACTTGCTGGTGTGGCCCAAAAAAGAACAAAAACAAAAACTAAGACCCTCAATCTTATCACATCTACTATTCCCCAAGACACATGGTCTCATGTTCAGAGGAGTATGATACAGGTATCTGGGGGTGAGAGGTGTTTTTCTACTTACCGCAGTCACCATTCAAAAATGTACACGAGAGACCAGAGCAATAGTACAGTGGGTACAATGGGAAAGGTGCCTACCATGCATGTTACAGACCTGGGTTCAATCCCCCACATTCTATATGGTTCCCTAAGGACTGCCTGGGTGATTCCTGAATACAGAGATAGAAGCAATCTCTGAGCATCGCCAGGTGGGGCACAAAAACAAAAAAGTGTATGTGAAAATACGGGTTTCTGGAAACATGTGAATTTCCCTTTATGATCACAAGGAATGGGTCCACTAGTGGCAGAGGCAGGACTAGAACTCAGTCCTTTGCTTTCCCTTCCACTGAGTACTCCTGTTGTTTTCTCTCCTTAACTCTTTCTGCCCTCATTACAGTTATTTGCATATATCCCATGATGCCCAAACACTTAGGATGAATGACTTAGACTGTCTATGAAGCTGTTTGACAGATTAATGTTGTAAAGGATTTGGGGAATGAATTTTGGGATTTCTCTTGATTTATAAATACAGAAAATGGGGCCAGAGCAGTAGTACAGTAGGGAGGGCATTTGCCTTGCATGCAGACAGCCCAAGTTTGATCCCCAGAATTCCATATGGTCCCCTGAGCACCTCCAGGAGTAATACCTGAATCCAGAGCCAGGAGAAACCCATGAGCATTGCTGGGTGTGATCCAAAAGCACAGAGAGAGAGAGAGAGAGAGAGAGAGAGAAACAGAAAATGAGACCCAAAGAGGTGAAATAACCTGCCAAGTTCTCACAGAAGTAGAGACCTCATCCCCAGACCCTGAAACCTGGTCCAGCTCCTGAAGCCTCTTCCATCAGGGCAAGATGGCCTCACAGAATTACATGTAGTTGCCACCATCTCCTTCCCAGCCAGTGCTGTCCTGCTGGCAGTTCCCAGCCTAGTCACAGTCTTCTAAGGGTTCTTTCGCAGGCAGGCCAACCTGTAGTCCCCACTGCCTCCCTGGGCCCATCTCTGCCCTTTTTCCCCTCAAACACCCATCTTCATCCCCTGCCATCTTTCATTCAGACCACCCTCTGCTAAGCAGCACCCTTCCTCTCCATAGCCCCTCCTACTCTCTCTTGGGCCTAAATCCATAACCTGAAGCCATAACACTTATCACAGGGTGGTATGTGCAGACTTGTTCTGGGTAGAGTTCAAATCAATGCCAGACCTAACAGGGAAGCTTCCAGAGAGGATATGAAAAGGTGAGTGGGTACCTGGCGTGGGGAGCCTCAGCCATGAAATACTCTAGTGATCTTCAACCAATGCACTTCACTCCTCCAGGTTCTTCTATAAAACAAGACTATTGGATTGTCTCATCTCAATTTGTCAGTTCTGGTATTCTTCAGCTCCACCTATAGAAGTAAAAAGGGCACTTATCAAAAAATCATTCATCCAGATTTGTTAAATGGACTTTCTCATTTTTACTGAACGAAAGATGTCAGATTGAATATTCTGTCTTTCGGTTGTTAAAAAGGGAGATAGAGCGTTTTTATTTAAAAAAAAAAAAAAGCCAGGTGGAGTATGCTTTTGACTCTGAGACTCTGGAGTTTGATTGGAAAAATTCCAAAAGTCATTGTGTAGTACCTATTCATATGAGACATTCTTTGCTTCCAATATTCTCTCTCCTGATTTTTTTTTCCAAAATACGAGTGTACAGTTTCTGTGTCTGGGGGGTCTCTTTTATGTATTTACTTGGTTCTTAGTTGTTGAGTTTCTTTTTGGTTTTTCTTACAACTGCTCTGTTGCTTTCAGAAGAAAAGGAAAAGGGATTTCATTCCTTCCCTTCCCTCAGAACAAAATGTCTTTGGGGAAGATTGCTTTGGCAGCAAGCGAAGGGCTTTTTTGAAAGGAAGGTTTCTGTTCCCGGGGGGTGAAACCGTTGCCATGGCAACTAGTCATCAAGGCTCCAGCCACTTTTTATAGACATTCTCTGCTCAGAAGGCCTTCTCCGTCCTGTTGACAGAGTATTTGCATCTGTGAGCGAAGTTTCCCTGCTCTGGCCACACATACCCTTCCAATTAGGGAGATGCCCAGATGTTATCATCTAGTTCCCACTTGTCTTTTGTGCTGTTCTACATCGTTGATTTGGTAAGATAATAGGGTTAAAATTGTAACCGCCTGCTCTTTGACGATATTTTTAAGTATTATGGTAAAATATGGCATCCAAAACTTCCAAAAGGTCTGGCCTGAAACAGGCTCTGTGAGGAAGCAGAGTGACCGCGCTCTTCACTAATTGGCAGTTGAAGCAGGAGCAGCGATAGTGGCGCTGTGTTGGTCCGTGGTTCCCAGGTCCTTCAATATTTTCTAGAATAAAATATTGGCTAACAAAGATGCTCAGACTTAGATGTAAATAGAATGGTTTATTGGAAAATAGAAGGGAGCCCTCCCGTTGATCGTCGATTTGCTCGAGCGGGCCCAGTAACGTCTCCATTGGAGACTTTGTTGTTACTGTGTCTGGCATATCGAATACTCTCGGTAGCTTGCCGGGCTCTCCGAGAGGGGCGGAGGAATCGAACTCGGGTCGGCCATGTTGGCCGCTTGTAAGGCAAACGCCCTACCCGCTGTGCTATCGCTCCAGCCCGGCTGAGGAGGAACTTAGTATACAACCAAGTTAAATATAGGCTCATTTTGTGAGATTTTTTTAAACAGGAAAACTGGGTCTTTGTGTTACTTATCAAATGACAAGAATTTTTACAGAAAATGCAAGGATTGGGGGCAGAGGGATAGTACAGTGGGTAGGCTGTTTGCCTTGCACATGGCTGAACTGGGTTCGATTCCCAGCATCCCATAGGGTCCCCCTAGCACTGCCAGGAGTAATTACTGACTGCAGAACCAGGATAACCCCTGAGCATTGCCACTTGTGACCCAAAAAGCAAAAAAAGGAAGGAAGGAAGGAAGGAAGGAAGGAAGGAAGGAAGGAAGGAAGGAAGGAAGGAAAATGCAAGAATTGTACTGATTGATGATCTGACTAGCTTCAGCCCTTTGGGGTTATCTGACTGAACTTGAGTGTTAGGTATTATCCATTGACTCTTAGTCCCAGTGAACCTAAGACCTAGGCCAGAATCTATGACCTTGGGGAATTGTTAACTTAAATGTGGGGCGGGGCCAGTCAAAAATAGGACTGCTCACAGCAGCTAGAGAGTGGAAATGGAGGCTTTGTCTTTCACACCAAAGTACCCCCCATTTCACCAACTCCCCTTTGCAGAAGTACACCTACCTTGTGTGGATAATTTGGCCCTCTTTGAAAGCCTTTCATGCTGCACTCATGATAGCACTCATCTCCGCAACTCAGAATGAATCCTTGGAATTGGATATATTTGTGTGAGTGCCTTGGGTGAAGTGGGGAGTGAGGGAGGTGTCCTCAACAAAGCAGTGCTGGGGGCTGGAGCGATAGTAAAGCGAGTAGGCCGCATCCTGTGTGGTCCCCAAGTACCACCAGGAGTAACTCCTTAGTACAGAGCTAGGAGTAAACCATGTGCATCGCCATGTGTGACTCAAAAAGCAAAAATAAAAAAAGAAAAAAGGAAAGAAAAGAGTGTTTCCCCAGCTCTGCTGCACTTGCCTCACTCCCCTCTGGGGAAATGCCTGGCATGGGGTAGGGCTGGCCAAGTCTATACAATCATCTACACAGCACGGACACTTGCGTCCCTCCAGCCCCACGAGGTAATCATCAATCTGCACCTGAAATCCATTCATTCCGCACCGTGCCAGAACTGGCACCCACTGCCCCAGTTCCACAGGAGCTGTGGGTGCTAGCTCTAGTGAGAAATTGCTTTTTTGCAGGAAAAGGTCAGTCTGACATCTGCACAGGTGGTGCAAGAATGTCACCTTCCCACTCAGAAAAGAATTTCCAGAGGAGTTGAATCACGATCATGATCATCCTGTTGTTCGTCCATTGCCTCGAGCAGGCACCAGTAACGTCTCCTTCTTCCTAGCCCTGAGATTTTAAAAGAGCCATATTCAATACTCTTTCAGGGCTAGGAGAATGAGACCTATCATTGTTACTGGAATTTGGCATATTGAGTACAACACGGGAAGTTTGCCAGACTCTGGCGTGGGGGCAGGATACTTTCGGTAGCCTGCCGGGTTCTCCAAAGTGAAAATGAGATAAGATGTCATGTGGCTGCAAATGCAGCCGCGCTTCCGGGAGCTGGGTTTTATAGTCTCTGGAGTTGAATAGTAAAGCAAAATACTTTTATCTAAGGAAATTTACTTACATAAATATGAGAGGAGAGAAAAAAAGAGAAAGATACATGTTCCAAAAAAGGGTACAGTCTTTTCCAGAAGAGGAAAAAGCAGAGAATTGCTTTAGGGAGAAGGTCATATACAGTATCTCTGAAATGTCTTGTCTTGAAGCTTTCTGCATACATTAAAGTTAGTCTGCGTGTTGTCAAGGGAAAGCCTTGGACTCTTTTTTTTTCTTTTTGGGTCACACCCAGTGATGCTCAGGAGTTACTCCTGGCTTTGCACTCAGGAATTAGTTCCTCCAGTGCTCAGGGGACCATATGAGATGCTGGGAATCGAACCTGGGTCGGCAGCGTGCAAGGAAACACCCTATCCACTGTGCTATTGCTCCAGCCCCAAGCCTTGGACTCTTGATGGTCGTTTCAGATTCTTATCACCACCTTTACGTTGTCCATCAGCTTATCTTTATCTGAGGGGACCCATCCTTCTCTGAATGAGTCCTCCATTTCTGCATTTGGGTTGTACCTCAGTTTCTCCAGATCTGAAGAGCTCAGGATTTGCATCTCAAATGAACATGTTCCTCATGTCTTTGGTCTCCTTCAAGACTAGATGATTTCTTCATAACTTTTATTATTTCCCAAAAACTGATTACCAGGACCCTCTATCCCCTGTCAGCCTATAACATACTTAAAACACAAGTTTAATTTTTTCACAATTAACTTTATAAATAATAGAGTGAGCTCTTTAAAGGAAAATCATATATGGAAATATCTCAGTGAGAACTTGGATAAAATCCCTATGCTTCCTACTTTTCCCCTTTTGAGAGTTCTTTTTTTTTTTAATCTCTTCCCAGTGGGGGAGAAGGGAAGGGGTGGGGGAAACATCAATTTTCATGCCTTTCAATTTTCTTCTGAGTTTCTCCACAAGCATGATTCATAGAGAAAATTTGAAATCTTGAAATATTTTTTAAGCCATTGTGGAATTTTTTTGATGGAGGGTCACATCTGGTGATGCTCAGAAATTACTCATGGTTCTACACTCAGAATCACTCCTGGCAGTGTTCAAGGGACCAGATAGGATGCCAGGGATTGAACCTAGGTTGGCCACATGCAAGGCAAGTGCTTACTCTCTGTACTATCTTTCCAGCCCCTATGGAATTATTTTAACAGTAAAGGGTATGACAAAGAAACTCATTTATAATCTCACATCCAAAGAAAACAATTGCTAATATTTTCATACATTTCTCTTTAGTCTTCTTTAAAATGTTCACTGAGTCTGTCTCTCTGAAAATATAACTAATTTTCTTATTTGAACACTTAAAAAATAAATAAAAGAACTAGCATGAGAACCAAGACACTCAGCTCTAACATGAACAAGTCACGTAACCTTAAATAACTCCATCTCTGCAACTCATGAACCATGACCTTGGACTGAATGATTTCTATACCTCTTCCAACTCCAGAATGATGGTGCACTGAGATGACCCATCAGGAAAGTAAAATACTGAAATTGATAACTCAGGTCCCCTGCAGCTCAAAATTTCAAAGATTTCAAAATGCCTATTGTAAAGAGACAAATAACTGTAGACGCAAATTAAAAACTATTAAAAAAAATCTGTAGATGCAAATGAAAAACCTGCTGTTGCAGATGACCAATGTAAAGTGGGGAGAGGAAAAAGATGGCAGCCTTGAGAAGGGCATTTATCACTTCCTCTCTGCCCACTCCCAGGAAAGTGCCTAGGAATTCTAGGTCTGACGAAAGTCTATGATGAGCTCCAATACAGTACAGACCTCACAAGGCAGCCATCAGGCTGCAGCTGAAATCCACTTGTTTTGCAAGGCGTGGGAGATGCTTCCCGCCACCCTAATCCTCATGGAGCCATGATGCAAGGAAGGCAAGTCTGTCTTCAGTTTTCCCCAAGCTTTCTAGGTCATCACCTTTCCCTCGTAGAAAAGAATTTCAGGAGGAGACAAATAGTGAAGCAAAACAGTTTTATTTAGAGATAGATAATGAGAAAAGAAAGAAAGAATAACACCTTCTTCATATTGCCTTGGCCTAGGGTTTCCTTTGGACTGAAAAGTTAATCCAAGTATTGCCACAGAGGAAGAACTTTGACTTTTGGTGATCTTCTTTCATGTCCTCATCACAGATCTTTATTTGTGTTGTAGTTTCCCCTCTCCTGCAAGGGTCCAAGCTTCATCTGAGCCAGCACTTGGGCCAGTTAGATTCTTATCAAGCCTTTATTTCTGTGTCCACAAAATGGTCCAGTCATAACACTCTTAGCTACTTGAGGGCTAGTGACAAAGTAACTTCTTCAAGTTCCATCTTGGTTTTATTGCTTCTCAAGAACTCATTACCAGGCCCTTCCCATCACCACCAACATCAACCTGACTGATCTACTACTAATAAATAGGATCTTTTGTTTAAAAGCCCACTTGTGTATTCCATCTTCTAATTCTGACTTATTCTAGCTACAAGCCCAGCCAGGGAGAATCATCCTCCGGATCCTCCCACGCAGTGATGGATATCTCATTGCCTACTGGAATCAGTGCAAACACAGATGACTTAAAAGATGTAAATATTTCATTTTAAATATTATCCTAAATATTTGTTTTCTATACTTAGTTAAAACAAAGCTATCTCCTTTCCTTCTGATGTGTCACTGTCATCCATGTGCCTGAAATCATCCTTTCAAACTGAAAATTTATATAGGTTATGATTTTTCGATTCCTCCCTCTCTCTCAGAGAGTCCGGCAAGCTACCGAGACTATCCTGCCCGCATAACAGAGCCTGGCAAGCTCCCCGTGGCATATTCGATATGCCAAACACAGTAAAAAGTCTCACAATGGAGACGTTACTGGTGCCTGCTCGAGGAAATGGATGAATAATGGGAGGACAGTGCTACAGTGCAGTGCTATGATTTTTAAAAATGAAGTGGGGAAACAATACATACATTCACAATTCAGAAAATATGAACCAATTTGATAACATGGTTCAGGACTTACCAAGAGGAAGAGCTGCTCTTTAACATCTTTGAATAGAAAATTCATAAAATTATATTCCAGTGATCTAACATCCCATCATTAAACAGAAGCATTTAAACAAAAAAGACCATGAAATTAAATCCAAGCTTTTTTTTCTTTCCTTCTTAAGCTTGTGCAAAAGGTGGACCAACTAGCAAATGATTACCAAATCCAAGATGGTCATGTTATTCTGCAACTGGATTCGGTAAGCACCACCTCCAATGGTAATTTCTTTACTACTGCTGGTCAAAATTTACAGACTCGATGGTTTACTATATGCCTCTTCTCTCCCATTAACTTGAGTCTTGAATTTGTTCAACAGATTCCCTCCAAAGATTTCTTCTGTGTTCGATTCCGGGTATTTGAACTTTTTGAAGTTGGCTTTCTGAGTCCTGCTACATTCACTGTGTATGAGTACCACAGGCCAGGTAATCCCCTCTACATTAACCTTCCTTTGTTTTTTGTTTGTTTGGTTTTTGCTTTTGGGGTCACACTTAGCAATGCTCAGGGGTTACTCCTAGCTCTGCACTCAGGAATTACTCCTGGAGGTGCTTGGGGGACCAAATGGGATGCTGAGGATCAAACCCGGGCTGGTCTCATGCAAGGCAAATGCCCTACCCACTGTACTATCATTCTTGCCCCACCTTCTTTTTTTTATTTCTTTTTTTTTTTTATTAGTGAAACACCATGAGGTACAGTTGTAGACTTACAAACTTTCATGCTTGGGTTTCAGTTATACAATAATCGAGTACCCATCCCTCCACCAGTGCCCACTCTCCACCACCAATGATCCCAGTAGCCCTCCCACTCCCCCCCAACCTCCATCCCCCCACCCCACTCTGCCTCTGTGGCAGGGCATTCTCTTTTGCTCTCTCTTTCCTTTAGGGTGTTGTAGTTTGCAACAGAGGTATTGAGTGGCCATCGTGTTCGATCTAAGGTCTACTTTCAGCACGCATTTCGCATCTTGAGCGAGTCTTCCAAACATCCTTTATTTGGTATTCCCTTCTCTATCTGAGCTGCCTTTTCCCCCAGCATGTGCTGCCAACTTCCAAGCCATGGAGCAGACCTCCTGGTACTTATCTCAACTATTCTTGTCTTGCCCCACCTTCTTTCATTTGTATTCATTACAGAACCCTAAGAGATTCACTCATGGCCTGGAAATTTTATATATTGACTCTCTCAAGATTTCATGCAGGCAATTGTAAGACTTTTTGAACAAATTATTTCATCTTACTGGTTATCGTTTATTTATTTTTAAGTAACTGGATTAAATTGCTCCCAGTATTAAATTTATTTGCCTCAGCTCTGTCTCTGTTGTTCATTTTCAGTGGTCACTTCTCTCCTTTCATAGAGAAGCCCACTGAGTTTTTCTTTACTCTTCCAAAATTCATTTATGCTTCAACCCTCTTCTCATCACATTTTATGGCAGCTCTATTAGAACAGTTATCATGTTCCAATTACTCATTTGTATGTATTTCTCATCAGTCCCAGACAGAATGCTTCCATTTTCATATTTTAATGTCCCTAGTGTGTAATTGATGAAAGTTTGTTAAAGAAAGACCCCACGACAAAAAAAAAAAAAGAATGACCCCCTGGTTGATCATTCAGCCACTGATGAGGAAGTGAAATGAAGATCTCCTCAGTTGGCAAAAGAAACTACTTTCCTTTGAACATGGCTACTTATTACAAAAACTTTTAAGTGGCAGACTCTTGACACCCATTCAATTTATCTTCTAATCAGTCATGGTCTCCCGTTGTTCATCGATTTGCTCGAGCAGGCCCAGTAACGTCTCCATTGGAGACTTTGTTGTTACTGTGTTTGGCATATCTTCTAATATCACAAATAAAATATCTACCATATATATATATATATATATATATATATATATATGTGGAGCGATAGCACAGTGGTAGGGCATTTGCCTTGCACACAGCCAACATGGCTGACCCGAGTTCAATTCCTCCGCCCCTCTCGGAGAGCCCGGCAAGTTACCGAGAGTATCTCACCCGCCTGCTATCTGTGATGTATTCGATATGCCAAACACAGTAACAACAAAGTCTCCAATGGAGACGTTACTGGGCCTGCTCGAGCAAATCGATGAACAACGGGAGGACAGTGACAGATATATACATATATATCATATATGTAGATTGTTTCACTGTATCACTGTCATCCCCTTGTTCATCGATTTGTTCAAGCAGGCACCAGTAACATCTCCATTCGTCCCAGCCCTGAGATTTTAGCAGTCTCTCCTTACTCGTCCTTCCCAACGGTGCCATATTGGAGGTTCTTTCAGGGTCAGGGGAATGAGACCCATTACTGTTACTGTTTTTGGCATATCTAATACGTGTCAGGGAGCTTGTCAGGCTCTGCTGTGTGGGCGGGATACTCTTGGTAGCTTGCCGGGCTCTCCGAGATGGATTGAGAATATATATAAGAGAACAGAAGATTGTTTAGTTTTGATCAAATCTGCAAGACATTTAGGTATCTACATATCAACAGACTTTTCTTCCCCAGGCTAAATAATTTTAATTCTTTCAGGTTCATCATATAATGTATTTCCTCGCATTTTCAGAAGCACCAAATATTTTTATTCTATGAAACAGATATTGGGCAGAATTTCAAGCACATGACTAAGTTAATAAGAAGAGAATATTGGAAAGGTGGATAAACCCCTGCCAGGGCAGGTTATTGATACTCTCACCTCCCTGAGCTATTAAAGGTGGGAGCAGAAGGAGAGTAGGTCTTTCTCCAAGTCCCCATCAGAGAGGGCCAGAGGGATAGTACAGGTAGGTAAGGCACTTGCTGCCCTGCATGCTCCCATCATGGATTTGAACCTCAGCAACACAGATATCCTCTAAGCACAGAGTCAGGATTAAGCACTCGGCACCACCAGGTATGCCCCCAACACACACATACAAAAAAAAAAAGTGGACTCACTGACTGATAAATGTGTTGTACATTGATCCATTCACTTCTAACCACGTTTTCACCCCACAGATAAACGATGCACCATGTTTTATAGCATAACCCACACCAAACTTCAGAAAGTCTGTGAAGGAACAGCGTGCAAGTGTGTAGAAGGTAAGCATTCAGCCCATTTGGGCTGTGAGCCTGCTTATTTTTTTTTTAATTTGCTTTTCAATTGAATCACTGTGCGAAACAGTTACAAAGCTTTCATTTTTGAGTTTCAGTCATGCAATGATGGAACACCCATCCCTCTGCCAGTGTACATTTTCCGCCACCAATGTCCCCAAGTATCCCTCCCGCCCTACCATCCCACCCCTCCCCCTGCCTCTATGGCATACAATATTCTTCTTTCTCTTTACTTGTGGGCATTAAGGTTTGCAGTACAGATAGTGAGAGGCCATCATGTTTAGTCCTTTCTCTACTTTCAGCACAAAGCAACACTCGTCATCAGGGCTTAACCAGGGCTTAGCTGTTTGAAAATGTGTCATTTAATCGCAGATGGCTAAGGAATGATTCCTTGAATGCTATAAAGCTACTTCTTCACAACACCTGAACATTAAGGTCATTTCTACAGAGGCAGAGAAACGCCATTTAACATCATAGGAGTAATGTGATGTGAAATTCTTACCTTCTGCCTGAGTTGTTCTGTTTTTGTAACTTTAACCATTTTTATTGCACCACTGGGACTTACGATATTTTTATGCATCCATCATTCCAACACACACCAGAGAGCCCACTTCCTTTCACCAGTATCCCAAGGACACCTACCATCTCCCCTCCCGAGTTAACACATTCGATAGACAAAATCTCCAATTCTGATGTGTTGACACGTCGCACACTTGAATTCACACTGATGCTTTGACCAGTTATTCACTTGTTACATTTTTTTATCCCATATTAGAGATTTTTTTAATTTATTGTGGAGGTGGTAACACCTACAAACACATAGATGAACTGAACTAAACTAAACTAAACTTCTAAAAGTCCGCAGAATTGAAGACTATAAGTTGGTAACTTTTTTCCAAAAGGATAAATCTCTCTTTTTTACAGGCATATAAATAGTATGACTAATTCTGTGCTGACACATTTTTAAAATAAATGAAATAGATAAATGCTACAAATGTAAAATTTAGTAAATGGGGATAATTAGTAAATTTTTTATTTTTTAAATTTTTAATTTTTAACTTTTTTATTGAATCACCATGATATACACATTTACAAAGTTGTTCATAATTGGGTTTCAGTCATACAGTGTTGCGAGACCTGTGCCTGAAACATTGTACAAATTAAGCAAATTTTAAGCAGAAAATCTGAAAAATCTACAACACTATAAAAATGTATTTTGTCCTAAGAAAAAAGTATTGGTTTCATGTTAACAAACTATCATAGATACTGCTTAAGTATCGGCATTTATAAATAAAAGATTGTAATAAAAATCTCATGGATGTTTTAAAAAATAAAACACCTGATCTGACATAAAACATTAAACATAAACAAAACATTAATTCATTATTGAAAAGCATAAAATCCCTAAGATTTAGGCAATCCCTAGATTTAAGATAAACAAGTCATTCTTGCTCCATAAAGGAAAACCACATAAGCAATGAGTGAATATTATATTAAATGGCAAAGTATTGAGATTATTGTCTTATCTTTTAAAGAAGCTTCTTAATGCTTCTTTAGAAAATAACTAATGTCAAGAGAATACAGGAGAATTCATGGAGAGAGAATATAGTGAGTAGGGTGCTTACTTTGCACATGGCCAACACAGGTTGAGGCCCCCTGAGCACTATCAGGAGTAATTCCTGAGTGTAGAGTGAGGAGTAAGCCCTGAGCGTTGCCTGGTATGCAAAAGGAAGAGAGAGAGGGAGGGAGGGAGGGAGGGAGGGAGGGAGGGAGGAAGAGTTGCTCTTTTCTGTCCCTGTTGGTCTTCACCCAAGGATAGGAAGGATAATTGTGAGCAGTGCAAGATTTGATGAGTAGAGTTGTGGCATGGTTCAGGTGATATGGCACTGGTCTATTGATATGGTGAATGTATGGTATGGATGCTGGCAGGACTTAGCCAGAAGAATGGGAAATCCACTCTCATCCAAAACTTCAAAGATGTCAGCCAAAAGATTAATCTCACCTGGAGGGGTAGGGGAGCAAGCAAAGGTTCAGGAGATATGGAGCTGAGCCTCTTGATATGGTGGAGGTCTAGAATGAAGTGGGTCTTTTAGTATAATGGGACCACAACCTACAGAAGAAAGTAGCAATGAAATATAAGCTCATCAACTGGCCGTGATCCAGAGACTCACAAATAAACTTGGAAGAGATCAACAAGCTGCAGAGATGCCTCCAGACACCACACCAGGCTGAACCTCATATATACTCACCCTGGAGGGGGGCGGGTGAGTCCCCCCACCCACTCTAACAGAGCCATGGCAGCCAAAAACCTCTAGATTCCAATTGCTGCCATGCTCACGAACTATCTCCACAGGCTCACAAGAGCCTCGTTCATGAATGAAGCGGCTGAAAAACTCAGGTATGCAGGTTTTGTGACCAAAATATCCAGGGTCTCACAGAATTGGGGATGAGAGATCTCCTCCCATCTCCCTGTTTTTCCAGGAGCTTGGCAGTGATGTCCACAAACTGCCCCTGGCACCATATAAGCTCATTAACAGCCATATAAATTAATTCACTGGCCATGATCCAAAGACTCACAAATAAATCTTGGAAGAGATCAACAAGCTGCAGAGATGCCTCAGGTCTGAAAGTCACTATCAAGTTAAAAATTTAATTCAAGGGGCTAGAACGACAGCACAGCAGGTAGGGTGTTCGCCTTGCATGTGGCCAACCTGGGTTCAATTCCCAGCATCCCATACAGTCCCCCAAGCACCGTCAGGAGCAATTCTGAGTGCATTGCCGGGTGTGACCCAAAAAGAAAAAAAAAATAAAATAAAAAACTTAATTCAAGTTGCATCACCTTATTTAAAATTTTAGAATTCCTGGAGCGCGCAGCTGCATTTGTGGAGCATCTATGGCCATGCAATATCTCATACTCTAATACCACTGATGTAAATAAGTAGCACACATTGGATAGGATGTGAGGTAGAAAGCAACCAATCTCAAAAAAAATTTTAGCACACAAAGCTCAACCGGTAACATTAAAAATGTTTTATACAAGAATTCAGTGGCTCCAGGGTGAGACACAGAAATCTTCGTGCACGTTCCTCTAAAGAAAGCTTTTTTGATAATTTTTAGAGAATTATGCATAATAAGCAATACCAAATAAATTATTTAAGTCCTGCTATAGGGGCAGGCTTGGATGGTGGCTGGAAAAATTCTAAATAATGGTGGTGAGTAAGGTGTAATGGTGGTGGGATTGGTGCTGGGATATTGAACGTAATAAATTATTGTGAACAGACTTATAAAAATAAAATTTATTTTAAAAATCAAAGTAGCACTGCAAGTATAAAGCAATAATATGGAAACTGCTATAATCCACTGTAATTCGTTGTTTTTTTAAAAAATAAAGAAAAAGAAGAGAACAAAATCAGGAACTGGATGCTAATTCTTCTTTATTCCTAATCTCCAGCTCTATTAAAATGTAATTGATACAGGACATTGTACAATGTAAGGTGTTACAACAGTGATAATTTGACATATTCATAGACTGTAAAAAGATTTTCTCAATAGCGTTAACAAACACCTTCATCATGTAGCAGTTACTTCTTCTTTATGCTGAGAACATTAAAACCCTACTCTCTTGGCAGCATTTGAGTATCTGGCACAGTATTATTAACTAGAATCCCCCAGCTATGCATTATATCCTCATACTTCTGAATTTTGTAGCTGAAGTTTGAACTCTTTGACCAAAAGCTCCCCATTTCCTCAACTTCCTATTGTTCATCACTTTACTTTCTCTATGACTTAGGTTCCATGTATAAATACCATCATACAGTGTTTACCTTTCTCCTCTAATTTCTCACTTGTCCTAATGCCCTCAAGTCCATCCAACTTGTTTCAAATGGCAGTTTCCTCCTTTCTTTTGGCTGAATAGTATTTCACTGCATAAATACACCAATCTTCATTCATTAGTGAATATTGAATTCACCTGTGTGTATGTGTGTATATACATACATATGTATCCATATATCTCTTTATTAGTTCCAAAGGAACTGAGAAGTGGAATTACGGAAACACATGGTTGTTTTCATTTAAATTCGTCTTTCACATGAGTGAAATAATATGATATTTTCATGATTTTTTTTCACTTAGTATTATTGTGCCTCCAGGGTACTTCTATTTTGCCAAAAATGACAAAATGTCATTATTTTTACAACTTATATTAAATCCAAAAGTATCCTGCCTGCACAGCAGAGTCTTGCAAACTTCCCGTGTCGTATTCAATATGCCAAATACCAGTAACAATGATGGGTCTCATTCTCCTAATCCTGAAAGAGCATTGAAATGGCTCTTTTAAAAGCTCAGGGCTAGGAAGAAGGAGACGTTGCTGGTGCCTGCTCGAGGAAATCGATGAACAACAGGATGATCGTGATCGTGATATTAAATCCATTGAGTTCAATTGCCTTGTCTTCTTTATCCATTACTCTATTCATGGCATTTAGCTTAGAAGCATTTATATTTACAAGGAGTTAAATGTGGAGTTACTAACCACCCTAAGAACAAGTCTTAGTTCTAACATTTGGGTTGGTTTATTGTGTTTTGTTTTATTTCATAGTTTCTTTTTATAATTCTTTAAAAATTTTTCTATTTTTTAACTTTAATCATAGTGAGATACACAGTTACAAAGTTGTTCATATATTCATATATCTTATTTCATATATAGTTTCTTTAAAGAAAAGTCTTAATGTCACCTGTATTTATAAAATTATATTGGATGGACTTAGGGCTCTTAAGAAAGTATTTACTCCCAGAGAGAATGTCTATCTTTACATGAACCTAATATTTTTTTTTACGAAACCCAGCTGACTGTGGACAAATGCAGGAAAAATTGGATCTGACCATCTCTGCAGGTACTAGAAAAGAAGCTGCTTGTAAACCAGAGACTGCATATGGTAAGTGTAATATACACATCCATTAAATGGGAAATGTTATGAATATGCGATGTTTAGAAGAGCAACCATGTTACATAATGATTATATGGATACCGTATTTAGTGTGTTCTTTTGAAAGAAAATATTGACTTTCACTTTGACTTTTTAACATGCAAACTTATCTATCCTTCAGCAAATAAGTGTGATTTTCCTTCTTAATAAATGACGGGAATAACATGCACACTGAGTCAAAAAAAAAAAAGACTACGGGGGTATGGTGCCACCAGCAGGTCAATCTGCTTAGGTGCCACCAGCACTTACCTATGAGGCAAGTGCATCAGCAGCCTGATGTCGCCTTCAGACTTCCACATACCCCAAAATTGCTGCTGTGCTTTTGGCCAGACCCCAAAAACTTGGGGCAAAGTTTACCAAGAAAGTAAACGGCCAAAAGTTAGGTATGTGGGAGACACACCCACAAACCACCTCTGGCTTAGCTATATAATTGGAGACATGGCCTCTCTGGTTGCTGATCAAGCTGCTTAATGGCCATGATCCCAGAGACTCAGAAACAAATCTCGGAACCCAATGGCTTTTGGCAGAAATGCGTCCGGACCCCACAGTAGGTTACTGTTGCCGGGCCACCCCAGTGCGGGAAAGGATGCTGTCCCTCCACCTGCTCCCCCTAGGCGGCTCAGTGGCCGCCATCCTCCAGAGGCCATTGGACATTCAGGTTTGGGCCCACAGTGATGAGACACATGGGACCTCACAGGATGGGGGTGGAGCCGGCCATTTCCTCCCTGCCCCAACAAAACCCCGAGTCACCGCCCACAAACTGCCTCTCTGGCTCCTGATCAAGCTGCTTAATGGCCATGATCCCAGAGACTCAGGAACAAATTTTGGAACCCAGCAGGTTGTGGTAGAAATCCCTCCAGATTTAATTGTTAAAATTTCAGAATTTCAAAGTCTCACAGCCACTACTGCAGCCGTGTGACATCATATGTTATTCATAACCAGCAATAGAAAACAACTTGTCTACTGTTGCCCTTTCCTCAGATCTGAGTGTTGGGGTAAAATCCCAAATAATAATGGTGGGTCTGGTGTCAAAATATTGAATGTAATCAAAGTAGAGAGAGATTAATGTGGAAATCATCTGCCCCACAGGTAGGGAGAGGGTGTGGGATGGAGGTATACTGGGTTTTTTCGTGGTGAAGAATGGGAACTGATGAAGGTACGGGTGTTTCATTGGATGAGTGAAACTTAAACCCAAAAGCTTTGTAACTGCTCTCAGTGATTCAATAAATAAAATTATAAAAAATGAAAAAAATAAAGTAAGGTGGAGTTCATGCCCTATTCAATCAGCCTAATCAGTGGCTGAATAAATAGCAGTACTCCTACATTAAAAAAAAAAGTGAAACTGAGGGTAGTCAGGAGTATGCTCAGCACTGCCGGGTATGGAACACACACACACACATAAAGAAAAAATAAAAACAGTTTGAATGTCAAAAAATAAAAGACTCGCTCCAAAATACCCCCTTGAACCAAGATGCTCATCAAATATGCTAAAACATATTTAAAGAAAACCTTTGAGGCCACGCAAGGATAAGATTCTTCCAGTTGATTGAGCTGAGCAGTCATAAAGATAATTTCAGGAAACTGGATTTCCCCCCTAATGTCCTCAAAGATAGAGTCAAAATACTAAGACTGAACTAGTTTTAATGGGTGCAGAATTTTACAATCCATGTTTGAGACTCTTTCCATTTCCAATGAAGGGCACACTTCAAGGTGTCCAGAACTCAGAACAAATCAAGGACCCAAGTGAAGATACAATTTTTTTTCTCAAGACCCTCTGAGAATTAACTCCTTTATTTTTTGTCCATAACTGTAGATGTGTATTCGTGTTTTATTTTAGATAGAGAACATACAAGTAAACTGTCTCAAATATTTCCTTAGAAAATAGTTTTGTTCTCGGACCAGAAAGATAGTACAGTGGGTAGGGCGTTTTCCTTGCACCTAGCTGACGCGGGTTCAATCCCTGGTATCCCATATGGTCCCCTGAACACAGAGCCAGAGTCATTTCTGATCATCACCAGGTGTGGCCCAAATACAAAACAAACAAACAAACAAAAAAACAGTTGGTTGTTCTCTATAAATAATGAGTACAGTTGAGTCTGTACTCTATTTACTAGCTGCTTCCATATACCATTTCTCATTGGAGACCTATGAATCTCTTTCTAAATAATAGGGTTATACCCTTTATACCAGTCAAATGAGTTGGGCTTAGAGATATTAAATGCTTTGTTCAAGATTCCGCAGGAACTAAGTAAGCAGAGCTTGGATGCATCTGGGTCTCCAGCATAGTTTCCATTATATTACACTGAATTCTCCTTAAGGAAATACAGACACCAGAATTTATTTTATACGATTTATAGTCTTTCTTTCTTCAGTTCATTTTTCTCTTTACCCTCACTGGGAAACTCCAGACAGTGGGGTTTTCTAAATTGCCTCAGTGCATGTGGAGGTATCAAAGCACATGGGATTAAGCTCGTGGACTCACACTTGCCCAGTGCTGAAACCACTGAACCATCTTCTGGGCCCTTCTCTCCAGAGACCGCAAGCAACAGAGCTGTAAGAATTATCTTGACACCACAGCTTGAGCTCTCAACCTCATGCTTGCCCGGAAAAAGCTTTTAAGTCACTAAGTCATATTTTAGGCCCCACTAATTTTCTATATCTTTCAAGCTGAGCTTTTGGGAGCCAGAGAGATGGTACAAAGGTTATTTTGTTTTCTATTCATGTGGTTGACCTGGTGTAGTCCTCCTGATGACCAGAAGGGACCACTGAGCACTGCCAGGTATGATCTATTCAAAAGAAGAACAAAACAAACAAAAAAACAACAACAACCACTGAGAATTTGTTAAACTCATCCAAGATGCTCTGAAGTTTTTTTTAAATGTGTTGCACTCTGACAAAAAGACTTTGTTGTTTATTTATTTGGGGGGAGTTTTATGAGTCACACTTGGCTGTGCTCAAGGCTTACTCCTGGCTCTGTGCTCAGAGATCACTCCTGGAGGATTTGAGGACTATTTTTAGTGCCAGGGATCAAACCTGGGTTGGCTGGATGCAAGTGCCCTAGTAATAGCTTTCTTGCCTCTATTTTGTTGATTTAATGAAATGTTTCTACATGATTTCTTTCCCTCATACTAGAACTACTCTAATTCTTACATATCAGAAGCCTATTTTAGCATTACTAATAATGCATCTGGACTTATTTTACTACTTTCAAAAAAAGACAACTGTTTTGTTGTTTTCTGGAGAGTACAGTTTGATACTGAAATAACAGAATAGGAGCAAATTTTAATAGTTCCCTCTCTCCGCCTGCACCCATTGAAGGTCCATTACTCATTTCCCACAAAGACTTATACACATTTAAAATTCATGGCATTTTAACATTTACTTTAATCATTAATTCACATAACTTTGGATTTTTCCACAATGAATTTATTCCATTCCTCTATATGTCTAGCTAGTTGGCTGGAATTTCAAATATATACCAAACTTTTTGGTAATTCACTTCAACCCCACTGATAAAAAAAAAAAAGAGGAGATATTTTCTGGGCAACTTTGAAGGGATGGCTCCCTTCCAAGGAGATCATTCCAAAACTGAGCTTAAACACACATGGATTCAACATTGATGTCTGAACAAAGAGTAAATAGGATTGGGATTAGCTCATGCCAATCCAAACAAAGATGTGTCAGAAAGCAGAATTCTGTTTAAGAACAACAAAGATCAAAGTCACTGGAGGTATTATAGGAACCTGGACTGGGAAGAGTAGGCCCTTGCGGCTGCTATGAATGACAGATAAAGGCCCCTCAGTGACCAAGCAGAGCGGGAACAGAATCTTCAAAGAGTCGTCATGGGCATGATGCCATTAACTCCAGGACTAGAATCAGAACTGGACATCTAACCCAGATTTTTTGTTTGTTTTGTTTATTTATAACTTCTAATATTGCTTTTGATTTAATTGGCCTGTTCTATGTGGTGGCCAGGGGCTAAAGATTCTAAGAAGAATGAGTGAATCAAAGAGAACATTCGTGAAGACTTCTTACAAGAAATACCTCAGTGTATCATATAAGAGCATGCCATGTTTTGTTTCTCATTTACTTAACAAACTCTGACTTACAGTGTACATGACTGAGACGTTTAAACATGAATTGTTTGTTGCTGTTTTTTCACCAGCCTATAAAGTCAAAATCACATCCATATCCGAGGAAAATGTTTTTGTCAAGTACAGTGCAACCCTCCTGGATATCTACAAAGCTGGTAAGAATTCATTTGTTTTTTCTTTCCCTAAATGTTTATTTTAAAATACTACATATTATGTGCCAGACCATACATTAGACACAACTCAATTAAGACCATCTGAGTTCTAGTGTTCATAAAATATTTTCTACTGGAAGGGCCAAAGCAATAGAACACTGAGTATGGCACTTGCCTTGTACTCGGATCACTTCATTCAATTCCCAGCATCCCAAGTGGTTCCCATAGACCACCAGGAGAAATTCCTGAGCCTAGAGCCAGGAGTAACCCATGAGCACCATCAGGTGTAGCCCAAAAAGGAAAAAAAATTCTACTGGAGTAGACAATATTTTTTTTAATTTTTTTATTAGTGAATCGCCGTGAGGTATAGTTACAGACTTACAAACTTTCATGCTTGCGTTTCAGACGTGCAATGATCGAGTACCCATCCCTCCACCAGTGCCCATTTTCCACCACCAATGGTCCCAGCATCCCTTCCACCACCGCCCCCCATCCCCTCCACCCCACCCTGCCTCTGTGGCAGGGCATTCCCTTTTGCTCTCTCTTTCTCCTTTTGAGTGTTGTGGTTTGCAACTAGAGGTATTAAGTGGCCATCATGTTCAGTCTATAGTATACTTTCAGCCTGCATCTCCCATCCTGAGTGGGCCCTCTTAGCACTCTTTACTTCATGGTCCCTTCTTGCCTTTCCTCCCAGCATGTGAGGCTGGCTTCTAAGCTGTGGAGTAATCTTCCAAGTACTTATTTCCACTATTCTTGGGTGTTAGTCTCCCATTCTGTTACTTTATATTTCAGAAATGAGTGCAATCTTTCTATGCCTGTCCCTCTCTTTCTGACTCATTTGACTTAACATGATACTTTGCATGTTGATCCACCTATATGCAAATTTCATGACTTCATCTTTTCTAACAGCTGCATAGTATTCCATTGTGTAGATGTACCAAAGTTTCTTTAACCAGTCATCTGTTCTCAGGCACTCGAGTTTTGTCCATATTCTGGCTACTGTAAACAGTGCTGCAATGAACATATAAGTGCAAATGTCATTTCTACTATATTTTTTGCATCTCTGAGATATAGATTACGGAGCGATAGCACAGCGGTAGGGCGTTCGCCTTACAAGCGGCCAAGATGGCCGACCCGAGTTCGATTCCTCCGCCTCTCTCGGAGAGCCCGGCAAGCTACCGAGAGTATTCGATATGCCAGACACAGTAACAACAAAGTCTCCAATGGAGACGTTACTGGGCCCGCTCGAGCAAATCGATGATCAACAGGAGGGCCTTTACTTTACTTTACTCTGAGATATATTCTCAGAAGCAGTATTGCTGGGTCAAATGGGAGCTCAATTTCCAATTTTTTGAGAAGCGTCCATACTGTTTTCCGAAAGGGCTGAACCAGTTGGCATTCCCACCAGCAGTGAAGGAGAATCCCTTTCTCCTGACATCCACACCAACACTGGTTGCTTTTGTTCTTTTGGATGTGGGCCAGTCTCTGTGGTGTGAGATGATATCTCATTGTTGTTTTGATCTGCATCTCCCTGATGATTTAGTGATGAGCATTTTTTCATGTGTGGAGTAGACAATATTTTTAAAGAAAAAAAAAAGACTATCTTAAATTATGATATGTGTCATATAGGAAACAGACATGAAAGCACAGGGAAAACCCTGTCAGCATGATAGCCATTTGAGGAGCTAGCCATTTTTTTTTTTTTTGGTTTTTGGGTAACACCCAGCGATGCTCAGGGGTTACTCCTGGCTTTGCATTCAGGAATCATTCCTGGCAGTGCTCGGGGGACCATATGGGATGCTGGGAATCGAACCCGGGTCAGCCGCGTGCAAGGCAAACACCCTACCCACTGTGTTATTGCTCCAGCCCCAGGAGCCAGTCATTCTTAAAGGGATGGAGAGGAGCACAGATGGAGCCAATGTGAAAGCATCTAAGACATAAAAGAAATCAGCACCATGAGGGAACTAAAAAACACCTGCATGCGGCCAGAGGGCTAGTACAGGGGCTTAGGCACCTGCCTTGCATGGGGCTCACCCCATTTCCATCCCAAGTACCACATATAGTTTTGCAAGCCCCACTAGGAGTGATCCCTAAGTACAGAACAAGGAGTCAGCCCTGAACTTACACAAAAGAAATCCATATGTGGCACTTTTCATATAGAGAGTTCATAACAGCTCAATAGGTTTGACCATCGTACCATTGTTCATATAGGTCATTACATAGACAGCATAAAATTCTGGTCCGGGACCGCACCGCCTAGATATGCCAAAGCTGGGATTTAACCCCAACCGCTAGATTCAGACCCTAAGATCTTACTCATAGGGACCCTGCTGCTTTCCAATCATCATCAGCCTCTCAATAAGAATTTAGAGGGGCTGGAGCAATAGCATGCGGGTATGGCGTTTGCCTTGCATGCGGCTGACCCGGGTTCAATTCCCAGCATCCCATATGGTCCCCTGAGCACCTCCAGGGGTGATTCCTGAGTGCAGAGCCAGAAGTAACCTCTGTGCATCGCTGAGTGTGACCAAAAAAGAAAAAAAATAAGAATCTTCACTCGTGGACAGTGAGATAGTACAGTGGGCAAGGTACTTGCCTCACACACAGCTGACCCAGATTCCATCCTTGGCATCCTATAGAGTTCTCCAAGCACTGCCAGGAGTAAATCATGAGTGCAGAGCAAGGAGTAACTCCTGTGCATCACTGGGTATGGCCTAAAAACCACCAACAACAACAACAAAAAGAATTTCCACTCAGTGCCCAGAAGGGCTGCTACATTTGTCAATCATAGTGTGGTTACTTGAATGTGATACACCCACCTGTGTGTCTCTAAGGCGAAGCAGCTGTGGAAAGAGGCTCCGAAATCACTTTCCTGAAGAGGAAAAGCTGTGCCAATGCTGATCTGGAGATAGAAAGCCAGTATCTGATCATGGGCAAGGAAGCCCTCCAGATCAAGCACAACTTCAGCTTCAAGTAAGTCACCCAGATTTGGGCTCTGATCTTCCCTTCTAACACTGACTGTCCTGCATGCTAAAATGCACTCCATGTTTCTCACGGGGCATCAGTAATGTGAGTTTAAGATTCACATTAAAGAAGAGCAGCTTGCAAGCTGCAGAGTAGCACAGAACTTGCCACGTAGGTCTGAGACCGAGTCTGAGTCTCATGCCATATCTGCTCCCTGTGTCAATTTGTTCCCAGTTCCATTGATTTAAAAAAAAAGGGAGATGCTTGGGGGCTAGAGAGATAGTACAGTGGGTAGAGTACTTGCCTTGAATGAGGCCATCCCTGGTTTGATCCCTGACATCCTATATGGTTCCTCGAGCACCACTAAGAGTGATCCCAGAGCCCAGAGCCAAGGAAAATCCCAGAGCATCACTGGGTGTGCCCCACACCAAAGGAAATTGCTTAACCAAGTATTTTATTATCTGTTTTTTTAAAAAAATAGACATTGAATCAGATATCATGCCTGTCTTTTTTTTTTCTTTTTGGGTCACATCCAGCAATGCTCAAAGGTTACTCCTGACTCTGCACTCAGTAATTACTCCTGGCGGTGCTCAAAGGAGAATATGGGATTCTAGGGATCGAAGTCAAGCCAGCCATGTGCAAAGCAAACATTGTACCCCCTGTACTATTGCTCTGGCCCAATTATTCCTGACTTTAGTTGGGATTTCCCAACAGCTTCGTGATTCATGGGAGATTTACAAACCTTTGCAGGAAGAGAAGGGGTTCTGGAAGATTCGGGTGACTCTCTGATTGCTGATTTTTTTCTGGGCAGGCTGGATTCTGGCAGAACCCATCAAACTTACTATTTGCAGCCATTAGACAAATGCTCCATTTTCATCTTTTCTTGGCAGGTATATCTACCTTTTAGATTCCTTGACATGGATTGAATATTGGCCTGCAGATACACGGTGCCCATCCTGCCAAGTATTTTTAGCTAACTTAGATGCCTTTGCTGAAGATATCTTCCTAAATGGCTGTGAAGATGCCTGAAATTCCAATGGGAGGCTCTTGGCGATGGCGTTGAAGTTTCTCTCTCTCCTCCACCTCTCCACCCTGCCTTTTTTTTTTTCAATATGCACAGCTGTTTGTATTTGGAAACCTCACTTCTCTTAGAATTTAGTGGCACTTGCCTTTATTAAAGAGCACTTTTAAGGGCTGTTGGTTTCTGAAATAACATGGCCTTGGGTATTATGGAGACAGACACTCATTTCCAGGTTATCGGACACCAGAAGCAATAAACTGAACCATCTCCCAAACCTACTGCTCAAGACTGTTTGCTCGGGATGAAAGAATAGCCCCATTGAAATGTGGTATCTTACAAAAACATGGCCTTTGCTTGAAGAGCCAAGGAACAGAAAACCCATCATTAAAGTCTGGCATTGCTTTCAAAACATGTTCTTTTATGCTCCACAGCTTCAATCACACAAAGACAGGCAAACAGAGAGAGAAAGGAGGACAGCATGAGAGCCCTTTCGACCTAAGACACCCCAATCTCAGATTCCCCTGCAAACTGAGAAGGTTGGAGAGTTTCAGTACCCACTTCTGTTACTCTCTGCTTACCCCCAGAGATCGCTCCCCATTCCACCCCACTTCCTCCCAGCATACACTCTTTCCCCAGGATCTCACTCCATCCTGATTGCTCTCCTGAAAGACACAGTGACCTACGGAAGACAAACGGGGTGGCATCATGAGGCCTCATTCTGACCCTCACCAGGTCCACGAGACTCCCATGGATGGAGCTTTAGAAATAATCATTTGGATCCAGAAGTTCATTTGGAAGGGATCGTGAGAAAGAGTGCCCCCATTCATTGCCATTGATATCAAGAATCATGAGGACCTAGAATCATTATCCTCCCCTTTGTGGGGGTAGAGAGGATTAAAACACAGAAAGTCATGATTTTCCCAGCCTAGTAGGGATGCAGAGTCAGTGATCAAACCCCAGTAGTTCCCCATCAATCCAAACACTACCAAGTCTACTTCCAAACACCATCACATCAACTTGTTGAGTTCAATGTGAAAAGACTGAAGCAAGATATAGGTGATTTTTTTTCAATAAATTTGAAACCTGCATCACTAAAAAAAGCTCATGGAAATGTAACAATAACTCTAGACATAGCGATAACCATGACAAACACATTCCCTATTTTGAAAACTCTGCATTCTCCCATTAGAGAAGATGACTCTGGGACTTGCTACGTGCCCCATAAGTCACACTACGATGATTTTTGTCCCTGTTGAAGTTCAGTGTGGGCACTCTCTTCACAAAAACACACAGCACACCTAGAAATGGCTCAGGGTCTGTGGCACCTGCCTTGCGTGTATGAGACCATGAATTTGAACCACCACATAGTCTAAGCACAAACCTGGCAGTGGTGCTCTCTGTACCCACCTGCTCTGCTGTCTCTCAGCCCCAGCCCTGCGAGCAACTTCAGCCACATGGCCAGATGCACAAGAGCACCACAACTAAAGGAGAGTGACCCCCTGGCTGGCACCGCAACCTAATGCACAACAACTCAATGTTCACAATTCAGTGCCCTAGAATCACAACCAAGTATATCTGCCACCCAGGTCATCACAACAGCATCAACGGAGCAGAGGGAAGAGGGGGTTTTGAAAAGATTTCCCAAAGTATCTAATGTTTCTAAATTTCCCTGACAATGAATCCTGAGATCCCTCCAGAAACGAAAAAGCATCCCCTGTCACCTTCTCTCTCAGTGGAGGGGACCACTGAGCACACCAGATGCAGAAGCTCCTGCTCCAGCATAGTGGTCTGTGTAATTTCCGGGGGACTAGGGAAACCCCACGACTCTCACCGCCTGTGTTTGGTGGACTCAGGCCACTTCCCCACCCTGGACGGCCGATGCCATGGGTGGACAAAGGAGGAAATGAAGGCCAAGCTGGTTGGTGATCAGTTGCCATTTATTCCATTCTCCCACGTGCCTTCATTTTTACTTCTTGCCTTGCACGCGGCCAACCTGAGCAACCCGGGTTCGATTCCTCCGCCCCTCTCGGAGAGCCCAGCAAGCTATCAAGAGTATCTCACCCGCATGGCAAAGCCTGGCAAGCTCCCCGTGATGTATTCGATATGCCAAACACAGTAACAACAAGTCTTACAATGGAGATGTTACTGGGCCTGCTCGAGCAAATCAATGAACAACAGGAGGACAGTGACAGTGACAGTGATTCTACTTCTTAATATTAGTTTTTTTGTATGGACACAGTAAGAGATACATTAATCAAGTAGGGTGGCTCTCCTGGGGACATCTCAATATAGATCTCAGACTACAGTGCTCACGCCAGATTAATCTTTCTTAACCCTAGCAGGGTCCTAATCTAGATGTTACTTTTTGGATCATGGCAGAATTTTTTCATGACCATGCTCTTAACTTTTAGTTAAGTATTATGGCACTTTGGCCTGGCCCATTTCGATGCCAGGATAGCTCATATCTTGCCCTGGGTCCATCCAGTCCCTCGTTGGAACTCTGCTTTTGGGATGCTAGGAACTAAGGGCAACTGAGCCTTAAGTCTAGAGAACAGATGCCCAGGAGTGAACGTCATTCAGAGTCAATTAACTCCCAAGTTACAAAAGCATAGCATTAACTGTCTTCCTGTGTCCATATAAAAACAACTGTAGCAATGTATCCTCCCGTTGTTCATTGATTTTCTCGAGCGGGCCCAGTAACGTCTCCATTGTGAGACTTGTTGTTACTGTGTTTGGCATATCGAATATGTCACAGATTGCTCTGAATTAACTATGCAAAGGACATAAAAAGAAGAGAAAAGCAATATTTACAAGTTAACACAATCTGATTAGGAGATAAAGGTAATTGACCAGCTGGGGAAGCAGAGCACAAAGAAAGAGGTTAAAAGTAACATAGAATAATGGGAGCACTGTGATGGGAGTAACCCAATAAACCTAAGCTCCCTGTGGCAAGGCAGAAAGGACAAACCAATATTATTCTACAGTGGCCCAGTCTGGACACTGTAACCTACTGACCCCATGATGCTGCTGAGTTTTCAAACCACAGAGCAGGCCTGGGGCCAGCCAGCACCATAGACCTCCACCTGTTTCTCTGCAACTCGCTCTCAGGCCTTTCTTTTCCCAAGGCAAATATCTCCTTTCATTTTTTTTTCCACTTTTGGAAAACAATGTCCCAAATTTTCTAGTATGCATTTAAACACACTTCTTGAGAGAGGTTTCCAGAACTTTCCAAACAGACTGAGATCTCAACTCAATCCTACTCTTCTCTTCCAAGGCACTTGCAGTTCATGCAATTCACGTTCATGCAATGAGGGGGGCCCTACGTGCCCTGTTCATGCAGCCGTGAAGGCCTGGGTTGTTCCCCAGCTAACAGGAGGTGAAGAGGAGGTTGGGGGACTTCTGAATTGATTTGTTATTGGCCCATGCCATAGTTGCTAAGAGTTCCAATCCATCAGGAGCCACAGCTCTGTCCTGCTCCTCTGCCTACTCCCGGTCCATGCCCTCCCTTCCTGCCCCACATTCCAAAAACCTTTACCCTGGCACTTGGAATAAAAGAAATTGCCTAAGAAATGAAAACCGATAGTCCTTCTCTACAAAGCAATTTCACAACACATTTTAAGAGCCAACATACACGGGGAGGCCTCCATCCAGCAATCTCCCTCTAACTGGATTCTTTATCTGAAATAAATTCCCAGAGGGGGAGAAAGATAGTTATACACAAAGCACTTCATGTAGGATTAACTATTCATTCCATAAATATTTAATGAATTCCTACTTTAGATGGGGAAATCAAGGCAAACAAGTCCTTTCCTTCTGGAGAACATGCTATAACCGGGAGACGGGAAATAATAACTACCTACATAAGTTGAGAGGACATTTAAGCTAACAGCCACAGGGCAAGCAGGAACAGACACAGGAAAAGTCCACCCTAGAACATTCCAGAAAGAGAGGCAAATGCCCATAAGTAGCCAGAGTTCCAGGAAACTGCAGGAAGGGGAAGTGAGCCTGGATGAGGTCAGAGGAGAGGCAGCGCCAGGCCCAGAATTTCTGTGAGCACGGCTGCTTCCGTTGGAGTCCATGGATGATACCAAGCAAGGGCATGACACCGAGCTCTGGACGGAAGAAGAGCAGGAGAGAGTTTGGGGCCAGCACCAAACCTTTTTCCCTTGTCATGGAAAAGGGTGGCTGTCCCTTGACGGTAAATGACAGAGGTAGAAATAAAGATGAAAGGATGAAGCAGAATATTACAGGTACTGAAGCCAAGAGGGGTGCTGAAGGAACTGGACCACAAGAGATGCATCGGATTCCTCCTGGACTCAACTCCAGCTACTGCAGGTGCTGGTCTGCCCTTCTGAGGACCCCAGGAGGAGGTTTTAATAGGGAAAATGAGAAAGGATGGGACCTGAGTTACACTGTCGCCCCCAGAAAGACATACTGAAATCCTCAGCCCTCCCCCATACTTCAGACTGTGACCTCATAGGAAATAAAGCTATTGCTGAGGTTCTTTAGTAGAGAAAGTGAGGTTACCCCGGAGGGCAGTGGGTGCTTCCTCCCAGGAGACCAAGAAGAGGAAACTGGGCGGACCCAGAGACAGACGTTCAGAGAAAGGAAGACATTGTGTGAGGATGTGGAACCCCAAGGAAATCAGTCACATGACAATGAACAAAATTGAAGAAATGTGTGTGCATGACCAGGACTCCAAGAAGGGCCAGCCAAAACTATCAGAAACCGTTCTCCAAATGCCCCAGCAGGAACTCACCCTGATGGCACCTCCCTCCAGACTTCCACCCTCCCGCTGAGTGGACAAGTCCTCCGGGGTTTGGGGTCCCCATCAGGGCAGCCTTAAGTCTCTCCTTGATAAGTCTTAGACCCACAGGGATGACATCTGAGTGTGGAATTATAGCTCACAAAGTTACGCTCTGCACGTTGCTGAAGCACTTATGTGACCTCTACAATTTGACACCCAAAGGAGGGAGCAAGGAGAAATAATATCATAAAAGATTATCTGTCCCTGGAAGCATGACACTGCCTCTGAAGAGAGTCATTATGAAAAAGGTAAGAACCTGGACAATATTTATGATAATGTGGTCCATACAGCCCATGACTGACACCTTCTGACATTGTTACACAGACAGGCTCTGAGGAATGTCTTGTTGTTGCACACACAGTTAGCA